CAAATGATACCGCACTTGAATTTATTCAGAAGAAAAAGATTTTATTTTTATTAATCGATGTCAAATAGATAAATATATTTTTCTTTTTCATCTTCTGTTCACTGATATGCATGCAATGCATTTTCCCCACCCCCCTCGTAAATTAAACAGAAAACGAAATCAGCATGCCGCACCCTTGAGCTTGATTGACGGCCTAAAGGAGAAAATAAAACATTCCTCCCTTCCCTGCCTTCAAGGTCACAGAGGAAATGAAGTTTCTCTGGGTAAATGGAGAAAAAAATTCTCCCCTTCCTTACATTTTCCTCTACTCAGCTTCAAGGATGAGTTCATTTCCGCTTTTTTTTTCATAATCTTTCTAGTTTAAAATGGCGGGAAAACCGATCAAAAATTTTCCCGGTTTTCTGGTTTCCCGGTTATCTGGATACCGGATAAATGGTTCTGTACTGTATTTATTAAAAGAAGTGACATATTAATATATATTCTCAGTAGTTTTAATTTGCTAAACCAGGTAGTTTTTCAAGTAGTAATTGTCTCTTATGTGAACTGAGGAAAAATATAATTTCCAGCTTTATTTTTTTGGTAGTATTTTTTTGGTAGTCCAATTAGTAATTTTTTTTTCACTAAATGTTAAGTATCAATGTAATCGTTTTTATAATAATAGATTAGTACATAATTGTATGTCAGCACATTATTTATTACCTTAAACTGTCTGGAATTTATTATTAAAGGGTTGCGCTTGCATAAAATTTACTATCGTGGAAATTCAGCTTTTTTGCGCTTTGGCTAATCTCATCCCTGATAAATACCAATTTAAAATAATCGAATTTTTTGAAAACAAAGTTTACAAGAACCTAAATATAATAAGAATAAGTTATCAAAATATAATAAATTGATTAAAAGAATCTTACTGGGTGTAAAATTTTACCGCATAGAAAAATCCTGATCACATCACCTTGCTTTATCGGAATTTGATTTGAAAGACCTAAATATTATAAAATCAAATGATTGAAAAGGTAAAAATCCTTACAATAATTCACAAAAATATTAATAATAATTGAATGAAATAAATCTTGTTTTACTCAAAACTACACTACACAAAACAATCATGAGCGCATCCCTTTCTTTTTACTAATTTTTGAATTTCTAAAATTTTCACCTATCGAATGATACATCTAGAGCCTTTCAAATAATTGTGAAGTAATAGACATAAAAAATAAACAAATAATCTCGTTTCGCTCAAAATTTAAGCATAAAATGGTTGCAAACTCATATTTTCTTTTATAATTAATTTATAATAATGCAATTATAAATAAATCAAATGATTGATTAAGCAACTAAAATTTGTTAAAATAAGCATTAAATATAGAATAAAAAAAGTAGTTCACGCATTCCTCTTTTATCCAGGTTCTTATCATGTTGAATTATTTTGCTCGGACATCGAAATCGGCTCGAAATCGTATATTTCCGAGTCTTTGAAATATGCGATAAAATTTCGAGTAAAATGATGAAGTTGAGCTTCGGCTGAAAGTGGGGATAAACTTGACCTTCAAGATTTAATTAAGCATTTACATTTAAGCAATAAGATTACATTTAAGCATTTCACCCCACTCGTTTGTTTTAGGGAATGAATTTTTTGGCATATTTTTCTGTCACTCTTTTTTCTTTCACACCTGCAGCAGAATAAAAGGGAATTGTATTTGCATTGATCCTTGCTAGAGATTATTCGCGGGGTGATATTGGGAGGGAAGTTTATAAACCGAAATTTGTTGTTTGAAAGGGAGAGCGCCCGTTGCGCTAATATTGCATTCTTGCAAACTGTTTTTCTCCTGCATTGTTAATTCTTTAAATTAATATTGATCATAAATTATAAAAATAGATCATTGCAAAAGATAAAAATTTGAAGAGTTATAGTGAAATTTTGCAGAATGGATTCATCAAAATATAATTTTCAAGCTCAAGTAGTAGTGGAAAAAAAGAAATCTAACGGATAGACCGCCCTATTAGTTATGCCACACATGCCATAAAGGGCTTCTCGTATCTCCATAAAATTATGATGCTAATAAAATCCTTGTTATAGTTATTCATCTACTTGAAGATTTTATTTAGAAATTTTTTTTCTTTAGTTTTTACGGAAATGTTTTTATTTTAGAATTTTTGACAAGATTCTAAATTTAGGGTTTAGTCAATGCTTGATATAATGACCCCTGTGGTCAAAAAAAAAAATTCTTTAATAACATGATATAAACTCCTTTTTTGATTGATGCGAGTTGGCTTGGATTTTAAAAGAACAAAATTTAAAGGATTAGAAGAAGCCAGATGCCAAAGACCAGAGTACATGGAAAAGAGGCTGAATGCCTTTTGTGCAAAACGGTGTGAAGAGCGTATATAAGTAATTCAATTAGAATTTTCTTGCCCACTCCATGTGTTGAGTCCGTGGACAAAATTCTAATCTTATCTTTCTGCAATGCACTATTTTTTCATTTAATAACATGAGAAAAACTAGTTTTTTGATGTAGTAAAGTCAGCAGCTTAAAGTTTAGAAAATGCGGGTACTAATGGTTTTATTATAAGAACTATTTTGAGAATGTCTACTTATTTCTAGAAAGAATAATAGGTTTTGGGTAGTAAATGCCATATGTATTGTTCAAAACCAGTAATCCTGTTTGTTTTATTAACCTCTTCCAAACTGTGAACGCATTTACCTGTTCTGGCCATTCTCACTTCTAAGCTCACAGTATAATGTATGAAACTAGCCTTCCTAACATCAGCAGCTCAGGATCACACAGACTTGATCTCTGTTTGTGCTCTGATATTACAACTCGCATTGGTATGTATATTCTTGGAGTGCAGATCAGGAGAAGTGCTTCTTTCTCCTTTTCGCTAGCATTGAAAATGTTAATATTTTTATTACTGCAGTGTAATAAATTCTAAGATACTGTTCATATAATTGATGATTCTCTGAAAATACTTTTAGATATCTGTTGGCGGTGATACTTGCAATTCAACTTTACACAAACATAATGAATCCTTGAACGAGCTAGAAACTTTAACTGCAAAGTTCCATTTTGTTGATTTGGCTGGCTCTGAAAGATTGAAACGTACTGGGGCAACGGGAGATCGACAAAAAGAGAGCATTTGTATAAATTCTGGGCTAGTAAGTTAGCATCGTTTTTTGAAGAAAAAAAATCTTGACGTAGGTTTTATTGCAAATTTTCATATTTTAATTTCTTTTAGCTTGCTCTTGGAAATGTGATATCTGCACTTGGTGATAAATCTAAAAGGGCAACTCACATACCATATAGAGATTCTAAATTAACAAGGTTATTGCAGGATTCTCTTGGGGGAAACAGGTAACATTTGAAAACATTTAAAGCTTTATTTAACTTTTTAAAATCTTTTAAATATTCATTTGTTAACCATTTTTCCTGATTGAATGTTTATTCTTGAATTATATGCTTTCAATTAATTTTTATTTCAATGTAAAGTGACTTAGATGTAGAAAATACTTTATTACATAATAGATAAAATGTTTTATATTAGCTAAGTTCTGTTTCCTATCCTGCAATAGAGTGAAAGTTTTTGTTATTTTCTTATTCTTTTTTTTATACTTTATTTTCTTATACTTTTTTCTTTTCATTTTCTTTTCAAGAGTAATGTCTAGTTTTCAACTGACAATCACTTTGTGGCTGTATATAGGGAAGAGTGGGCTAAAAGTGGGTAACCTGATTTTGGCAAAATTAGTTATGTTTTCTAGCAGGCAAACTCTGAATTACACTTGACTAGCCAAAAAGAAGGAACAACCATATTTGTGTGCTGATGTTGGTTTATTCATACTGTGTCTATATAAAGTTTGTTTTACTGTGTCAACTCCCTAATTTTCTCATATTTTTGAGCTATCCTTATTTAGCTATTATAATACATCTAACGTTTTATGACTTTACTAAAGATTCATACCCTAACAAACAATAAGGATTTACCCCAATAAGTAGCATTGTTCAGTTTTATTTCGATAACCTCTTCTCGCATAACAAAACAGGGTACTATCTGGTTCAACGTTCCCAATTGATGCAGGCTGTCTGATGTATATTTAAACCCACGAGAATGGCTGTGCTGCAGAGGAAGAAGATAATTACATCCAAGGCTGAACAAAGGTTTTACGGGTTCCTAGACAAAATTTATTGCAGGTCCCATCTTCAAAGTACAAAAGCCTTATTTTCATGTTTTGTAGAGTTTTTGAAGATCCTTTATAGAAAATTGTAGTTTTTATATAGATATAAAGAAATATTCTGCAGTTTTTTTTTTTTTTGAAAAAAAAAAAGAAAAAACATTAATAAATACTTTTGTAAGAAACTTTTGTCATTCCTTTAGCCATCCCTCTCCCCACTACAATTGTCTCTCTCTTTCCCTTCCACTTTGAGTACGGCCTTGACTACATCATATGCAAATTACATGTACAATTTTCTTAAATGGCCATAAATATAAATGTTTGCTTCTTTTTGACTGAAGTTCTAATATTCCCATAGAGTTAATACGTGTAACTGGTTTTACCCTACTTGTGGGATTTTTTTTCTGGAGAAAAAAAAATTAGTAAAAAAAGTAGTAAATATATAATTTTTCAAGAATGATATATTATATTCAACTAAACAATGAATATATTGGTTGAATCAGGCAGTTTCTAGGTCAAATAATTTACCTCCAATAGGCCTTTGAGTCTTAGCTACCCGGTACTACCTCACAGTCCCCTATACTTACTAATAACGTTAGAAATGATAAAGTTGTTTTTAAAGAAAATATTTCAAATCTCAGTAGGTTATTATTATTATTTTGCATTAATCAGACTTTATCATAGTAAAAATATAATTTAATGTCAAAAATCATTAGTAAACTCACAAATGTAAAATTTTCTTTATGTGTATAGTAAATGCTGCTATTTGAATATTTTACTTTTTCTTGTTTAATGCTTTTATTAATTTTTTATTTTACCTTATTATAGGTAATGTTTTTAATTTTATGATAGAGCTATTCACATAGTTTATTAATTTCAGTCGGACGCTGATGATTGCTTGCGTGTCACCATCTGACCGAGATTTTGTTGAAACACTGAGTACCTTAAAGTATGCTAATAGAGCTAAAAATATAAGAAATAAAGTTACTGCTAACAAAGACAAGTCTAGCCAAACTATCAATGCTCTTCTGAGGCAGGTTGAAAACTTACAAATAGAACTAATGGAATTCAAACAGGTAAATACAAGGAAATTATCTAATTATTAGACATTGAAATATCATTTAGGTTGTTTTAAAAGTGTGTACAGCGAATAAAAATATTTTTAAAGGTGTGGAGTAAGTTAGATTTTTGCAATAATATACATGGTTGGATCCATAAAATGGCATTAATGATGAATTTTTAAATGTGTTTTCATATATCATTTGTAATATCTTTCTTACGATTATCAGCAGGAACAAAATAGGTGACTAATAACAATTAATTCATTTTACAGAGAAGAGTTATTTATTTTATTTATCCTCAATGCAGTGCTCTTAAAATCTTATTTACTGAATTTAATGAAGATGGGAGAAGGAATTATGGATGTTAAAACTTTCATTTCCCTAGAACCTGCTAGTGTTATTCAAGGAATTTCTGAATTTGCTATTCTCGATTTTGAAATTGGATATTTATTGAGTTGTTTAATCGAAAAACATTATGTTCCTTTTTTTTTATAAAGAATACATTAAAGCATTTTTAGGCGTACGGAAAGAACATATGATTTTACTAAAATAATTTATCAGTTGCATGCTATATGGAAGGTTATGTTAATACATTTAATATATAAAATATTAATGCAAAGAACAGTTCTACTACCTTAAAAATTCATATTAATTTATTTGGTAAAAAGTATCATTGTAATAAATTTTTATTTTTAAAAACTAATACCTTATTTTATAATCTATCATTCAATAAATAAATAACTAAATAAATACACATAATTAAATTAAACTTAAAATAAAGACTATTCAAAACCATAAATGTGTCAGATGTATTTTACTTTTCTGTTTTTGTATGACAGTTAGTTTTATTAAATACTCAAGTGGGCAACCTTTGTGCTAAAATACAAACTAAGGTAAACAGCGTTTAAGAGCACAAAAAATATTTATAAATATTATAAGGTAGTTTTATTGTTTTTATCTTAAGGTTTTGACCCAAAATTCATTCATCCAAAATGGTTTATTTTTATTTTGTGATTATTTATATGTATTTTATTTTTATTATTTTGTTGTATTCTTAGTTTTATTTTATATTTTGAGAGACAAAATTTTTTTTATATTTCTCAAAGGGAAATCTGAGAAATACTTCTTTAAGTTTTAATTAATAACTTTTATATGCATCCATGAATCTGTCATGCACATTCATTACAGTCTCATGTGCAGCATAGTTTATATGGACACACTTCTCTGCAGAACTTTCATCATAAACATGATTTTTAAAGAGACATCCATTGTTTCTCAATACTATACAAGTTGATTAACTTTATTAACTATAAATACAAATTTATTAACTTTATTAAATATAAATACAAATTGATTAATTTTATTTCAGTGAGGAATGTTATTGAATCTTTGTCTATTCACTGGAATTAAATTTGATTTTGGATTTTTTTTATTTGCTGTGTCCTCATTAGTTAAAAATTGAGAAAACTTGCGAAGTGTTAAGAAAATGTCTAATAATAATTTTTTTTGTGTTGTAATGATTTCACTGGAAATTAAGCCCTAAAAGTAATTCTATTTTACCTGGTTGCTTGCTTGTGATATTGTAAAGTTATGACCTATGAACAGCTTATCATTTCATTCAGTATGTATTGTAAATGCACTTATTATTAAGTTGTTTATCCTTTTTTTTAAGGTAACCAAAAATAGAGCACAAAACAGGCGAAAGTGAAACCCTGTTAAAAATTGTATTATTAGTTATGTCAATGATTTACTCATATATTTATGTCAGAAATAAAATTGCGTTTAATTATTCTTGATTTGTTTAATTGCTGTCTGTTAATTTTAAAAACTATTTTAGGGCAAAAGAATAATTAGTGATGGAATTGAATGCATTAATGATATGTATCATGAAAACACTATGCTCCAGTCAGAAAATAATTCTCTGAAAACTAGAATAAAAGCTCAACAGCAGACAATAGATGTTTTGAATGCAAAAAATGCTCAGCTGGAAGCAGAAAAGAGGAGTGGTGATTGGAGTAAAAATAGTATGCTATATATTTTTTATTGCTTAACCCACTTTCGAGGGCTGGTTTAAGTAACATATTCATATTTGTTTTATATAATTTTTAGGTGATGGTACCCAGTCTGATATTCCAAATCTGGTGTTGGGTTATGTTTCTGAAATCGAAGCATTACGGTATGTATTTTTCATATTAAGTTGCCATAAAAAGTCTAAAGCAGTATAAAATATTTAATTACAATGAAAGGAATCAAAGTCGAGGATTTCAAAACAATTTCCATTTGTGAGAGGTTTTTTTCCCTTCTTCCTTTTCCATTATAACAAACAAAAATATTTGGTAAAAGTCAACCAAAGCTTTTTTTCTCATCCAGAGGTTTCTTTTTGAAGTAAAAGATATTCATTTTTTGGATTAACTAATTTTGGAAGCTAGTGCATATGCTTTTTAATTTATAAACTTTGCTTAGTTTTTTATCAATGAAATTAATGATAAACAATTTGCATTTTGCAAATGAAAGGATTTTTTTTTATTCTCTAATTAAGATCTCATAGGCCTCATTGATAGCACTGAGGCCTCATAGATAGCACTGAGCTATCTATGAGGCTCATAGATAGTAGTAGAGTTGTAGAGTTTTATGTTAACTGCATTGTTGTATGTTCAATTTTAATGTACACAAAATGATTGCTGTCTATTTAAAAGCTTTAATAATGTCCGAATAAAATATATTGATAATTAATAGTGTAAGAAATTTTTCACCAGTTATGCTGAACAGACTACCATTTAGAAATCTTTAAGGAAAAAAACTTTATGCAATCGAGCTATTAATTTTTAACTTAATGATTGCTTTTTTAATTTTTAACAGTCTACTGTAATGTAAGAGTATTGAATTCTAGCTTTTTTTCCTGGATGAAAAACATGCAATCATTATAACAATTGGGTGCATTATGTCAGGGTGCGTAGCGTTTGTAAAAAGTACTTAAAGGTGCTTTTTTGGGAATTTCGTTATTAAAAGCTTTTAAAGGTGCTTTTTTCAGCTGGCGTTTTTAAAAAGTGCTTTTATTCCGAATAATTTTCTGTTTCCCTTCAGTGATATCTGGTTGGATCCCATACATTTCACGAAAAATGGGGAGTTTTCTACGTAATCATTCACGTGGACTTCATGTCGTACCCACGTTATGACTTGCGCATGCGCGCACTCTTGAAACCGAAACCCGAGTACTCCAATTCGGATAGTGAATATTAGATCCTTATGAAATGTTTTTCTTTTTAATTTATTTTAATTTTGTTCTTGTTTATTTAATTTTTCTTCTAACACTTTTTTTGACGTAGGGGGTAAGGGTACTTCTGTTCTGAGTTCAGGGTCAAGTTGAATTCACTCGGTGATGTGGGAAAGTACTGATTGTTTCGATTTACGCCCGTTTCTTTTTGGGTTTTTTTTAACGCTAAAACTGTTTATAAAAAGTTTTTGTTTTTCAATAATATCATTGATTGAATATGAATTTTTTGAGTGCTTGAAAATTTTTGTGAAGTGCTTGAAAAGTTTTTAAAAAGTGCTTATTTTTGATTCCAAGATTTGGCTACACACCCTGTATATGGTCCTCTGTATTTATCTCTTACAATAAACATAATCTCAAGGTAAACGTGATTGAATATCAATTCAGCACAAACGTGTTTTTTCAGTGCTTCAAAGTTTTTTTTCACATTTATATTTTTATACACAATATCTATATGCAATATATACCATTATTCATATATATACAACATGTTATGTAAATTAAGCATGATATGGATTATTATTTTTACAGAGCCAAGCTTATTGAGTCAGAAAATTCAAATGCTCTCTTGCGAAAAAATTATCAGAAAGCTTCACCACAGTATGCTTTTAATCCCACATCTACTGTGGCTATTACTGGGCATTATGACATTCGAATTGATAATGGAACATCTGTAACAGACATTATTGAAGAAGCAAGAAAGAATGTTAAGAAATTAAAACGAAAAGAAAAGAAATTAAAAGGGTGAATATGTTTTTGATATTACTTCATTTTTCTGATCTATTTGTTTTTTTGACTTTCAAGTTTGTCTTAATGATATGTTTTCTGTGTTCCTCAATATTACAAACTCAAAATGACACAACAAAAATTAAAATATCAAAAATCGTAATCTTCTTAATTTTATCTATGTAATAACTGCATTGTTATTTTATTTTAAATTATTATATTTGATATTATTATTTTACCGAAGAAAAAAATCATTTAAATTTATTTACTTGCCATTAGTTTATTACTGATGATATACTTATGTATAGAATATGAATTAGAAGTAGTTATATATTTGTTTTTCGTTTTTTCCTATTCAATTATGGTCTCAAAAGATTTATTAAATTATAAAGTTTTTCCCAAATGTATGAGCAGTTTCTTAACTGTGCATAGATATTATTTGTAGAAATCAAGTATAGCAATTTTTTGTGGTGGCAAAAAATAATTAGAAAAATTAGTCATGAAAAGTCTTTGTCTTAGTCTTCAAGGAAAGGAGAAAAAAAGTTTTTTTTGCAAAATATTTCAACAAGACAAACATCAACCAAAAACACTTTCAGCTAAAATAGTTTTTTATTATCAGGATAACAAGTGCATAATAGGTACAGATTCTTGTTAAAAGTGCTCGTTTGAATAAAAATTCATTTGCCGATTTTTTTATTCATATGTTTTTAAAAAAATTATGGAAGTATTTCTAAGGAAACTATAGGATTTTAAAAAATATTTGTTTACTTTTGCGTTCTGATATGCAAATGCAATACGGTGTCATGATTTCTTTTATTTATAAAGTAAGAAAAGTTGAATTAATTTATAATTTAACGCTGTTTAATAAAGAAAGTAGATGATAATGAATTTTGAAAACTACTGTACTCAAGCAGTCCAAATTTCCCAATGCTCTTTCTTTTACTCACATAATGTAAATTTATATCATTATTTATTATTATTTTGGAGAAAAAAAAATTTGAAATTCTCTATGGTATCAAATTATACCACTTACATATGCTTGCTATTCATGTTATTGTTATTAAATATCCAATGAATATAGTTTTACTTATTCATTATTTTAAATAATTCCTTAAAATTATTTCTCCATTAATTATTTTCAATTATAAATGCATTTTGATGTCTTTATTATTAATATTTTTGGAGCTTATAACAATTAGATTTGTAATTGATTTTATAAATAACTTTTTTTTGTACTTGCATTAAATTTTTACTTGTAAAATCTTAACTTAATTCAATAATAAAAAATAATCATGTTACATTTTAGCTGTATATTAGCTTAAGTGTTGATTACTTAAGTAAAACTCTTAAGTAAAAATTTCTAGATATTTAAATCTCTACAAGATTCCAGCTTTCTGTATTTACCTTCAGGAGATGCATTTATCATTAACGTCAAATGAACTGAATTTTTTTTTCAGCTGTGTTCTTAACAAGTAAATGCTCAGAAATCTATAGTAGCATTTTTCTGTGAAGTTTATTTTCACAAAAGAATGAAAAATATAGATTTCAATGTAATATTTTTATTAGTTTTTTGATTAGTCTCAGAAAATATTTGCACCTTTTTAAAATAAGTAAGAAAAAAGGAAAATCAGTAAGAGTAAAATTTTATTCTTTGATTTAGGAAATGTAGCTTGTAAGTCTAATGATTTCTTTCTTTAGTTACATAATGTAATATTATATGTACTTTTCAAAGGGAGAAAGAAACTGGTGAAAAAGCTGCTGAAGAAGAAGATGAGAAAGATATAGCTGAAGATGGAGAGGTATCAAAATTAAATTTCAATTACATGAATTTTAAAACTATGTTTCTTTAAGAAATTTCAGGAAGTATTTTCTTTATATTGACTAAAAACTTTGGTTAGTTATAATTTCAGAACATTTTTTATATTATCTTTTTCAGATTTATATTATGTTTTTCAAAACTGAAACTGTAATTTGTCTTATTTTTTAATTTATAGTTATCAAAATAATGTATAAATTCCTTATGTTATTTATGGGAAATTCAAATTGAGCAGATTTAGTATGGTAGAAAATTTTTAAAATTAATTAAAATAATTTTGAGTGAGTTTAAATTATTTTGTTTATTTTTTTATTTTTATCATAGGCTCTTGAGGATGGAGATGAAGAGGAAAGTACTTCAGAATCTGAAAGTGATAAAACAGAACAGGAACGTAAGTTTTTTTCTTAAAATAATTTAATATAATTGCTGGCTTTATTATTTGCATTTTCTTTTCTTGAAAAAAATAACTAATAGCACTTTTTTAATGTACATAGTTCTTTTCTATACATTATATCTCTGATATTCAAGAATATATGCTATAAATTGTTCATAATTTTTGTAAATTTTTGCATTTAATTTTAAAATATGGATTTTTTTATTATTTTATTTTTTTTATTTTTTTATTTTATTATTTTTTTTTTTTTGTATATTTTTGTAGGGGTATTTTTTTGGTAAGAATATGAGTTATGATTGAACCTCCAATCATTGGAACCTATTTACAAAAATGTCATAATCTTATCTGGAAAATAAAATCTAGAAAGAATCATAATCTTATCTTGACAGAATCATGAATAAAATAAAGATGATATATAAAATAATTGTAACATTTAAAAAAAATTAAGATATAAAATAAGTTAGTCTTTAAAACCAATACAAAATATCATTTAAAATTTAATAAAGTAAAGCACGCCTACAAATGTCATTTGTAGGGTGGGGGGGGGGCATCAATCTATAGCATGGTGGGACTCATGCTACCACCCTGAATAGAATCTTTATACTTTACAATAACAGCTGAATGCCATTGCTGTTATAACTTTATATTTATGTATACATTAAATGCATTTATAACTTTAAAGTTATAATTGCATTTAATGTAAGTGTTACTGAAATAAAGTTGTTTTTATTAATTGAATATTTCTCTCTCAATGTTGTAAAATAAATGTATGAAAACATCAGTTTTCAAATACTAAAACTAAAACGACATGTCGAAGAAAAAGATTGGGATATACGAACTACAAGAAACCTTAATGTACACTTTTAACTTCACCCATTTTCATTTAATTTCTTATTATATTCTAAAAAAAATTTTTTTTTAGAACAAACTAACAGAAAAAGATCTAGAATGTTTTTCAGGAAATTTTGTGTATTTTATTTTATACTTAAAACATTTTTAATATAACTTGTTGTTTCATGGTAGTAGGAATGTATGGAAATTTGCCTAAAAAAGAACTTTTTTCATAGCTACAACAAAAACTATTTGTTCTGAAGTGCAGTACAAAGATATATTTTTCTTCAAATATATCAATGCTTTATATATTTCTGTCTTTTATTATGTCATAGCTACAACAAAAACTATTTGTTCTGAAATGCGGTACAAAGATATATTTTTCTTCAAATATATCAATGCTTTATATATTTCTGCCTTTTATTATGTCATAGCTACAACAAAAACTATTTGTTCTGAAATGCGGTACAAAGATATATTTTTCTTCAAATATATCAATGCTTTATATATATTTCTGTCTTTTATTCTGTCTTTTATTATGTCATAGCTACAACAAAAACTATTTGTTCTGAAATGCAGTACAAAGATATATTTTTCTTCAAATATATCAATGCTTTATATATTTCTGTTTTTTATTATGTCATAGCTACAACAAAAACTATTTGTTCTGAAATGCAGTACAAAGATATATTTTTCTTCAAATATATCAATGCTTTATATATTTCTGTTTTTTATTATATCATAGCTACAACAAAAACTAATTGTTCTGAAATGCAGTGCAAAGATATATTTTTCTTCAAATATATCAATGCTTCATATATTTCTGTCTTTTATTTTCAAGTAATATTAAATTATCTGTGTTTTTTATTTTAGAGAAACTGAGTGAAAATGTTGCTGACATCACATGTGATATTACATTGAAAGAAAAGCTTATCCGTATGCTGGAAATGAGTCAGAGGCGAATCCACAACATGAAAAACTATTATGAAGATAAGCTGGCTCAGTTGCAGACAAAAATTCTGGAGGCAGAAAAAGAAAGAGATAAAATCATATCAAATCTAAATAGTAATTGATTTTTTTTCTTTCAAACATATGTGTAAATTAATTAAATTTTTTGTCTGTTTGTTTGAACTGCATAATTTTGTATTTTGCAGAAACTGCTGGCAACAAGTCTGAAGAACGAAGGATCAGAGCAGATTATGAAAAGAAAATTTCTTCTTTAAAAAATGATGTTCAGCAATTTGAAAATGCTAAAAGAAATCATGCACAGCTTCTGAGCTCAGCATCTGAATCTGAAGCAAAGTTAAAAAAATTGAAGCAAGAAGTGGCTGAAATGAAGAGGGCTAAAGTATGTTAAATTTAAAATATACTCTTTTTGTAATGTATGAGGTAATACTGAGAAAAGAAATTAAATTGTTTGGAAATCTAATTTGAGTGCATTTGCACTTAATTAGATTTCTGAGCAATTTAATTTAATTAAGCGAACTTTGCTAAAAATTTAAATTTTTAAATTAAGTAAATTGTTACCTTAGCATTGATATGTTTTTTTAAAATAAATATTCAGTCTGGTAGGAATATTTTTACAGTCAGCACTTGATATAATATCCCTTGCAGCCGAGAGAAAATAAAACGTTATAACGTAAAACGGTTATATTGTAAATGCACAAAAATACCATAAATATTAACTCAAAAGTGAAAAAAACTTGACCAATTTTAGCTTTTTGACCTTACTTTTATAAAAATTGATAATAATACAGCTTTTTCCTATATTAATATAGTTGTAAAAATACCTTTAAAATGATGTGCTGATATAATAATAAGGCTACCATTTTCAATAAATAACATATACGCCAAGATAACTGCCAAGGCCACATGTTTAGCTCGAAAATTAACCACACAAGGGGCTGACATTTCACAAAGAGTTAATACAATTTTCAAATAAGAAAAGTATGATTGATATATTTATTTATATCCTTTGAAAAGAACGTTGCACAGGATTATAAATGACTATAAATTACAACCATTTAGAATTTAGCAGGTCATGTTACGCTTCTTCCTGTGGTAACATAATTTGAAATAATGGTTTAAATAATATTGTTGAAACTTTTTTAAATGACTTGATTTGGTTGTTGTATTGAACTGAACGGTTTAGTGCCGACGTTTTAACGAATATTTAAATAACATTATGCCTATACAATAGCAAATGGGACTTTATGTATCGGTTGTCTTGATAGGAGGGTCGCTTTAATAGGGATCATAAAAAAGAGCTAATTTTTTTCAGGTACGGTGCCCTAAAGAATCAACTTTCTACCAGTGGAACCCAAACTTTATAAATAAAGATTAAGGTAATTTTGAGTGTTATTACCTATAAAAGACTAAATTACCTATAAAAGACTTAATTTTTAATAAGAGGAATGAAAATTTTTTATCATTAATAATCTTAAATTAGATTCCGGCAGTTAAATTTACAATCCTTGTGCTGTATCTAGTCTAATTATGAATTTTTTTCTGGTGTACATGTATATACATAAGATGAAAGGGATTAAAATATGCCGAATTGTAATTTACTTCAAAATGAAAACTTAAAAGGATTACTATAAACATTGATTTTGGTTATTATGGAAACATATTTCTTTAGTAAAGAATTGAGTTACTTTGATTCAAAAATGCGATAGGAAATACTAATAGAATATTATATAAATGTTTTTTTTCATAATTTGTTTAATTATTAGAAATTTCATATTTTCTTTTAAAAAATGCCATTCCCATTTCATTGGCATTTTACTTAAAACAATTTCTTAAGGGCAACTGTAAGATTAAATAAATTATGAATTATAGGTTGGATCTAAATATAGCCAGACGTTTTAAAACTATCATCACTGGTTATAAAAAGTGCTAACCCTTTTAACTCTTCCACAGAACCCTTTTAACTCTTCCACAGAACTCAAGGGTTCTGTGGAACACCATTTGGGAACCGTTGGCATAGACTGTAGCATGTTGGCAATTTTATAGAAGGTATAAGTATGGCACTTGTGCAGAATGTATATGTTATCTATGTCACTTTTATTATTGTTGATTTTAAATTTGGCTATGAAATCACACTAATTTGTTTATTTTTAACTAGCTTTTAAAATTTTCTTTTCTTTCAATTTCATTTGTGGGTATAAATTTAAAAATGAAACCAACTGGTGGTTTGCTTCTTATTTTAACCGTGTCTTTTAGTGAAAATTATGAAGCTGTGAGGCTGGACTTGTAGCTTGCATTGATTTAGTGAAAAATCTAATGATTGTGTGTAGCAGTTTTTTGTAACTTTCCTAATAAGTTTTTCAATTTATTATTAAATAATAATTTCCGATTTTTTAATTTTTCTCAACAAAAAGAAAATTTATTTATTTAATTTGATTTAAAACTTACTTAACTTTGATTTAAAACTTAAAATTTACTTTTTAAAAAATGCAGTTTCATTAATCACATTAGTTGTTTGTTTCTCATGACATTTTTAGAATTCATTATTTTCATCCATTATATATATATATATATANTTATATATATATATATATATATATCTTTTTAGCCTACTACAAGAAAAGTTAGCTTCCAAAAATAAAGTAACTCAGAATGGTCTGCAATGGCACTTTATAAAAGCAAAGCAGTATAGCTAACGAATATGAGATACTGATTTTTTTTTTCCAACTTGCATTAAAAACTAATAAAATGTCATTAAAAATTGAAAGTGTCAAAGAGAGTAAGAGAACAAGATAAATTATCCTATGGATAATTACATCACATAAACAAATCTTCTACAAAATGAAATAACTCTTTTTGTAATTTTTTTTGTTGAGCATTTTTTAACAATATTTATAGTTTTTTTTTCTTTTTTAGTATTGTTAAATGCTTGATTATTTAGATTTAAAGTAATTTCAATATTTTTCAACTCTTTGAGTTCTTTTTTAAAAAATGTCAACTGTATATATAAATTTTTTTTAGATTACATTTGTGATGTTTTACTTCTCTATTTAACTGTGTTGCATAAAATATGAAATTTTTTAATGAAATGATCAAAATGTCACTTCACAACCAAGAATTATTTTATTTTTATCAAATTGACCATAGGTATGTCTAGCTCATGTATTTAAGTCTTATCAATTAAATATATATTTGTTATATCTCAGGTTGCTCTACTAACCAAGATGAAAGAAGAGGCTAAGAAATTCAAAGATTCTGAGCAGAAGCGCAATAGAGAAATAGCTCTATTGAAAAAAGAAAAGTTGAACAAAGAAAGCCAAATACGGGCCCTCGAGGCTGAAAAGAAACGTAAAGATTTAGTTCTTAAGAAAAGAGCAGATGAAATACAGAACTTGAAGAAAAAATTCATTGTCAAATGTATATCTCCAAGAAGTGCCAGTCGCTTGAAGACAGGTATTAAAAATATATTCTTAGTATATTTTGTGTAATATTATCATCAATGTTATCGTTTTTGTGTCATATTGATTTTGTTATAATCACATTTGTAGGTCCATTTCAACATAGATTGGCGAAGCAAAGGTGGCAACAATTAGAAAATAAAGTAATTTTTCTCATTTTTTTATTAGTTGACCATTTAGATTTAATAATGTTTTACTCGGAATTTCTGATAATTAGGACTCATAATTTTTCCTTCGGTCATATGAAGAAGCAATCATTTTAATAATTGAATGAAATACTTTTTTTAAAAAAAGCTTGACTGATAGTTGAAGTGAAAATTTATTCTTTAATATGAAATTTATTAAAAATTTATTTGAAATATTAGAAATTAAATAAAATTTATTTAAAATTGATCTTTATAATTTATCCTTATAATTTATCTTTTAATATCCTTTTGTATTTTATGTAATATTTAATTTGTGTTAGTTCTAGTGTGTACTATATTTAAGTAGTTTCTTGTCATTCTTTTTGATCGTATAATGCATTGTATTATGCATTCTTATATACGTGATATTTGTATATTTAATGTTATTATACTCTTTATATATTTTATGCTTTTATATACTTTGCACTTTTACATACTTTGTACTTTTATATAATTTATATATTACTTTTTAGCTTAATAAATTAGTTTTAAATCGACAAAATATTGCTGCCATTGAAAGGGATATGGACAGATGGCTTAAAGTAAGCTGACAAACTTTTAACTATATAAATTATTTACTGTAAAAAGAGTCTAATTTTTCTTATTTTTGGTTGCAACTATCAAAAAACTGCAAAATATTGTAACTATGTTTAAAAAAACATCTTTTTGTTTAACTTTTTAATGAATTTTAAGATTTAATGTTTGTTATTTTATTTAGTTAGTAGTTGCAAATAAAATTATATTACAAGCATGTGATTTTCCCTTTAATTTGGGGAATTCCGCGAATCGCAAGACCATTGGTTTGCAGATTTCCATTAATTGATCATTTATATTCCGGCAAAAATTTTCTTGGGAGTTTCACTAATCTAAAATTTTAATTTTGTTACTTATCTCGTTGATGAGACATTTTGTCCACCCTTAACAGCCCTCTCGTTTTTTCTTCCTAAGTTCTCATTAACAAGCAATATAGATTTTTATTTATTAATTTATTTATTGATATATTCTTTTTGATGTTATGATGACTTGCAAAGTGAGAAAAATGAGAAATGTGAAATTTTTTTCAATTTATGTATTCTTTTATGTGCAATTTTTTTTTTCTTTTAAGTAATTTTTTTTGTTTGTTACATTTTATAAATGTCACTTTTTTGCATAAAATGACAGTCTTTTATTTCTCTTTTATATACAAACAAAAATAAGTACTTTAAAAAAAAAAACATTTTAAAAAAACTGCACATTGACAGAAAAAATTTCAGATAATTTCTTCATTCAGCAATCACATGTCTGTATATAGTTTAAAATATTACTGTTTTAATAAAGAATTTTGTATCGACAATTAAATTACTGCTTTCTTTTATACTTTTAAGATGAGTCATATGAGCTCAAAGTACTTTTATGTTCTTTTTATTTACTATGTTTGATGTTAGTCTAGTTTTTTTTTTTTTTTTGTATGAGTCTATAAATAGTTTAAGCTTGAATATTTCATTTAACAGTAATGTGTTAAAAAAATGTTTGAAATCATATTTCTTTTTTCAGGAAAGAGAAAAAATTGGACGGTGTCTGGACAAAATATCTAAAAAACGAGAAAGAGCTGTGTTTGAAAACAGGGTAAAATTATTTAATCACCTCTAAAGCAAATATTATTTTTTTACTTTTTAAATTGTTTTCTGTTAACAGTTATTTCAGTGGATAGTTGACATTATTATTTTAAAGCTAGTGAAAGGCATAAATATTATCAATAAAACCTTTAAGCATTTTCTGATTCATTTAACTATTATTTTGTTTAAAAAAATTGCTTTTTTTTAAACGTAAAATTTAAACTGCAATTTTTCTTGAGCATGATTCCTTTTACTTTTACTGGTTATCTATTTTTGCTTTGAACAATTTATATACGAGTTGAAATTTCTCAAACTTGAAAGTTATAAAATTATAAATTTTTTTATCAAACCTTATCTATTAAATAGATTTTTATGTATTTTGATATTCTTTTTGTTTTGATCTCACTTAAAAGAAAATACAACTGTATAAGTTTTTCTCAAACTTGCGCTTTTATATGGAAGTGAATCTTAGACACTGGCTAAAAAAAGATCAGGATCTTTTCTTAATCAGGTAGGGAAATATAGTGAGACCTGTTTCTGGACCTGTCAATAGTTAGGGAGTATAGAGAATTTAAAATAGCTCAGAAATTATGAAAAAATATGGGCACATTGATATTGTCACTATTATAAATAAAGTTTAGGAGATTAAAGTAGTTTGGATAAATTCTACAGATGTATGAAGAAATGAAACTATGAAACCAGTATACAGTCAGCAGTGAGTAAATAAAAATAGTAAAACTTTAAATTTACTTATAGTTTCATCATGATGAAATTAAATTTCTTATTAGGTAAATATTTGGTTTATGCAAAATATTTTATCAGGAATAAAATATGTCTTTCCAAGTAATTTGATTATCAAGTTAATTAAAATTTTATTTTTTTAAAGTTGAAAATATTTAAAAATATTTTGTTGAAAATAATGGTTTTATTGGTTTTTTTTATTATGAAATAAATTCCCCATGCATTTTCTTTAAATTAAATTTACAATCTCCTTTTTAATTTTTATTAGCATATATTGTTCCAAAAACCCCGCCTTATTTGAAGGGCATCTTATCAAGAAGTTTGTTGACATCACTGTAGAAATTCCAGCTGTTTACCTTAGAGTTATCATTTCTTTACTGTTTTAAAAAAAGTGTGTTTTGAATAAATAACATTGTTAATTTGAAATGCTAAATGCAATTTTTTAAATGATCCCAATATTTTGTGAAACATTAACTAATTATTTCACTCTGTGTGAATAGGAGTCTCATGTAATAGGAGAGTTAGATGATGAAATTGAAAGTTTGAAAGCAAACATTGAATACATTCATGAAAATTTGTCAGAATGTCAGACGGCAATAACAGGCTTAGAAGAAGCAAGAGTAAGTATTAATTTTATGAAATAGTTAGTAAGTTGTGTTCTACTTTAAAATAAATTATATAATACCACTCAATAAATAGAATTTTTTTTTGTATAATGTTTTTCATATTTCAATGCATTTATTGATAAGTTATTTTTTTATATAATATCATTCAAGGAAAATTTTTGTAATTTTTATAACAGTATTAATTTATTTTGGTGACTGTTGCTCAGAAAAGATGTACTATTATCAAACATTAATATTGTGAATGAAATGTATTCTGTAAATTTTAAGTTTATAATACCTTTTTTATACTACCAAATTTTTTATGTAATCACGTTGTTCAGTTAAACTTAGAAACCTCCAACTAGGGGTTGTCAGCGTGTGAGTCGTAAAGTCTTGCGAGATGAGTTACCAAAGTTTCTTGGAAAATAAGAATCAGTATTTATTTATTAAATTTGAAGCTTTAATCAATATTAAAGCGTAGCTTTCGATTATAAATTCTATAATTGTTGTTTATATTAATTTGAATAATGGAGGTCTTTCTTTCATTTCCCTGAATTCAATCGGGCATGATATCAAGCATGTTTTCCTACTTTAGGAGCAAATAAATTCGGATGATATTGTAAGTGCCTTGAATAATATGCCATTGGAAGAGTCTCACTACTTGATTGAAAAGATAGTTCTCCTTGCAATTGATCAGGTAAGTTCTATTTAATGTAAAGTCTATTTAATGTGATATTTTATTCAAAAGGTGTTCTCCCTACGCTAAAGATTAGGATTAGAAAGCATAATTATGATTTCTGATTTGTTTGTCTTTTTAATTAATATTTTTCAAATAAAGATGAAAATTTTCTTTTGAATTAACAATGAAAAACCATTTTTGAAAGTGGACTGCAGAAAGAATTCTAGTTTTCTGGAACACAATATATATATCAATCATTATGTTAATTAATAATTATTGAATTATTCCTTAGTGTTATAAGAACAATACAAATTTGTCTAAAAAAATTACGTAGGGTAGAATAAGGTTTTTTTCTTAGTATTTTCAAATTAAAAACATTTGTTTCAAATATTATGTATAGAAAATTAATATTTTTAGTTTTTTATTTAATCTTTGAACCTCTATTTGTTTTGAATGTGTTTTGATTAACAGAAATTTTATTTAAAAATATTCAAAATGTCTAAAGATTTAAATCTTTTACACCTTGAATAGCAACTCTATATTTAGAAAATTTTCATGTTATAATTTTTGTCTTTTTTCAGAATATATTGAAATTTAGTTGGAAAAACATTTATAAAATGTATTTCTTGCACCAATTAGGCAGGTTTTCTTAATTAAATTTTAGCTGTAAGTACAAGGGCATCTCATTAAACATTTTGAGAGCCTCATTATGCATCTGTTGTGTACTGCTACCTTAAAAGAGAAAATATACCCTTTTATACTGTTTTTTACTTTCCTTTAATCAAAAGAAATTGTAAAAAATGGGAATTTTTCTGTTAAAGAGCCATTGTGAAATCAATTAAAGGACTTAATGCATGCTTGACATTTTTTTACTTTGACTTATTATAGAAATATTCCTATCCTTTGTTCAGCATTTAAATTACAACTTACCTATGCTTAAAGATATGAAAAGAAACCCCAATAATTATGGGATATTGGGTAGTAATAAGTGCAGTAAATTAATATTTGTATGTAATTTGCAAGTTGTTACAACTTTGAAGTAAAAAAGGATATTTTTATAGTCAATTTTGTCGAGAGAGTTAAAAATGTGTGAAAGATAATTTATTCTGACATAACTATGCTACTTTTGAATCTGGTACCTAGAAAGATGTGCTACTGAGTGGCCCATTTAGATATTTTAATAATAGGTTTCATGAAATATATTAATCAAATACATATTATGGTGATTTAATAAATAGTGTTTTATAAGTGATTGTATGTTTAAAAAAAATGTAGGATATGTATCGAAACCTATTTTAGTTCTATAGGATAATATTTTTGTTACTAATTGAAAATTTGCCTAATTAAAAACTAAATAATATAGAATTTTAACATGGAAACAAACAGAACTATACAAATAAGTACCACTCTTGACTTTCTTTGTTTCCTTTATGATGTCTCCGTTCCGTCTTTCATGACAAAAAAGTTAGAATAATTATAGCTTGCCATCGAGTATGAAAAATTTTGAACTGCTGGTATAAACCCATGGTACCGTTTGATGTAGCATCGGTGAGATCCTAATATCCAATTAATTAACTCATGCTTATGAGACAAAAGAGCACTATATGCACAGTCGAACCCCTCTATATTGTACTAAGGTTAACTTTTTTTTTCATCCTTCTGAGCTCCCATCACACGCTTATGGTGAACAACTGAAAAATTTTCTACTCTATAAAGTGGACTCATGTTTTAAGTTTTTTTTCCTTTTTTAATTTCTCTAACTTAAAAATTCTAGGAATCGCAATTGCGAATGACAGCATTACTTTACACTGTGTCAAATCTTACTCTTGCCTGCTATTTGCTACCTAAGTAGCTCAAACAAGTTGTTAAGCAGCACTTCCCTCTTTTTACTCTCAACCCTATGTTGTACAAAAGCAAAAAAGTTTGGAAACTTATCTCAAATATGAAATCCGCAATGATTTTTTTTCTACTGAAAATAAGGACTAGAAAATATTGAATTTCTTACTGATTGTTCATACAAAAATTGGTTGAATTAAGTTGGATAAAACTTAAAAAAACACTTGATTTCAAATATTATAAATAGAAAATTAATATTTTCCTTTTTTGCTGAAACTAAATCACTTGCATTTTCAGTTTTTTTTTACCTAATCTTTAAACCTCTATTTGTTTTGAATGTGTTTTGATTAACATAAATTTCATTTAAAAATATTCAAAATGTCTGAAGACTTAAATCTTTTGGCACCTTGAATAGTAACTCTACATTTTAGATATTTTCATGTTATAATTTTTGTCTTTTTTCAGAGTATATTAACATTTAGTATGAAAGTCATTTATAAAATTTATTTCTCATTAGGTAGGTTTTTCCAATTAAATTTTAGCTGTAAGTGGAAGGGCCACTCATTAAACATTTGAGAGCCTCATTACGCGTCTGTACCCTTTTCTACTGTTTTCACTTTCCTTTAAGTTTAATCAAATGAAATTACAAACAAATGAGGACTTTTCTGTTAAAGGGCACTATTTGATGTAGCATAGATGAAAAGTTTTGAAGCTTGATAGAGTATCTTATAAGTTATTTAGGCTTATCATGATGCAATAAAAATTAAAGAGTTAATTGCTTTTTGTATAATGTGTATAAAAATATTGATCTGTGCATGTTCTTTTTTATTTCAATTTTATTTTAGAGTTTCCAAAATAGTCAAAAGGAAATTCAGATGAAAGAATTAGAGTCTCATTTAGCCCAAGTCATTGAAAATAATGCTGTTCAAGAGCAGCTACTGTTTCACGTTGTTCAACAAGCTAATGAACATTTAGCTGGATATATAGAATTAACAGCACATACTGAACAAACAGGTGTTTATTTTATGTGTCTTTTTTGCTTTAAATAATAGTTGTATTTTGGTTAGATTATTAAAACTTGTAAATATTTGACTTAGGATGTGCGACTGAAAAGTGCTCAATTTCAAAATTCTCAAACAATTGCTGATTAATTACCCTCAAATAATTACAGATTCAAAATATTTACCAATTTCAAAATTCTCAAACAATTGCAGATTAATTACCCTCAAATAACTGCAAATTCAAAATTAATAATTTTGAATTAAACAATTCAGAATGAGATAAATTATATAATAAAAATTTGGAGCTGTAAGATCGTTAGACATAATTTTCAAAATGTTTTTTTTTTTAAATAAACCTTGCTAACATAGGCTCAGTTACAATATAGTACAGGACTTCAACTTAAGCAAAGGTGACCAACTAATGGTGTTGCATGTTCAACATATTATATTAAGTTGTGGCACAGTGAAAAATGCCAAGTAAGCATAATGGAAAGTTCATCTATGACTCAACAAAATATTGATTAAGTAAAACAGTATGTAACTTCTGGGAAACATAATTGACAAAAATATTCTGCTTTCTTCATTATTACTCAGCTATGCTCTCTCTTTCAAACCTATATTTTGGTTTGTATATTAAAATTATTCTTGTATCCTGATTGACTATTTGATCAAGCATGGATCAAATAGTCAATAAGGAACACTGGCATAATGAAGACAAGAAAAACCTTAAAAATAACACAAATCACAAACATTTCTAGAAATAAACTAAGAAGAAAGAAAGAAACTGGTCAAAAAAGGAAGAAAAAGCACCTCGTTTTCTCAAAGCATCAAAATTTAAACATTCCCATCTGAATTACTCTCTTCCTGATATGGTGGATTTTTCAACTCGTGATTTCTGACTTGCCATTCTTTTTACCCGTACCTCGTTCCTTCAAACTTGTAATCTGTCTCAACAGAACTATAAAAATTAACAAAAAATTGCCAAAATATGACCCTCCTAAAATCCTTTAGAACTCTGTACTCTGCACAAATCTTTTTGTTTATGTTTAAAGTCCTGTACAGTCATCTGTTGACAATTTTTATTACTAATTTTTAAAATCTTACAACTTTTTTTATTGATATACCATTTATATCATTCTTTTTATTCTCAATCATTTGAAATTCTATGCCATGAAGCTTGAATTATCAAGATAAAATGTCTTCTGATTTCTTTTTTCTGGGGGGGGGGATAATTTCATTTGCTTAGCTACAGCTTAGTTGTAACTGTAGACTTTGTCAGGAAGATAAAAAATATGAGCTCTCTTTAAAAAGATATACTGTGTCATAGGAAATCATGAAATATTACAGTATATGCACTAAATTTATTTTAAATAAAAATGAATGGTAAGAGAAATCAAAAGTATGATAAAGAACTTACAATAAATTAATGAAGTTTTTATAAATAAGAGACACATTTTAATTTTCCTTAACTGTGAAACCAAAGTATAATGTTTTTTTTTTCTGCATGACTAATGTTTTTTTTCTGCAGACAGCAAAATGTTTTTTTAAATCTTTATATTTTAAAAATGCATATCATTATCTACTTTTAAAAACGGTATAATTTTAGATAAAGAAAATGTAGATATTTTTAGCTGATTTTAATCAGTGTCAAAAAATAATAAAATGAAATAATAGTTTTAATTATTTGGATGCCCTTTAATTTTATCTTTTATATGAGAAAAAGAAATGAGAAATTTAGAGAAAAAGAAATGCAAGTTCAAATAATCTACAAATAGTAAAAAAAAAATAATTATCAGTACACAAAATACAATTTATTGTTTGACTCCATAATTTGTTATAGCTCTAAGAGTATCATCCTAGACTTAATAATTGAAATATTTAAACTTCAAGTAATGACAATCATCCAGTTGAAAAAATTTGTTGTTTTATAGGTAAATTCTGTCTTTTTTTTGTTAGATGATTTAAGCGAAAAGAAAATTTTTTTTAATAATATTAGCATGTAAAGTGTAAATTCAATGAGAATAATAGTCATACAAAATTAAAACATCTGTTTTTATTTTAGTGTTTTAAACTCAATTTAAATATTTTTCAGATCCATCAGAAAATGATTCTGAATCTAGGTCCCCATCTCCTGTTGAGAGGTAAGATAATTTGATAAGTTTCATTATAAAAAATAAAATTGTGTAGAATATTTTTTAATTTGTTATCAATAAGTTTATCTGTTTAATAACTAAAAGAGTGTTTTTATTTCATTTATAATCTACTGGCATTGTTTATGAATTAAATCTGTAACAAAAGTGTACATTTCATGTGGTTATTGACATTTATAATAGTTAATTTCATTTTTTTTTATTAATGCAACTGTAACTGTCACAAAATTTTCTGTTTCTATGAGTTCATTTATTTTCATGAAAATCATTTAATGAAAAAGTGTCATGAAAATTTTAGGTAAAATCTGGTAAAATTCTTTTTTTTTTTTAAGAAAAGAAGTTATCTAGCAATATTTTAGAAATTAAGTTATGATCAAATACAGTACTCTCACTCAAATATATAACAAGAAAATTTTCACAAGAAATTTTGCCCAAACTTCTAATGCTATTATTATTATATATCTCTTTTAAACCTTGCACACAGTGTTTTGTTTTACCTTAAATAGTACAGTTAATTCAAATTAGTTTTCTGTTTTGGGATTCACTAAACATTTTAATTTTCAAGTTGGATGATTAGATAATTTAGCCAGTAGCAAAAATTTATTTGCAGACATTTTGTAGCAACATTTGAATACAAATATTTCACTTTATATGTGAAGTTTTCACTTATTTAGAAGTTTTAGAAAGATAAAAATTGTCCAATACTACAGTACACTATAATATAACTGAGTTACAAAAAGGGAGTACTTTAAAAAGTAAACTTAATTAAGTATTTTACATTATCAAATTTTTATGGTGATGAATTCTGGAATCTTAAGCTTATTATTTTCAACAAAGACAGTAACAAATCTTGTAGGATGGAGTTTTTTAGTTTGAAAATTATTAATACATCTATTTCATCTGATTTTAAAGTGGTCAACTCCATTTAACAATACAGTAAAATAAGTCATAAGTGCTTCTCCATTTTTTGTGTTTTACTTGCTGCAATAACACTATTAAAATAATCAAAATTTTTAGTTTAAGTCAGTTTCAGTTATAATAATTGCTAAAAAAGACATAGAGAAAACCACATAGATTTGTGATCGATACAAAGTGGGATTATTCAAATGCAGAGTTAAAAAACACATAAATGCAAACCACATTGGTTTTAAATGGAGTCATAGCAAATAAATTGAATTTATTTTAGCCAAAAAATAATTATAACGAGGGATGAATATGCCCTGTTAATTATATTTTTTAATTTATTTTGCAAATCAGAATTAATTACCTCACTTTTAGATGACGTCGTACTGTTTTTTTGGTTATCAAAACTAGCCTTTAGTAAATTGTGTATTTTTCCTTTATATTATTAGTGCAGTATTAGATTTTGAATTTAAAGTCAGAGTAAACTCTTCTTTATACACATCTGGAGATTGATGAATTCATGTTTTATGTATGTTTGAAACCGATGTCAACTTATCAGTTGACAGATATAAGTTTTAAAGCATCATGAAGAAGCTTATGACTACATTGATATTTAGTTACATACAGGGCGCCCATACAGGGGCGGATACAAAAAATTTTCCTGGGGGGAGGGTCATAGACTCAGATCCCTCCGCAATGAATTTTCTTTATAAAAAAATTTCTTTTTTAATATTTTTTTTGGAAAAAAAACTAGGGTTTTTAATGCTAGTCTTCTCATATATTTTTTTCATAATGAACAATAGAACAATACATAAATAATTCAAGTATTCAAAATCTTTAAATAATAAATGTAATGCGTTTTTTAGAAACTTTGGCAAATCTGTCAATGATTTTTTCAACATCCAACACAATTTCTTGATTAATGTTTAATAATGCGAGTTCATTTAATCGTTCTTGATTTTGAGTTGCTCTTAACCTAGCTTTCTATAAAGACACTGAATTCTGCAAAAAATTCAATTGATAAATATTTATTGAGAGAGATTTTTTGTGTAAAAGAATTTACTCTATAAAGATATGCATAAAATAAGTTATCCAATTAAATATAGGAAATGATAATTTTATGAAAAGTAAGAAATTTATGATAGTTTCATAACATTCAGCCTTTTAAAGTTAGCAATATATTCAAACTTGTTTGAATATTAAGCACATATATTTCTGCAAATGACCATTCAAAAAAGGTTTGAAGACGCTGTCTCACAACATAGTTATGGTTTGTCGTTTTTTTCTTTTAATGTTGTTTAAAATTTCCGTGTGATCAGAAATTTTCTTATTTTTCTAAAAGCTCACAAAAAAGGAGAAATTAATTCAAAACTTTTTAGTCAAAGTAATTTTCTCAAAATTCCAGCATTTAGATTATTTTTTATTATATAATTTAAGTGAAATTCCAACTATTTTGTCACATTTATCTTATTTAAAATGTAAATGATTAAAAGTCTTCAAATTCAGGACATTTTAAACTTGTCATGAAATTAGCTCATTGGATGTAGAACTATCTTCATGAATATAGTTTATATTGAAGAAAATCTTCTAAATATAAAAAGGGCTTAGCTACACACTTTTCACCTACTTGTTTCTTATTATTGTTTCTAGATAGCACTTAACATATTCTTGGAATTTCCATTAAATACAATCCCGATGCACAGAAATAGCCCGTTTCCCTCCTGGGAATTGTAGTATATTTCACTAAGAACACTCTTAAAAAAGTATTATTTAAAAATTTAGTTTATCAATACATTACCTTAGCCCCTTCATATCTTACTGGCCATGTGCATGCGTAACACGAGGTTATTTCTATATATATTTATTTTATAATATTTTTCTTCTTGTTTAAAATGTTTGTACTTGTTTTTCTGTAAATATGGTTTGAATGAATGTATTTTATCTCATTTAATTTACTGATTTGACTATTATTAATTCTTAAGACTATTATTAATTATTCTTAAATGATTGTTTTTCTCTTTTTTTTCTTGCTCTTCAAATGGTACATCACCACTGGTAAACACATTAATTTTCTGCATCTTACTTTTTACTAACAATAGAAATTATACATTATTTACTTTAACGCTTTTGTTTCTTTACATTTCATTTCTCTTCCTACATAATTATAATGGAAGCTGATGTATGATTCTTTCATATTGACTTCTGAATCTTATATATTTCCTCTACTTATAATGGAATGGTTTACTTTCCTTCAAAGCTGAATGAATCAGCGGTCAGTTACCAATGCATGAATAGTGTTAGTTAGCAGAGCCGTCGCTGGACTTTGGCCGAGCTTAAAACAAAAGATTTCACAGTTCCTTTTAAATATTCTCTTTTAGCGCAGCACCTGTCACTTATTATTTTGAATTTTTGCATAATTTATCAAAATTGATTGTATGATTTTTTTTCAAATTATATTTATAGGAAGATAGAATTTAGTTCTTTTTCTGATTAAATTTATTATTATTATTATTAAATTTTGCATCTATTTTATCGATGAATCTGATTTTTTTAAAAAAATTTGATACTTTTAAACATCAAGTGTCTCTAGAAGTTAGGAGTTGAGTCTTGCATCAATATACACGTTAAAATGTTTAAATGCATTTAAACTTAAATTAAATGTATTTACATTTAAATTAAATATTTTTAAATTAAAATTTTAACAAAATAATTTTTATTTTATGATTTTGCTTAAAATGATGTGGAGACTCCTGCCTTTAGGAACATTGGGTTCTAAGTAATTGCATCAATCCATATCATTTAAATAAAAAACAAAATTTTCAATATCAAAAATAAATGTAAAAATCTAAATTTTTTAGTTACGTATTTAAAAAATATTTTTTTGTATATCTTTGACACATGGCCCCCAAAAGTTCAAGAAATGGAAGCCCCTGAACATATACCCTGCTCGTCCCATTGTTTCGACGGCTCTGATTATTAGGTTTCATTTCTTACTCCTCTATTTTCATACCATGCTACTTCCTTCAACCTAAAGGAATCATTATTTTTATTTGAACAATTATTTATATTTTGGATAATTTTTATTTAAAATGCATGAAGTTTTAAAAATGGCATATCTCCCTTTCAAAATCATACCTCCTCATTGTAGTATGTCCAGCTTTTCTCGGGAATCAACCTTTATGTCCGAAAAACCACGGAGGAGAAAAGTGAGTACTAACTTAAATTAATCATTTGTTTTTCAGAATTTTTTAAATTTTGTATTTTTTTCTGTACGTTCATTCTAAAAGACAAATTTTTGGAGAAGAGGCACTAAAAAAATTTTTCTTTGATTCAATAATAACTTTTCACAGCTGTAAAAAATTGCTAGAAATCGATAAATTCTTGAAGCAAAAAAAAATCAGAAAAAATTGAATTTAATTTTGCCAATTTAATAGTTTTATAATTATAACTAGTAACCCTGCTTTTAATTATATATTATCGAATTGAAAATTAGTATCTTTACGTTACTATTTGAGGATACATGTTTTTTTTATATTCCAGATTTTTAGTTTTTCAGATATTTAAATGTACTTACTTCTTTAAGTTTTAATTGAGAAGGCCAAAAAAAATTGCTGCACTATTATCAATGCTAGTGATACCTATTAATTATAGTATTGGGTGCTACTGACATTTTTGTAATAGGTATTTTGTAATAAGTTCTTTACAGCTTCTAAAACAGAATAGTACTGTTCTTGTATATATTTTTACTATTCAAAAATATTCTTAGCAGGATCTCGAAGAGCCACAGCAGATTTGTTTGCACTAAAAGTAATTCATATTATTAAATCAGAAATTTTTAAAGGATCATATATTTTGTATTAACTATGCATTACATACATTTTGTAAACTTATTTTTATTGCTAATGTGCAGAATAATATTCCTTTTACTTTATTCTTTTTTGCATATGTTATTTTTTTCTGGGTTATCTATTGAAGTTTTACCAATAATTTTGCCTGTTTCTATATCATTTTTAGAGGAAATAACTATATATCTCTAGAAATTTCCCTATAAATTTTGAAAGATTGAAAAAATTCTATTGTACTTACATTAATCAATTGCTACGCGGAAAATTAAAAGGGTTTTTTAAGGGGGAAAAGTAAATTCTTACTTTACATTTTAACTGCCATTGTAGACTATTTTTATTCATCGTTTTCGATTACAGTCAATATTTTAATATTCAGTTTTAATTTACCTTTTTTTAAATTAGCTGATAATGTGCTTAAAAGAGAAAATGACTTCATGAGGTTAGTGAGGACAGATTATTGTGGGTCTTTTTTAGATGCATCATTATAGGTTTTTCTGTGACAATAATATAGGTTACTCACCAACACATCATTTGTATAAGTATCATCATTTGTAGCTTTAAAAAAGTGTTTTATTTATCAGCTAATATTTTTACACCATAAGCATTTATTCACTAACCCTTGCTTACCGTGTTTACCACGGTGAAGCCTGTCATTCTAGTCCACATGTTGTACCAGCTATTAGCAAAATGTTAAACTCTATAAATTTTTGTACAGGTGGAAAATTTTTAGAAAAATTTATGTTTTGAAATATTTTAAGCTTTTTATCATGATACTGATCATCTATGGAATTTTATTTATTTTTACAGTTGTAAAATGAGTGCTTCCAAAATTCTATCAATGCTTCATTTAATATTGATTTATCTGATAACAACATAAAATGAAAAATAAATTAGATTTAATTAAAAAATCAACATATTTTACACTTAATAAATATTTTTTATCATTCGAAATGATGATGAACGTTCTATTATTTTTACAGTTGTAAAATTAGTACTTCCAAAATTCTATCAATGCTTTATTTAATATTGATTTATCTGATTACAATATAAAATGAAAAATAAATTTGATTTAATTAAGAAATCAATGTAATACACTTATCTCTACACTTATTTATTAAATATTTTTTATCATTCAAAATGAAGATAAATTTCAAAGTTTGATTAGAAAAAAGAAGAAAAAAAACATTAGATTTTACATGTTTAGAGTTACACTGTATGTAATCTTCATTATATTGTAAAATATTAATTTTTTTTTCTAGTTTCTTCTAGATTTTGTAATTTGATTTATTTATTTATTTTAATGATTTTTTTATTTGTTCTTTTTTTTTAATTTAAGGCTAGGAATCAGCCAGTTACTACTGAGCAACTATTGTTCTCAACAGGAGATAATGAAACTTCTTCTAAAGTTCATGTCAGTGATATTAATGAATTGACTCAGGGGGATTTTCCTGTACATCTACATGAGTCTCCTACAAAAACAGAGTAATTACTTTTTCATAATTTAAATAGTATAGTAGTATGAAACTATTTCTACAAATAACAATTCACAATTATTCAATTGAATATATTTATATTATTTCCTAAATAATTTTTGCTGTTGAAAAATATAATCAGTTTTCATTTTGACCTTATGAGCATTACTGAAAGCTATTCCAAATTGAAAGATGTGACTTTCTTGTAACAAAAAGCCAGTTTTCTCAATGGGAAAGGCTTAGCAGGAATGTTCAGGATGACCACCCACCTGGAATTATCAGGGATTTTTTTTTTATACTTGAAAGAACCTGGAAAAATCAGGGAATTTTAAAGAAAAGCTGGAAATTTTTTGATTTATTTTTTTTTTTAAATTTTACTAATTTAAATTATTTTACCCTCCATTATACACACTTTTTTTAGGAAGTTTACATCCAAACAATTCATATATCTTTAACTTAACGATGCTTTGCTTACAACAAAATTTGCTCCATAATTATCCTGTTCAACTAGAATGCTTCATATAACTCTCCCATGGTTGCTAAATGAATGGAGAAACCTTTGACCTCTATGGAGGCTATGGGACTGTACAGTTTAGAAATGGCAAACATTGTGGAAGAAGGGGTTAGGATATTTGCTTTATAATTATCATTTATCAAAATTAGTGTGTTGAGTATTTCTTCCAATTTGATGTCAAATGTATTTTTGTCTGTTTTATCTGAAATACAAATTTTGTAACCATAACTTTTATATGAAACTTATAACTAAATATTAAATTTTTTTTTATTATCTAGTGAAAAATCTTTGTCATATGTTGTGCTCCCTGCTGCTAATAAATACCAGAATGGAAACACTAGTTTACAATCTACTGTGTCTTATGCTGATGAAATACCCTCAACATTGTAAGCATAAATATGTATATTTTCTTAAAGCTAAAAATTTTCTGTAAATTTGAACTCTTAAATTAAATTATTTGCACAAATTTGTAATTAGTAAAATGCTATTACATTTCGCTTTTTTTTAAATTTTTTATTTTTAACTGAGAATGATTTTTATTCTTCTGTTAAACCAACTTTGAAAAATACCTGCTGATTTATATGTCTTATTTTCTACTATTAACTTAATTTTTGCTCTTATCTAGTTTTTTTTAATTATTAGTTTAATATATGTTATAATTAATGAAATTAATTACTGTTTTGGCAGAAATTCATGTACTTTTCTTTTTTCTATATTGTCTTCGTAAGACTTTTATAGTTGTGAATACTATAGCATTCATTGTTAATGTTATGCATTGAGACATAAATATTATTTCATTCATATCTATAAATTTTCTATAACTTGTTTATTGCTAAAAAGTTGTTTATCTTTTTATTAAATACATCAATTTGTACAGCTTATTGCAATTTCTCATAAATAGGCTGCTAATAATAATTTTAGTTACAGTTTTTTAATTAGAAATTTTAAAGAAAATAGAAAAACATTTGAGAAACATAGTCAAAAACGTACAGATGATGTTTTATTTAGTAGCCCGGAGGGTAAGAGTTATTTACATAAGTTATACAATAAGTGGAACGACATTTGTTCTCGCGCTCAAAACTGCAACACATGTGCAGAATAGTTATTCTTGTTAAACAATTTATATTTAACTAATTAAGATTCCTTTTTTGCAATACGTTTGTTTGCAAAATGAAATTATTTACTATTAAAAAAAATGGCTGTAACTTACTAGCAAAAGTTGTTTTTGTTTATTTTTGACGATATCCAAGGATATTTTGTAATTAGCAAAAGTCTTATTGCAGAACCTTAGATATAATTCTGCTCCTTTGCAATGGAACTTCTAATAAGTTTATGTTAATTGTGGACAAAGGGGAAGTGTGAAACAAAAAATGATTGAAAATTTAAATTTGGAAAATGCAGATTGAAAAATTGGAATAACACATTGTAGTCTGTTGATTAGATAGATTTTTTAATCTAAAAATTTATTAATGCTTAACAGGGGATTTAAACCTATTATTGCAAACAATGGAAAACAAAGCTCCTATTTGGTTTGTTCACACATTGTGGAAGGACATGACCAAGCTGTTTTATGTGTGGAATGTACTGATGATGTTTTATTTAGTAGCTCTGAAGGTGAGAGTCATTTTTGAATTTAATAGTTTACACTCATTATTAATGTTGTGTTAATTATATCAAATAATGTAACATAATGTATGTTACATTAAGTTCCAAAACCTGGTAAATTTCACATTTTAAATTTTCCTTCGAAATATTTACTTTTTAGCTCATTGCTCATATTACAACTTATGCAATATGAAAAGAGAAGTAATTATACTTTACTTTAACCTTTCAAAATAATTAAACATCAAATAACATTCAAGTATTAAAACAAAATAAAAATACATCAAAATAATTAAATAGAAGTGCAACTCAACTTACTTGCAAGAAACACATCCTCTGTAAAAACATACTGCAAGATTTAGTAAGACTTTATACAGAGGAGACTAAGGCTTTATTGCTAGAGGTACATAGGCATGTAGAAGTACATAGGCGTCAAGACCAAAGATTTTTCTGGTCTTGAGTGATATAAAACATTTACTTGTATTTTCAGACTTTTACAAACACACTGTAATTATGGTGACAGTCAAACAAATTGAAAATCTAAAATCCTGTAAATTAGTAAGATTTAACCTGAGAGGGCGCAGAAATTTAACATAAGTTTGTTTTTTAGTCTCAATTTTTTCTTTAATTATTTAAAATTGGGCTAAATCATTTGTAAATACAGTAAAAATGTGAAAAGGTCCTGCATTTCATTTAATTTTCCTCTTACATCTTTCAAAAACTTGTTCAATTTGAAAACTTTTTATTCTAGACTTGTCTACCTTTCATAAAGTACTGAACTATGTATTAATTCATTCTACAGTCTGTAAGCAAAATGTATTTTTTACTAGATATGTATTTTAAATCAAAATAGTTTTTTAAAATAAAAGGAAAAAAGGGTAGATTTATCTATTTTATTTTTAAATTTTTTTTCGTTTGATAGCAGAATTATCTTTACATTTATGAACTCAATGTTCCAAATTGAATAAAATATCACCATTGGTATGTAACTTGGCTATTAGAATGGTTATACAATTTTATGACTTTAGTTTCTTATTATTCCTCGTTGTTGGATGAATCACGTGGAAATTGTGCGTCAAGGAAATCAAAATGGCCCCTCATCCTATTTTTTAATACAAAAAGTGTCAGTTATACAACAGATGCATGGGGTTTAACTATATAGTAAAACATGTCTGTGTAAGTTGACCATTTGTGGTGCAAGGCTTAAATGGTCAACTTATTGGGGGATAAGTCCTAATTTTTTCTATAATTTCTTCGATCCTATATACTATATATATATACAGTACAGAACCTCTTATCCAGAAATCAGAAAGCCGGAACAAAATTCAATACCGCCATTTAAAAAAAAAAAAATATTTCCTCAAAAGATTTCAGAATTTTTCTTTCTTTTTTAAAAGATGTTTACCATCATTTTAGAAATAATCATTACTTCCCTACACTGTCAAAAGAAGTAAGAGTTTTTTAAATGATTCTAAATATATATATATATATATATATGTCAANAATCAACTCATATCGTTTTCTATATATATATATGTATATCATGTATTTTTCTCATGTTACCAATCAAAATAACAATAAATATACTCAAATTTTTTTAAAAATGACTTCAAATTATTATTTACCAAGTATATCATGTATCTTAAAAAATGTGGTTCATTACCTTAATAAATTTCAATTTTGTACATAAATTTAATATTGAATTGATTAAAGAGAAAGAAATGCATTTTTGTTAGAGATGCAGTATAGATATTTATTTTAAGCAATTTCTTATCAATAATTTCTCAAAATGTCACTACAAAAGAACATATATGCAATTAAACTAAACTTACTAGTATCAAAGCAAGAGGGGTCACCCATTGCTCCTTGCACTCAAAAAGGCTCTGAACTGCTTATCAGTTACTTTGGGATTGTTTCACAATTTGAACTCTCTTTGCGGGGATCATTGGATACTTTTTAAAATGAAGTTCTAAGTCTATGCAATACATTACCTTTTATTTTTAAAGATTTATTTCAATTTATTTACATTGCGATTTTATGTATACAAACTATGAATTTCACTGCTTGGAGGCATAACATATTTTTTATTCATCCATAAATTAATTATGCCTTTATTCTAAAATAATCTCAAAATGAATAAATATCAGAGGAAAAGATAAGAAAATGAAGAACAAAATAATTTTTGCCAAATCTTTTATGATAAAATAAAGATAATCTTTCACACCATAAATTTCTCGAAGAATCGTTAAAACTAAAGTATAGCTCTGAATTATTATAAAAACTGCATAAATTGATACATTCATTCAGTTTTTTTATTGCTATGAACTATTTGCTTCGTTCACTGTCACCTTTTCTTCACAAACTATAGTTAAGTTAGTTTCAGCTTTTTGTTGTGAAGGAATTTTCTTTTCATTTAAGCATTCATGCTTATGTCTGCTCACTAGTTTTATTAGCTCTTTTTTACCATTAAACCCATTAAATACAAAGAAACAAGGAAATAAATAAAAAAAAAGGAGAAGAAAGATTCTAAATATTAAAAAATTAATTTCTTTCTTTCTTTCCTTGTTTCTTATTATTTTTATATTTTATTATATTATAGATATTCATTTCAACACTTTAAAATTCATTTTTTTAGTATTTACTAGTTACAAACCTATTTATTACAAAAGCCCTTAATAGCTGTCCCGTATAGATTAACTCATTTAGGCAAGCTTTTAATTCTTTTTTTTCCCCAACTCAGTAAATTCTAAGATGTAACATAATGGCATAGAATTTTTTTAATTTTTTTTAATCAACTCATATCGTTTTCAATAACTGTCTTGGATTAATTTAACTTATTTCAACAGTCAACTTACAAAATAGACACATGGTCAAATTACAAAGGTTTTGCTCTCTTTTCTCTGACCTTGAGTATTTGGTTTTAGAATTCTTAATCATTTCTGTTTGTTATTTTTTTAAAAATTTAATCAAGAAATTATTTAAGCTTATTTTAAATGTTCATGTTTTGTGGCTTACTCTGCCGTTTTTTTCTTGGTGGGCAAATTATTTGGGAGCAAATAGTATAAAATGTAGTCTAATTTTTTTTTTCTTTTCAATGCTGTCACTATTTATTATCTTTCCAAAATGTAATATTTTTTTAAAAACTATGCTTCATTCTGGTATGTATGAATTTGTTTCTAGATGGCTACATTAGGATATGGGATTTAGCAATTAATGCAGAGATTCAAAATATGAATCATATCAGTGCAGTTAGAAAGGTATGTTACTGTGAATATACAAGAAGAGCCTTTACTACTTCTGCATCATCAGTAAAAGTCTGGGATGTAAGACAGAATCCTGCATCTATTGTGCACACATTTTGGTAAGAAATTTTAAAACTTCCTTGGTTTTTTGTAATATGTAGTTTGCTTTTTTTTAGTATCATAGATATTTTATGGGTTTCCTTTCCACTTTGATTTCTACAAAATTTTGATGTGATTAGCCATTCTAGTGTAAATATCAACGAGTGACTCCATGGTTTTGTTTCACAGCTATTTAGTTAAATTATTTAGCAAAAAATGTTTTGCAAACATGTTTCCTATGTCTGAATTAATTTAGTACCAATGTCAATGCATAAAAATAAAGTTATTTCTAATTGTCCCTTCATCATGGAATCACTTCAATCAATTGAGTAAGTTAAACTCCTATTTACTATTTCAAAAATATGATTTTGATGTATAAGTTTATCTCTTAATTTACGCTTGTTGAAAATGTAATTTTCATTTCTTAAATACAATAAGGTAAAAAAAAAATATGTGTAGGGCGATTCTTTCGTTACGTGTGTTACTTTTACACGACATATTTCAACTTTAACACTTATTATAATAAACTTGTTAGATATTTTTTATGTTTTTCTTAATTTGTTGTTAAATCTATATGTGTTGTAAGTTTTCAAAACGAAGATTGAAGGCGCAAATTAATTTGATGTTGAAAAAAAAAATTTCTGAAATTTTGTTACGTGTGTTACCCTTTATAATGCTAGATATTTGAAACTTTGAATATATTCATTTAATTCTGTGAAGTATAAAGGCAAAAAATTAAGATATTTTCTTTTATAGAGAGATACAATATCGAAGCTGTGTTTAGTGATTTTTAAAAATTTCTTGCAACAGTAAAAACTTCTTTATTTTGGTGAAATTGGTGCGTTACGTGTGTTAACTGAACGTTACGTGTGTTACCCTCTGTGAATATTTCAACTGAGAAGTCATAAATGTTGCACTAAAACATTTATTTATTTTAATTTAGCAGAAGAAAAACAATTTATTTTAGCAAATAAAATAGTTAATGGTCTGGAAAGATGGTTGTAGCCCTTCTTTATACTGGTTTAGAGAGTAAAACATAGCAAATCTTAGGCACATCTATTCCTTCAAAATCATTTCTGTTTGGAAACAAAAATATGCATATTTTCCAATTATTTTATGCAAATATTGCATTTTAAGTTTACAAGCATGTGCATTTGCGTCAATAATGTTCCCGAGATAGAGCATATGTCGTTTTAATTTCAGTTATAGGCGCACTTCTGATCAGGAGGGAACAGAAATTGACTTACTGACTATTTGTGTGCCACAATGTGCATCTATGCATCTTATTCAAGTATCTAACGATACTTATGCATAGATTTTATGCTTTGTATTACCGTTGCCATGTATTGATCTTTTCAATTAATATCTTTATTTCCTTTTGGCTAATATATAATACTGTTGTATTAGGCATGAGTTGATTGGTTAGCTTTGCAAACAACACTGGATAGCAAATAAATTTTTTTGTATAACAACACAATGATATAAATAACTTTGCTTTTTGCTTCGCTTTCAAGATTTTGTACTACACACCTATCCCATAGAAGGAACTTCTGCATGTGATATCGTAAAATATTTCCAAATTAATTTCTTTTTTTATATTTTGATTGACAAAATATGAAATAATTCAACCATATATTTATTTTTAAATTCTTAACTTGACTTATTACTATAGAAGGTTTCTGTTAGCTCTTCTTCTGAAGTAGAATCGTTTTTAAACAGTCTTAAAATAAAAGTGTAGACATTGTTTCACCTTTGTCTTTGCCTTAGGAAAATATTGTAAAGGACTCTATTTTAAACTCTTTAGGAGAGTATCGTCTAAGACAACAGCTGCTGTGAATAACGGAACTGTGGCTGGATAGCATAATGCTGATTGAAATTCGTTTTGATATTCAAAAGAATATGCCATTGCAAAGTCAACTTGAATTTCCCTGGTTTTAATGCTAGATATGTTTGTTTGGAAAGTATCACCTCGGATTCTTTTAACTCTTACGTATTATTGAAAGTTAGTCCAATTTTCAAGAGTTATTTCAAAACATTCTTCTTGCACATTTGCCATTATATATTTTTTATTGTGAGCTATTGTCATCTTTTTCTCATCGTTACCAAACTACAATAAATGATGGTTAGAAACCTATAACAAGCAATGAGAAATTTTTGTAAGTATCAGAAGCACCCTTCCAACAATTAGATCCAAAATTTCTTTTACTTTATATACATAAATACTTCTACCATCACCATGTATTGTCATAAACTTAATTTTAGCCTTCCAGTTAAAGAATAAAAATTTCATGATATTTGTTTTGATTCTAAGTTTTACAGTAGCAATAAATTTTTTAGTCATAAAGCACTAAATATGGAAAATTAAACAATGTTTAGGATGCAACTGACAAAAATCAGTATAAGCCTCTCTTAGAAACATTGTTAGATAGTTCTTTCGTTTTATTGCCCGTTTTTCCCCGTAATAATCCAGAGAACCAGCTCTTGTTTCAATACAAGCATAGTATAAACAATCTAACTTTTGAAGAAAATCCATTTATTAATAATTAAGTTCATCTGAAATACTTAGTGGTGAACCTTTTACATCATTATCAATCTGTTTTGAAAGTTCAAGTCTAACTTTCATTATTTCCTTATTTTCTTTCCTTTGAAGTGCAGAATCTTATGCTCTTTTCTTTTTTTCTTCATCTTCTTATTCTTTTAAATCCAGATAAGGACACTATTTTAAGCTTATCCATTTTATAATAATCTAGCAAATGCAGTCGAAATATTCTACTTAAACATAAACGTATAACAAATAGAAGTTTGGGAAAACAATTTCCAAAAGTTTCAAAATTATCGTCTTATTATGCTGTTTTTTTATTAATGCTTATACCGACCTGATTTTACAAAAAACCACAATCTTACAATTCCGTATTTGTGGCATTGAAGTTGCGCGGCGGTTATAAAAAATGTCCGAACATGATTTAAATCTTTTATTGAAAATAAATAAATAATTAAAGTGTATAAGTACCTCTAACACACATAACAGTAACGCGCGTAACTTTTCGTTACGTGTGTTACCTTGAATAAAATTAATTATAAAATTTTAACTATTGGCAGTTTTAATTCGAGAATTTTTTCCGTTGCATATCTTGCCTTCTTAATTTATAAAACAAAAAATTTTTAAATTTTCTTTTTTACTAAAGTTTTTACAGAAAAAAATGCAAAATTATGTTACGTGTGTTACTGGGAAATTAGACTATCTTGATTAATCGACTTTCAAACAAGCAAAAAAATTTAGGCCAAATTAAAAAAATACATTAAACAATGATAAAAGAGTAAAATAGTTATATTTATTACTAAAAACTATTTTATTGCTCTTTAATATTTTAAGAACTCCATTGGAATATAACATAACAAAGAAGAGAACTCCTGTTAAAATTCATAGTGTTCCACCTTTTGTTAGAATTCACATAAATATTTTTTGTAATTCAAAAAACTATCTTAACTATTAAAAAATGTACATCTTCTAGATTCCGAAATTGTGTCATTTTTGATTTTACGATAATTTTGAAAATTTAGTCACTCAGGACCACTTTTCGTGGAATCGCCCTGTATGTGTGCAAAATTTTCTTAATAAAATTTCACGAGATTGTTTTTGATTAAGAGTCATTTTATCTATCATTTTCTCAGAAAATAATGACTGGTGACTTTTGTGTAAGGGCAGGATGAGAGTTTTTGAGATGGATGTAAAACAAATAATATAACCATAGAATTGATGAACAGGGGTCTGTTTAGAAGGAATTTGGGTTCGTTAACGAACCCTTCACAAAATATTTTAACTTAAAAACGGACCCTTCACAAAATGACTTTTCTTTTAATTGGACTCTTCACAAATTTGTTCATCTTCATTATTGTTTTGTTAATTGAACCAGGGCAGAAAACAAGAAAGATGAATGTAAACGAATTAAGTCCTGTCGTCGGCAGTATAGGCTAAATCCCAAATATTTGTATGTTGCATCTGTAATTTAGAAGCAGCAATTAGTGTTTATTTTTGAAAAGTTAATTTTTTTATTATAATTTTACAGTGCTGAGCATAATCTTGTATCTATTTACAATTTAAAAACTCTTTGAAAAAGTTTTTTGCAATAACCGGACCAAATTCATAAAAGCAGGACCCTGGTTGAAAGAATGTGAGTAATTTTTTCGCAATTTCACAAAAACTGGACCGTTCACAAATTGTCTGGACAGACCCCTGATGAAGGTATTCGATGATATTATTGGTTGAACTTCTGTAGGAGGAGGGACATTAAATGAAAAAAAATTGTTTTCTTTCTAGATTACTGATCTGTGTAATGAATTTATTTGAATAACAAATTATTTCTACGACTGAAAAATTTTATTCCTGACCATTTTGAGTTGATATTTTCTTTATGTTCTTCAGCAAGATAAAATTTTTCTCGAGCATCAAAAAATATTTTCTAATACAATAGCAAAGTTCTAAATGGCTAACGTGGCAAAATAATTTTACATATATTCTTATAAAATCAAATATGCAAAAAATTTTATTAACTTTTCCTTTATCCAATATTTCATTTCTTATATAATTGATATTCTTCGACTTCAGTTAGCTTACACATTTAGCTGACATCTTTTCTGAATGAAATGAATTAAATTTATTCATGCAGAGTGCCCCCTGATGAAGTCCTGTATTGCATTTATGTTTCCTTCATAATTCTTTTATTTCGTTTTTTAAAATTTTTAATATTCCTATTGAAGTTTAACTTTATTATTTTTAAATCTATTTAAATTTGTCATTATGAAGTACAATTGGCACCATTTCAGTGAGCATAATAAATTTGTGTGAACCATATTAAAATAAAAATGAAGACATTTTAAATTTTATTACACAATACTATGGTTTCACTTGAAAGAAAACAATAAGGTTTCAAAACAGTTTCACAATAGTATGATTCAAAGTTTAAACATAGTGGTTGAAAATAAATTATTTTAAGAGTGCAGGCTTAAAAGAAATCCGATTGTTTTTTTGAAATTATTGTATATTCCTTTTCCTCTCTTATTATAAAACATATTATAAAAAGGAAGTTTTTCCAAGAAGAAAAAGTTAGGGAACCACCGGTTTAGACAAGAGTAATCTTCAACAAATCCACAAATTTTATTTTCACAATTTTATTATTTTATATTCAAATTTTATCCACAGAGTAACAGTCTACTATATTCTAATAAGTACTACCTGATGTTCAAATAAATCTTATATTAATATAATATTTTAAAACAAACATCATTGCTTGCTAGGATCAAAATTAATGCTGGTTCAAATTCACCATAGAATAATTATTAGTGGTCTACAGGACCAGTAATTCTGTAAAGGTATAGTAGGCAAAGCTGCCAACTACACTTTTTGCAAATTATTTTATAAAATGATTGCAAATTAAAATCTGAAGCTTTCAGATTTCTTGGTAGCTTTGCAAACCTTTTTAAAACATCACACAAAAGTTGGAACGAAGTTGTGTTTTTTATTAAATTTTGAATAATTTAATGGTAGTGGTGGAGAAAATTACTTTAAATCAAAATTTTGAAACGATAAATCATATATTGAGACATAAACTTAGCAACCATTTCAATACATTTTCCGAAAAAACATAGAAATTTAGCAGCCCCGGGTAGGCTGTTATGGTTTTTTAATTTCCTATTCTACTCTTTTTTCTTCTTTTTCTCTCTCTACGGAATAGCATATTTCATCACTATTAAAAGCATTAAACATTTTCTTGATTACAATTTTCCCTTAATTTACTTTATTAACTTTAAAAATACCAGATTTGAGAGGCATGTAAAGGGACCAGAAGAAATGCATTGACAAACTAGTAAAATCTTTTAGTTACTGGTCTTTTTACCTGTAACTCAATTTTTAAATTTTTACCCCTGAATTGGTGCTTTTATTCTAAGTTGCCAACCTACAATTGCTATTTATTTTAACTTACTTTTGAATTAACTATGAGATAAATAAATATTAAAAAGAAAATTATCCTAACAGCATGAGTACCAGATTATTTTACCTCTCCCAGTATTCAATAGTATGAATGGTTTGAATTTAAGTTAAATAAAAAAAAAAATATTCTGTGATTTCTTTTCTTCTTTTTTTGTGCAATAATTATATTAAAAATTGCATAGCTTTGACTCATTGCGATTTTTATTTAATGCTGTTTTACTTTTAGGGCATCTGGTAAGCTTGAACGACTGAAAGATGCAACTCTAGGTCTTGATGATGAAATAAATGATATATCTTTAAACCAGTATGGTACTCTCCTTTACGCAGCTTCTACACGATCGGTTCAAATATTTGATTTGAGGATGTAAGTAGAATTCTTTTATTTCTGAATAGAAATTTTGATTTGTTCCTTCTGAAAAAATTTTCTACAATAGACTGAGAAATTAAGTTTTTTTTTCCACATTTCATTCCTTTAAAAGAATAACTACTTGTAAGAAAAGCCTGAGCAGCTATTGTGTACATTTTATGTGTCATTATTAATCATATAGTTCGTTTACTAAAAATTGAAATGAGAATATTATATCTGTTGTAACTTTGATGAGTAAAAAACAAACCTCTTAATGATCTACAGAGAAAATATTCTTTGAAGACCATTATCTGTTTAAAAAAAAAACATTATTTCAGATTTAGGCTTAAAAAAACATGTGTACATAATAATTATGACATTTAATGACTGAATAATTTATGCAATTTTTTAACTTTGCTTTAACTTTTATTAATTTTATACAACAATAAATTATTTTCCATTTTACCCTATTTTTTAGCCATGAATATTAATCAGCCTTTAAAAATACATTCATCTTCTTTCGTATTTCATTCATATAAGTTTTTTTCAAGAGAAGGAAGTTTATGTCTTACTAATTGTGCTAATAAACATTAAGGGAAAGGATCACCTTAAACGGAATTTATTCCTCTTTCTTTAAAATCTTATTAAGGATAATTTTTATGAATTAATTCTCACATATGCCATGTTCTGCAATATTTTTTTTTTAAGTTATAGGTATTTATGCTTTTTTAATGCTCCCTCTAAAAATTATTTATTAGTTATTTATATAATAATTATTTTTTAGCGTTTGATTTAATCACTGGATAATCTTAAAAATAAGAACTTAGCTGGGAATCATGTTTACTCTTGATAATTTTCTCACTATTTCACTGTACTCTAATTTGTAACTTCATTTATCTTTTAATGTGTTACAAGTGCTGTTTGTAATATCAGCTAAGTAATTTCTCACTCTAGGTTGCAATGTATAGGAGCCTTGGATGTTGGTTATAAGTCCAATGTGCTGTGCCTAGCTGTTAACGATATGGAGTTTCAGAAAAATAGAATAGTATGTGGTACTGGCGACAAAGCTCTTAAAGTATGCAATTATAACTACAAAACTCATTTCTGTAAACACCTTTTTAAAGTGTATCCTATTAATTAAGTTTTACAATGTGTTTTTATTAATATAGGTATTTGAAGCAAGGGAAGATGATTTCGGCATTCATAAGCCAAAATACAGTCTTTCGCCTTTTCATGAAGATGCAATCCAAGCTCTTGCCCTTTATGATAATACTTTATTGTCTGCTTCGAGAGATAAGTCTATAAGAAAGTGGAACTTGGATACCAAACAAGCAGAATATGTAAGGATAAGAAGATTGTATTGTTTTTTGATTAGTTCTAAATAATATTATTATTGTATATTTATTTGTTACAAAATGTTTTGTTTCTTTTTTAGAAATATGTAAAGTATACGTGAGAAGAATGTTTAAAAACCAAATCTGTATTTAAATTAATCTATAATAGCAAGTTAAAATCCAGGTGTTCCCCTCTAAGAGCATTTGAATAATTATTTTTGAACACTTTAACATTATGACACTTTATAAAAATGTTTAAAAGGGCCAATAATTAAAATAATTAATTAAGGGCAAATGTTTAAAAGCAAATAAGTCATGGGAAGTTTTAAATGAGTCGTTCTTACCAAAATATATCTTTTTTCTGATACCTCTTTGAAGAGAAGGGGTTCAAAATGTGTTACTGAGATACAGTAGACACTTCTTTAATTGGGATTATCAGAGTTACAGATTATTATTATTATGTTAGACATCTTTTTGTTATAATTAAATTATATATGTAATATTTATATTAAATTATTGTATTGTATAAAATTTGCATAAATTCGATCATTAGAGATCCAGAAAGATACATTTATTAACCATCCCAATTAATTGAGTATATAATGGGAATAAATCATTTTTTATCCTTTCTGTTATAAAATTTCCACTTAATAATATTCTGTGTGAAGCATTTTGGGTGGTGTAAAATGTTATGACGCTTGGAAAGGAAGCTCTCTGTAGATCTTAGAATCCGGTGGATCAACTGCCTAGAAACAGATTTAAAAATTCTCAAAGCTATGAACTGGAAGACTCAACCCAAGAAGATTGCAGCTTGGAACTTGATTCTGAGTAAGGTCGTGGCCCACCCTGGACTGATGCATCATTGAAGAAGAATATTTTCCTATAGAATTCTTTAGAAACTAGTTAACTTCTATGTATTTAAATGTGTGAAACCCATGTTATGGCTTGTCAAGTATGTTAAAATTATTTTTCTGCTTGAGATCAGAAGATCTTATGCCTTGTGTTGCCAATACAAACATGAAAAACCAAAAGAAATATCCCTAGTGTCAATATCTTTCAATATAAGCACACAGAGGAATGTTCTCCATTCATGAACTATTCTCACTCAGGAATCAAAACTAACTGACTCCACAAAGAATAGTTTGACAGGGTATCCGCACACCTGGAAAGTCATGAATTTCGGTATTGAACAAAATTAGTCATGATTTTACTATTTTTTTTAAAAAAATCATGGAAAGTCATGAATTTAGGTCGCCAAATTGGTCTAATTTTTAAAATGGAATCCCCCGCAATGTCATGGTGTTCCAAATATCTGAATTTCTAACAAAATCCCCACTCACAGTCATATTTTATTAAAATATAAAATGTTTTTATCATGTTTTTTCAAAAAATGAAAGAAAAAACATCATTTCTAGAACAAATTATCTTTTAAACTTCTGTGATTTCAAAATGTTTGTTTATTTTATCAATTTAAAATTCTAACTAAAGCAATGCATTTTTTGTATTCCGAAATGAGAACAGAAAAATCTGGAGTATTTCTTTCCTTTCTGATGAACGAGGAAAGTATCTTTAGAATATAATTCTGCAGAAGAAAAAATTATTTGCTTTTTTTTTCCAGCTATTTTATTGCTTCAACTCTTTCTTTACTCTGTTTTTTAAATTTCAAATCTATAAATATGAAGATGCAGAATATAACAGTTTTGGTTACACCTATCATTTCAATGAATGTTACTATAATGCTCTTCAAATTTATTGTTCTGTTTTTGTCGGGGGGAATTAGTAACTTTGTTAAGTCAGGAAAAGTTCTTGGAATTAGTCATGAATTTGAAAATCTAAAATGTAGCAGATACCCTGTTTGATTTCAGTTAAATATTTACATTGAGTTTTTTGGGGGAGGGGATTATCTGGATGTAATATTTGAAGCTCTTATAAACACCAGAATTCTTTCAAAATATCAGAAAGTGTACTTCAGTCAGGGTGGCCACCCACCTGGAATTATCAGGGAATTTTTTTATACTGGAAAAAACCTGGAAAAGTCAGGGAAATTTGGATAAAAACCTGGAAAAATCAGGGAATTTCAAAGAAAAACTAGAATTTTTCTTTTAATTTAAATTATGTTACCATCCGTTATATCCACTTTTATTTAGACGTAAATTTATCATAGAGAAGTTTAAATATCATCAACTAAGCAATACTTTTCTAGCATTAAAATTCTCTTTATTATTACCCAGTTAAACTAGAATGCCATTTCAAACTCTTTTATGTTGGGAAATGAATGGAGAAATCTTTGACCTCATTGGAGGTTATGGGACTATGTAGTATAAGAAAGGCAAAAATGTGGAAGAAAGGATTAGGATATTTGCTTCTGTTCATAAAAGTAAAGTTTTTTTTTAAGTCTTCTTTTATTCTGTGGGCTGAATTAATTAATTGTTGAAGTTTGTTCCTCTGCTTGGGGGGTATTTTTTTCTTTTAACAAAATTATTCAAAATGTTTTAGTATTTTTAACTTTATAAAATTCTCAAAAAAATAATTGGTTAAAATTTAGAGATTTTATCTTGCATTCTTTTTCTGAAAGCTTTTGTCCAATGAATTATTTTTCTCAGCAAAGTTTTGTTTTGTAAGATAATTTTTCTAAGAAATTAATGTTCATTTTTTTTCCTACAACATGGAATTGCCCAGGTGTAAAAACAAAACCAATTAACTTATCTAAGCTAGGAAACCATGTTAATTTGGAATTCTTAATGCATTCTAATTTCCATTAAGAAACGGAAAAAAAGGAATAAAAGTTAAAGAATTGTATCTAGTTTTTTTTCTCTATAGAATATGCAACAAGAAATTGATAATTTTTCGTTTACAAATACTGAATATGACTTAAAACAATAGTGCTAATTTGAAACAAACAATATTATTTAAACATTTGACTTATGATATTGGTTTAAAGAAAATTATTTCAATGAATTATATAAAGAGCACTGTTTGTTTAAAATACAGTATAAAATGGCTCTATAAATAAATATAAGAATTTATTGGTTTCTAATCAACTGGAATTATTTTCTTTCGCTTAATAAAAATATATTAAACAGTACTTATCCAGGGTTGTTTTGGATCATTGCTATTTGGTACATTTTGTGCAAAAACTATTTAACACTTATAAAAAATTTTATTCATTAAAAGCGTTATTTTCTGCAAGCTAAACATATTGTTTCCTCCACATCTATTCAAGATGATATATTTAAAAAATAAAATTTTAAATGAAATACTACACTATATTGACTAATACACTAATATTGACACTTTTCATGAACCTATACTGCACTTTAGCAGGGGGGGGGGAGAAACACGCTGACCTGGAAATTTTAAGAATTTTACTGGAAAACCTGGAAAAATCAGGGAAATTTGAAACCTGCTTTGAGTGGCCACCCTGTTCAGTAAACACAATGTGTATCAATTCTTGTTTATTGTTATATTTTGTGTGCTATTCTGTATTTTTATTTATTTTCAGGTTGTGCAAAATGCACATAACGACTGCATTTGTGCTGTAAATGTATTGCAAGATCGTAATGAATTTGTCACTGGTTGCAAATCTGGTTTCCTTAAGCTGTGGTCGACTGGCTCTTTCAGGAAATTTGAAGAAATCAGAGGTCATCAGTCATCTATTAATAGCATATCTTCTAATAGCTCACTTGTTTTTACTGCATCCAAGTAAGATTTATTAAATGCTATTCATTTTCTATTTCAGTACTTAGCTTAGGTTAATCATCATATAAATAGGAAGGTTAGCATTGCGCTGGGAGGTGAAAAACATCACAATAAACACAAATGGACTGATTCATAAAGTAGATGATCATTTTGGTTGTTATACTTGGTGTATTGTCCTCTCAGAAAAAATTTTCCGTTCTGGCCTTTTTTGCAACCTGCACCCATGGAGGCCGACAAAAAATTGCAGAAGAAAACAAATATTTTTTAACAAATTCATAGGCCAGAAAATCAAGCAATAAGCTTATGACTTGCGTCAATTACTTTGGTTGTTATTTGCAATAACTAAAATTATGTAAATCTAGCTTAAATATTTTTGGAGATAAAAGCATTTTTATTAAAAACTTATTTTTTTCTTTCTCTTTTTTTTACTATAACTTTAAAAATAGTAAAATTAAACAAAATTTTTAGAGCAATTTAAAATTACGAAATTATTGTTTTAAAATTTGTTTAAAAAAATGCGCTAGGTATGAGTAGTATTTAAAATAATTCTTTAGTATTGCGTATGTGAGGAAAAAATTTAAAATTATTGTTCCATAATTTTATTGTGAATTGACTTGGGCAAATAATGGAAAAATTTGATTTAAATATCTAAAAAACATAAAGTTTCAAATAATTTTAATTAGTTCATGTACTTAAAAAAAAAACAATAAGGGTTTTTGATCTTGCTGTGTAGTTATTATAAAGTAGTGTAATTTGCAATACTACATACTAAAATTTGTGGAAAACTAGCACAAACAACAACTAATGTCTTATAAATAGTTTATAGAGAATAATATTTCAGTGTATTTTAAAAATTGAAATTAGTTTTGAAGAGGGTTATAAGCTTTTTTATGTAAGCTGTATATTTTTTCAAAATTCATTTTTATCGGAAGGCGGTACATTGGCCATTCAAGGGTCGCATTTAGCCTTTAAATCACAGGTTGTGCACCTAAATAATAAATAATACACCTTGTTTTAAATGAAATTTTCATTTAAAAAGCTGAGGAACTTCTTGAATATTTTCATACTTTTTCTTAAATTTTATATTATAAATTTATAAAAATATTGTTTTCTTATTTTTAATTGTTAAATAAAATATCACAGTGAGTTTTCAAACAAACTTCTAAGAATCACGATAAATTTAAAGTTTTGCTGTTAAAACAGCAAACTTGATTAAAACAATATGCTTTTCAATATCTTGGTGCTTAAAAAAATTTTATGCTTCGAATTAACTCTTTTCATTAAAGCCAACGTGAAATGCAATTTTAAATTTCAGTTTAGAACAGTAAATACTTTTTATTCAAAATTTGATAGACAAAATATGAACGAATTGCAGTATTTTTTTATTTTTAAAAGAAAAATGACTTTGAAAGGTAAGATTTTGTTTCATATTAGCCCTAAAGTGAAAATTTAAGATTTTTGTTTATTAATTCTGATTCATGGAAGGTTTACAGTTTTGTTTTATATTAGCTTTGATTCAGGGAGAAATTTTGATTTTCGTTTTTTGTTGTTGTTTCTTTTCTTTAGAAATCATTGTTTTAAGTCGAAAATATTTATTGTAATTTATAAAGTCTTAAGGAGGACTTTTGACATTGAAGGTTTTATTTAGAGCTGATTGTACGTAAATTATAATTCCTTTGATGCTTAAGATGATGCTTTGATGTAAAAAAAAACTATTTAGTGTGATTAAAAAAAGTGACATGAAATTTATAAAATATGATTTTCCACTAGCTGTATGCAAAATGATTTGCTGTTTAACTAACATATTTTAACTACAGCCATTTATTTTTAAATGAAAAGTACTTTTGAAACTTATTAAATACGTTGTTTCAGTATTTAAATTTTTTAAAAAGACTAGAGTAATGTTATTATGTTTCCTGATCTAAATTAATTTATCTAATCTACAATTGGGTTTTTATCTTTGCAAAATGGTGTTGTACAAAAATAACTGCGATTTTGTTTATGCAGTGATTAGTTTGCAATAATTATATAATAATTTTAACCAGTTAGAAATATTAAGTATTTTGGTTATATTGTTTTTAAATAATATTAAGCATTAGTAGTACATTTATCAGTGTTAGTAACATTTATTAGTAAAAAGAAAACTTGATTTGAATTTTAAAAAAGATCTGAGTATTATTATTTTATTTAGTATTATTTTTTTAATCAGAATTTAACCTTGTCATTAACCCTATATGTTGATTTTAGTGATTGCAAAATTGGAGTTTGGAAGCTGAGAGATGCTGGAACTCAAGGATTTCAAATGTTGAGCTGAAATTTGTTGTAAAAAATTTTCCATTATTTTGTCACTATTGTTCTAAGAGTGTGCCTTATACTAAACAGAACTAGTATTAATAGCACGAAAGTTAACTATTTGACAGTATGTATATTTTCTTGTACATCACATCGACCGGTTCATTTTTTGTTATATTTAAGTTTTTGTACATTTTCCTTTATTAAATAGTTTATTATTTTTAAAAAATTACTATGCCAGAATTAGATTGCAATGCACAGCTTTTAGTCTTTCATTTTTATCTGTCATAGGAATTCAAAAAAGAGCTTCTTTTCTCTTATGTATAATCATAGAAAACAATGTTTAAAAAAAAAATAGCATTTGTGTACCCATCTTGGAGCTAGTAATCCATTTAAAGTTTCACTATTGTGAAAAGTTTTTATAAACAATTTTTTTAATAATTTGATACATCATACATATTTTGATTAAAAATAAAACTTTTTTATGTAATGTGACTTAACACATGGTGCTCAATTATTTATATACGCATTTTTATAAATGTGTTTTTTAACTATTGTAATTAGTGTGCCTTAAAATTTCGATAAGCATTTTATAAAAAAAAATGTATTTAATTTAGTATATTGTAACAGTATTTAATACAACTATTTTTAATTCTTTAACTAAATATTAAAATAAATAATTCTTTTGAAATAACTACTAGAACTAATAAATAGTGTATTCCTGTGTTGTTTAATATTATGTTGTTGAGCATTTTTTTTTTTTCATTTCATGTTAAAAAAATTTTAATATGTTTTAGTATTCTAAAACAGTCATGTATTTAATGCAGCTATTTTTAATTCTCTGTTAACTAAATAATTATTATATTGTAGTAACAAATATTACCAGAGCTAATAAACAGTGTACATTCCTGTGCTGTTTGACTGTATGATTTGACATTTTTACTTTTTCTTTGAGTAACCAAAATTTGATAAAATCAAACCTTGTTAATGCAAAATTTCCCAATGTGGAATAGCATTTTACATGAAATACCTTGAGTTAACAATCAATATTGTATTTTAACACGAGGTTTTTAAGCTGATTATTGCAGAACGCAAAAGGCATATAGACCTGTAAACACAGATAAGGACCTAAGTGGAGTTTCAATTATTTATGTTGAGGAATATTATTCTATTTTCTCCCTTTCTAAGAGATTGAATTTGGAATCAAGCAGTGGATAGTTATTTTTCTAAATTAAAATTTATACATCTATGTATTAAATTTAAAACAAGGAAACAATGTTAGTAATAGTTCAAGGCATTAAGTCCTTTCATAACTAAGTGCCATTTCACTAAGTATCATTAATCTGTATTTTTTTTTTTCTTCTTTTAAACCAACACAAAATTATCCCACCTAAATTTGAATATACAGTTGAACCTTGTATGACGAAAGGTAGTAAAATCTATTTCGTAGTATCATATAACAGAAAACAGCCCTGTTATATTTCCCTCTGTTCATCCCAAACATCTGAGTCACTACAGTCAGGTTGTTCCCTTTCATTCAGCAATTTTGGGAGAGAAAGAAGAGCATCATCTAACAAATGAGTGATTCATGTTTCAGGGTGCGTAGCCAAATTATTCAACAAAAAATATTTTTAAGCACTTTAAAAAAAATATCACAACTAGGCAGGGTTGGAAAGTGTTTGACAATTGATGGTTTAATTGTCATTTCAAAAAAGAACCTTTTGTTGTTTTAGACAATTGTCAAAAATCATGAAATTTAGAATCATGTAAAACGAATGGCGTTCTCATACGCTAGGGACTGACAATTAGCCGAAATAGATTGGGGTTAAATTAATTGTGAAAATGTTGAATAGAACAATGTGAACTGTGTCTTTTTTCATAACTCCTAGCGAAAATTAACATGGTAAGGAAAAAATCTCATTTTGAAAAGGGGAAAATTAAGCACTTTTTAAAAACTCTCAATGAAAAAAGCACCTTTAAGGGCTTTTAAAAAACGAAAATAAGCACCTTTAAGCACTTTTTAAAAACGCTATGCACCCTGCTTTTTGTACTTAAACAAGTAATGAATGAAAGCTTCAGAAACGTTAAAATTAGCAGAAAAGTGAACTAGACAATCATTTTTTGACAAAACCATACCTGCCAACATTGGAGAAATAAAATAACAAAGATTTTACTAGCGACATCATACATAATCATTTCAGTTCAAAAGAGAAATTTGAAATAATATATGCTTTTACATTTAGCGAAGTAAAAAATTTGTATATAAATCTTAATCTAAACAATATTTTTTTAAACCATTATTTATAATAACCAACAACTCAATATACTGCAGTGCTGGCTATAGCACTAACTGTTGAGGAATAAGAGAAGTATTTTTGCCATCAGTGGATATTTTATCGCCATGTTTTTAAAAAAATTTTAATTTCAACAAATACGAAGAATATACGGGTAAACAGAAGACTTGGCAGGTATGCAAAACTTCAATAGATAACAAATTTTAGAATTCCAAGTTTTTAATGTGTATAAACTGTACTTCAGTAAAATTTTTACAAAAGTAAGAAAAGTTTAATTTTTTTAAAGCTTAAAATATTTTTAAAATATATCTCATGATAAAACTTATTACAATCTGATTCAGATAAGTTCACAAAAGCATTGGATGCTCTTTTTGTTACAGCACTATATATTAGTATTTTTATTGATTTTTAAATAGTATTAAAGTAAATAGAAAACAATTTTAATCCAATAGATTTTACAATATTACTGTATCTTGTAGTATTATAGATATTTTTCGAGGTATTTATAATTTTTGAAAATTTTACAAGAAAGGATTTTTGAACCGATGTTGAATCGCCTCAAAATTTCACCTTTTTAATTTTCTTATTTTAACTTCCTGCTATGATAAAGTTAAACAGCTTTAATATTTCTGATAATATTCTCTAATTTTTCATGTGCTTGTATAATTGGAAAAGAAAAAAAAAATTTCAACTGAAAAGGCATATTGTGAAAGAACTAGTAATAATTGTAAATCTAAAAAATGATAAATTAACTTACCTGTGAAATGCCCGAGATATGTCTTAAAAAAATCTTTTCTGTGCAACCACATATAGCGCAATAAATCACCATATTCAACGATTTCCGCCTTTATTATTTCTTCCGTTGAAATAACACAACAGTTATGTGGTTCCATTTTGAGGACAAAAATTATCATCTGCATTCTCTATTATATTAAAACTGTTGAAAGAGTACTAGATGGTATTCTGTACTTTGCTTAAATCACTGATTTTTTAAAAATCCCATCACTCAAACCACATAAAATCTTCGGTTTAATTTCCAAGTTAAGAGGCTTCTCTCATTTGCACAAGAATATTCCAATACAAGATTCAACATTATAGCAATTCCCTCAGTTGATGTCATCAATTGAAGGTGTGAAAACTGTGACCCTCCACCCAGGGCTGTCTATACTTACAGCTAGCTTCGTAGTGGGAACCAAATACCAGACTATTTTTTTTTAAAACGGCAAACTAATATATATATATATAATTTTCTTTTATTCTACTTGGGTATAATATATCCTATTTTATCGCAAAATAATAATAAAATATAGTATTTGTAATTTAAGAATTATTTAGTTAAATAGAAGGTTAAAACAGTTTCCACTACAATTTTAATAATGGAGTACTAAAACAACTCACAATAGAGCTATTGTATAATAATAATAAAATTGTTAATTGTCTTAATGTGGAATTGTTAATTGAGTTTTCTATCTCAGAAAATAACATACATCCCAAAAAGTTTGAAATAGTGAACCACTAGATGCAATTTAAAATTTTTGTTCATCAATAACCGAATGTTAAACACACGATTGCCAATTAATACACTTTAAAGAAAGTTTTTATCAAAATTACGTGCTGCTTTGAAGAACATGATGAAAACAGAAAAATATCAGTTGCAGAGTAAGGCTTTTCCTCAAATTAAAAAAAAATATGAATATTCCCCAAAAAGCATAAAAATTGGCAGCTTTGCAGTCAATATTTACTAATTTCATTAAAGCAAATAAATTCAAAATGAAAACATAGTCAAAACACTCTTTAGATTCCGGCTCTTTTATTACGGGTAAAATATTTACACTGATTTAGATATGGTACAAAACAATGCAGTAAAAAACAAAATAATTATGAAAGACGAATTAAAAATAAATGATAAACATGTGGGTTACGAAAAAGAACAAACACAAGTTCTAAAAACCAATTCTTTCCTATGAGATTGATATTTCTTTTTTAAAAATAAAGCATTATTTACAGTTTTTTATATTGAATACTTTAATAGAAAGGCACCTGAAATTTATAAGCTAGATTTAACAAATATTAAACATTTCATTAATCTAAAATAAATAATGCTTATAATAAACAAACAGTATATATTTACATTTTAATACATTTATGCATCAGAAATTAGCAGATTTTACATAAAAAATCAAACTAATTTATATGAAAAATTTTCCCTTTTTCTAAACATATTAATTGATTTAAACACCAGACTGTATTTTAATTACCTAAAAGATTATAATAATCTGATAAAATACAATAAGAATATATTTATAAACTTTTGTTTAACCCAATAAGCACCATGTTCTTCCATTTCGGAAATCTTTAATCAAGTTAAAATCATTGTTTGCATACTTTAATTCTTTTTTTATAGATTCTACATTTTGTTCAAATTTAAGCAAGACAATCTTCTTCATTTTCAAAGTAAAAAATGAAGAAATAGTTATTAATCTTTTTTGAGAAATTTTAGAGTCGCTAAATGTTAAAAATACTACTTCTGTTTTTACATAATAATAAACAGACGTCAAGAAATATTTTTATGAGTTTTACAGCAGTTAATTGGAAAGAATCCCGAAATGAGACACTTGACATTTTAACGCTGTAAAACAGCAAGTCTCCCATTTTAAAGCTATATCATGTCTTCAAACCAAATAAAGATTCTTTTAAATATTTTTTTTTATGTATAAATAGACATGAATAAATTTAATCTATTCAGTGTAGTTTATCAGTGTTTAATGGGTTAATTTGCTTTTAATTTCAGCTTGATACCAGAGTCTTTCTGTTATTTATTGGCTAATTGCGACTATTTAATTTAAATGATTTGAAAAATTTCTTCCATTCATGTAATTGTACATCAGAAAAAGATCATTTGTCACAAAAATAACTCTTCATAATAACATTAAGATAAATTTTAAGCTTTGAAATCAGAAACTTAAATTCTATCATTTCTTAAAAATAAGCAGACATGAAATTCGTTGACCTGAAGTTTTTCATGTCTGTACTTAAATCGCTTTCTAAAGAACGTTATTTCAGTTTTATAACTTTGTTCTTTAAAAACACTTATTCAATCTATAAATTTTAGTATGTGCTTACAATATACTTCAAAATTAAGAAAACCTTCAACATTTTTAGCAAAAAACTTTCTAACTTCTTGTTCTTCATTCGTTTTAACCTTTCTGGGCAACTTTGTTAAATTATGAACCTTAACATTAATTAAATCAATTTATTATTCATACATAACTAAACATATAGAAATTGTTTTAAATAAAATTTTATGTAATTCTGAAATGTATGCATAGAATTTTGTCACCATTCAAGTTCAAAGCAATAAATAAGAATAACATTAAGTAGCATTATATTAATATAAATAGGTTTTTCACAAATGTAGTTAAATAAGAAAAGAAAAAAAATTAAGAAATGAAACTGAGATCCCAGAATATTCATCATAATTCTGAATGTAAGACTGCTTATAATGTTAGACTATTTACAAATAGGATATTGGAACATTAATCTAAACTACAGCTAATTTTAAGAAAGCTCAATATTCGTACACACAGAAAAACTGTAATTTTTTAAGTGCAATCCAAATGCTTTAAAAAATGGAAACGTTCATTTTTTTAAAAAATATTAACCTCAAAAAAGTTTAATCTTTAACAAAACTGTAAAAATTTATTAATAAAAAAACACTTTTTAGTTTAGGAACACACTAGAGGTTTATCACATAAAAAAGGAGAGAAAATAAGTTATAGCATAGTTTTTAAAAAAAAAAAAAAAAACAGTTAAAACGTTATTCATAAAAGATATTTAAAAAAAAAACATTTTAAAGGAAGACTAATAAAATACTGTGTCAATTATTAAATTAGTATTTACAAGCCAAGCAAAATATTAACCCATTAACTGCAGTTAGATTTTCCTTGACAAAATAATTGTTTACCTCTGTATCGATATGATTTTGTTTTGTATATTATTTTTGTATATAAAAACCAATTTCAAGCAATTTTTTTTAAAAAAAGGAAAATTAGTTTAATTATATTTCTGTATTATTAAATTCAATTAACAGGTATTCTCCTTAACAATGCAAATAAACTTACGATTAAACACAAACTCAATGTGCTTTCATACAGATGGTAATAACTTAAAATGGATTTAAACAATGTTAAAAATCTAAATCTCAGTTGTTAATGGGTTATTAGAAAAAATTTATAATACATTACATTGGCTGCATCACACTACATAAAACATAGCTACATTATAAAACTAGGGATTTGATGGAAAATTAGTTCTCTTTTGGCAGCTACAATTACAGTGACTTTCTCAATTCACCCAACATCTTTTGATATCTTTCAACATCAGAATGTATTTTTGCAATTTCCTCATCAGACACAGGCCCCTGATTTCCATTACCACACACTCTATCAAGAAAAGCAGGATCATCATACTTAGATGTGTCCATCCCCAAACGAGCAACAACACTCTTCAGCCATTCAACCAGATCCATTGGTGTAGTGTCAACCGTAGGAGGAGGAACCGGTGGAAATATTTCCCACGTTTGTGAATTCAGCTTACCTTTGGTGAATGTAGCGTACTTATTAGGAAAATTAGAATTCCAACCAGCAATTTCTTCGGTTTTGCCCGAGAAAGCAAGAGGAGAATCTGGCTTATACTTGATAGAGCCTTTTTCTTTCTCCAGTTGTTGAATTCCTTGACGAATATAATTTTGAAAAAAATCAGATGAGGTTTTAAGGTAGGGTTCAATATCTGCTTCGGGATGTTTTTGAGTAAACTCGTACAGTTCTGCAAGACCTTCTTTAGTTTGCTCTTTGCAGCCAATCTTCTTAAATATTTCAGTTAAAGCTTCATGAGTAGATTTTGAAAGTTTTAATGGTGATGCTCGATTTCGCTTGTGATTGTTATTAAGTCCAATATTGTCATCTTGAGACATGTTTTTGTTCAAGGATCTTCTATTGTCCACTTTCTTGCGAGTAATAAGTTTTTGCAAGTAATTGACAAGATCAGATTCCTGCCGATCAGTTACTAATGATAAATGTTTCATTATGTCATCATTTTTAATTTCTACCAATTTAAAGAGAATAGTTTTAACAGTCCTTATGGGAGTATCATATTGTTTCTCTTTCCATGATGAAGACGGAAATGCTTTAAGAAACACATGGACATCTAATAAAATCCTATCAATATTTAAATCATTGATCACTTGTGGAATTGTTCGAATCATTTTCCAGAGGCATTTCATCACAAGATCTGTAAAGCGATCAGACACATTAGAACTACCAACACAATCATGCAACAACTTAACTAATGCACTTAAAACATGCGTTGGGTTAGACTTCATAAGGATGCGCATGATTAAAACATTTATCACCTTTATTACTTGAGCACCTTCTTGAAGATCCTCGAGGCGCTCGTCAAGCATAACAGTGATAAGATGTGGAATTAAGTCTCTGAGTACATCCCTACTAGCTTTTTTAGCAAGATCAGGATTATCAAATAGTGTTACTAGAGCTAATGTTACACATCTGTACAAGGAAATAACATCAGCTTTGCAAATATTTTCATCAGCCATATGCTTGTTATGAGCATATCGATACTGCATGGCACCCATTACAAGAAGTTGATCCACTCTGGAACCTAGAACTCTTACTGCTTGATCATTCTGTTTTAAAACTTCTTCTATCTGAATAAATGCCTCTTTAACAACAGATATGTCTTGAGCAGTCAATTGGGCCATAACCAGATTTACAGCTGTTTCTATCTCAGCAGAATTATTCAATAATTTTAGAGATGTGGTTGGAGGCCGTAGTCTAGATCGAGGTAATTGTATATCTGGTAAATTTAAAATTTCATCTGCATTTACATGAATAAGACCAGGTACGAGTGCAGAAGGCTCTTTGGGTCTAAACATCTGTTCAATATCTTCAGTATCTAACCTGAGAGGACCAGGCATAGATGATACTGTAGGTTGAGTTATTTTTGACTCATTTGCAGCATAAGTTCGAGAAGCATTCAAATTGGTTTGAGGAATTGCTTTGGGTGTTGATGGCGGAATGGTTGTATCAACAGGTTTGTTGGCTTTCGTTTTCAAGCTTCTTTTTATCCTCTCTTCAAGCAAGCTTAAATCTTTGTCAGATAACTGTCCGACATATTTATATACCTTTTCTCCATCTATAAAATAAGCTTGAACAACACAATTTAAAGCTGCATTTCTCACACTGTTATCTCTATCAGATATCTGACGAGCAATTTCTTTTAATGCAACAGCGGGTGAAGGTTGGCAAACACCTAAACCATATAATTCAATCATGGAGCCCAACTCTTCTAGGCATTCTGCTCTCTGTCTTGCATTTTTTGAGCTTAAACCTTGCATGATATAAGAAAACAGTTTACTGTAAGGATATATTTTTGTAATTGATTTGATTATTTCTCTAACACCTTTGCGTACAGTATCTTTAGAATCTCCGATTTTTAATATTAAATAAGGAACAAAAGATGCAGCCTCAGGTTCAAGCAAGTGGTAATTAACTTCTAAAAGCGCTTGAAACAAAACTTGCAGATATTCCAAGCTTTTAATCAAGACACTAGGATTAGTATCGAAAAATCTCAGAGCAAGCCATTTCAAAATCAAATCCAAATTAGCTGCTGAAGCCTCTAAATTATTTTCTACCGATTCAATTAATAAATCAATAGCTTTTATGTGAAATTTAAAATCATTGTGAAAACAATGAGAGATTATTGTTTTATTCCAGTTGGCAGCAATCATTTGGTCCTTTAACTGAACATAAAATTCCTCCCTAGGATTCGTAAAGTTCCATTTTAAAACTTTAAGAGCTTTTTCATCAGCCAATCTTTGTTCCTTCATATTATTAGCAACCAATGGTGGAGATGTATCGATTTCTTCCTCCTTTTTGCTTTTCGATACAGTTGATGGAGGTTTCAGGCTAAGTTTAGATTTAGAAGTACTGCGCTTCATTTTATTTTTTTCCCCATCATCATTTCCTACCTGTGGAGGAGATAAACGACTGTTAGAAACCGCAGCTTGTTTAGTTGGTTTAGATTTAGCATTTGGCTTTGCAGGTAAACTTTGGCGTACTTTATCCAACTGAGCAACCACAGTAGTTTTTGATGCTGGCTTCAATTTAGAGGCAGCTCTTGACATTGACTCATAACCAACATGAATCATATAGGGTAACACACATTCAGATGCTTTTTTTCGCACATCTACATTACGATCTTCTAAACAAGTTAATAAAATAGGAACACAAAGATTCAGTTCAGCAGAGGGAAGAGCTGTAACAGTAGGCAACTTTTCAGTTAGCCATCCAAATAATTCTGCTCTCAAAAAAGGGTTTTCAGCCTTTAGAGCATCATATAACATCTCCCCTTCAAATAAATTAGACAAAGGACACTGATCCATCCATGTGTTTAAGCACTGCATTGCTGGAGTTCTCACATTTGGTTTGCTATCTCCAAGACATGTTAGTATTGCAGGTGCAAAGTTTCTAATCTGTTTAGAAGTATGAACTCCAAGTGCTGTTCCTAACAACTCACATATACCTAGTGCTTGAATAGCCAATCTTTTATTGGTCTCAGTCATTCGTAATTTTAAAGCATTTGGCAAATCACCTAAATTTGGAGTTACAAATTTAGCATCAGAAATAATAGTGGAAAGTTTCTGCAAAGCTTCACTTCTAAGATGCCAGTCTTTATCAGAAAGGTCCGAGAGTAATTGTGATGTAATTTGATTGCTGATATCAACTCTAGGCAGTAAATCAGCAAGGTTGACTTGTCCAGAAGATTTTGTATTTTCTGAAGCATCCCCTGACCCATCATTTTTTGGAACTTTTCCTTTAACAGGAGTTGGAGGTCTTACATCACTCAGTTTTTCAAATTCAGCATCGATTTGTTGCAACAAAGTAGGCTTTTCATTTTCGAAAAATGATCGCAAAGTTTTCCCAACATACATGTACATTGTGCCTACAACAACCAAAGCAGCATTTCTCACAGCTGGATTAGTTGAAGAGAAGGCTTTCTTCAAATGCTCAATTATTTCTTTAATTTGTAATTTCAAGCCAAATTGTTTTATAGCATTTGAAAGCCAAATTAAAGCTTCAGTTTGGTTCTTTGGATTTTTTTGGTTAAAAGCAATGTTTAAAACTTCAAGGCTGATATACTCAAGACTAGTAGCTCCAGCCAATGCTGTCAAAGCTAGCCCTGAATGAACACCAGTTTTAGCATCGCCTATTTTATCCACAACATCTGATAAGCAACTCTCGACAGCTACGTGTGAAATTTTCCCATTTTCTGCAATGTAGGTTAATATTTCAAATCGGAGTTTCAAAACTTGAAAATTATTATCCTTAAAACCCGGTTTTTTAGCCAAGAGTTTAATTAGGCATTGAGCAGGAATGGATCCTTTTTGAAGTTGCTGAGTTATTTCAGAAAATTTTTCAATTGAAGCTAATCTATCTTTCCAATTTGAGCTGCTAAGTCCATTTATAATTTCTTGAGGTATAATTTCTGCAATTTGCTCTAAAACTGCTTCATCTGAAAGGTCTTGCTCTTTAAATTCTTGCACATTAGTTTCTGCAACTGGTTTTTTACTAGCACCTGTGCGTACAGGAGCAGAGCGAGGAGTATTAGAGGGGGGTTTACTTCTGATTGCTCCAGCAGAAGCTGGCTTTTTTATCCCCCCAGTCACAGGTTTAACACTCTCTTCTACCTTAGAAGGTTTAACAGGAGCAGGTGGCTTCTTCTCAGTTATTATTTCTGGTTTTGAAGTTACAACAGCTTTGTCACAAAAATCTTTGATTTTGGCCATTTTTATAGCATCTACATCTCCTAAAAATACTGACATATTTTTCTCTCCAGCTACTTTTAAAGCAGTCCCTAAAGTTTCAGCTGAATTTTCTCGAACAACAGCATCAGTATCATTTAAAGTTTTTAGCAAGCATGCAATAAATGTTTTAAGCAATTTTTTATTCAATTGAGACGAAGAACAACTGCAAAAACAACGAGTCAAAAATGCGCATGTCTCTGCTTTGACTTGAGGGTTTTTATTATCCAAGGCTGATTGAATATCTTCCAACATAGGATCAAAAGAAGTAATGCTATAAAGTGCATCAATTGCTTCACGAAGAGCAACTACTACATTTTGTTTTTTCTCTTTGAATTTTTCAAATATAGTTGGAATGCAAGCTGAAGAATATGGTTGAAATTTTTTTCTTAAGCCCAAGACTAAATTCGTTAAACACTTCGTAGCCAAAGCCACAACTAAAATATTAGAATCTTTACCAATAAGTTTCTTCAACATTCTAACAAGATCACCATAATCACCTGACTCTAACTTAACATTAGTAGTCAGCTGCAACAATGCCTCAAGAGCTTCTTTACGTTCTTGCCATTTTTTTGCCTCACACAGTTCATAGAAATTCTTCGGTAATTTTGACAATATTTCAACCTCTGACATCAAATCATATGGATCAATTTGTACGGGTATTGGTTTTTCTGTGACTTGTGACTGTATTGGTTCACCAGCTTCTTGTCTCTTTTTAATTTTAGCTTGTTCAGATTTCAAATAACGGGTAGGAACTGGTACTTCCCCAGCTATGTTTTTAAATTCATTTTCCAACTCTGTTAATGTTACTGGTTTTAAAGATGCCATCTGAGGTTTGATAGCTTCACCTACCCATCTATATATCTCAATACATAACTGTTTAGATTCTTCTCGAACAGTTTTATCTCTATCTTCAAAAAGCTTGAATAAGGTTTTCAAAAAAGATTTTACAGGTATTACTTTTGATCCAAAAGCGTGCAGAGCTTCACGCACTGCAACAATGGAAGCAGCAACAACTTTTGGAGACTTGTTTTCTAAACCTTTAATGAGTTCTTCAAGTACAACATCCTGTTTTTCAAGTTCTATGTACATTAAAGTTATTTCTAATGCTAATTCTCGAGTTTTGGCTCTAGGAGATGAAAAACATTTGCTTACAAGTCCACTCATTACTTCATTAGCAGTTTTTGGAGCACATGCAGCATTTTCTAAAAATGCTAAAACAGCTGATAAACCTTTCTCTTGTGCAATAGCATTACTATCAAGGACAAATTTCTTCAGAAGACCAAGGTATTTGGTAAATTCTGGGCTTTTTTCATCATCTTGCAGTTGAAATAATTTTATGGAGTCCTCATAACCACTGAGCCTGGCTTTCCAAAGTTTATGTTGACACCTGTCCTCAACGGACAATTTCAAAAACTCATTGTCTTCTTCCATCTTGTTTACCTGGAAAAAATAAATTTTCATTACAAGAAATATACCAAATTTTTTTTTCTTCTTTAGTTGCATGAAGTCTTCATAAATTTTAAAATAAAAATACAATTTCATATAAAAGGATAGAGGAGACAGATAATTTACAAATTGTAGAGGGCTATGCATCATTGCCATTCACTAAGCCAAAGTGGCAATTTAATTGAGATCAATCCCTCTGTGGTCAGGCATGACAGAAGGAAAATAACAAGAAGTCTGAAAATATTGATCAGAAAGCTAAGTTGACAGCATATTCTTGAACATATCAACAAGGGCGAGATTATTATCTTAAAAACTTTTTTAAATAATTTATCAAGTTTAGAAAGTCAGAAATACTATCAATTGTCGGGAAAATCTCGTGCTTGTGTGACGAACTCCAGCTAGATTTGCTCACTAATTATCATACTATTATCTTTGTTTATAGTGGCAATTTTTTAAAAATTATCGGAGAATTTTTAATAATCTATAAGGGTTAGTGATATGAGGGAAAATTTACAAAAGAGTTCACTTTAATGAACTTAAACTTTTAACCTTAACTTATTATGTTCAATAAAGGGACTTAATTTTCCAGAGTTAGTTGTATTTCATTCTGATACAGAAGTTTAAAGTAGATGAGAAAATAATCAAATATTCATGAGTATCTGGTTAAATATTAATGAATCTCTGATGTTCAAATTATAATAAAAGTAAAAAAAATTATCCTACTAATGATGGTTACTAATAGTTGATTCACTGATAAATTGCTTCATATAACAAATAAACCATTTCAAAATAATAATCAATGGTGCATTTTTTTAAAGCTTAGATGCAAAAATCAGTCGCAAGTAGTAATCCAGAATTATGATGAATTTTAAACTTTAGCGCCATCTGCCCATAGCTTTACACGGTCAAACATCCTTAACAAATAAACCAGTTAAAAAAGTGATCTTCGGACCACTTTATAGAGTAGTTAAACTAGTTGAGTGAGTGATCTTTTGTTATTCTTGAGGTTTCAAACACCCTAAAAATCCCTTGTTCTTTTACCTTCATTTTCAGAGAAAAGAGATGGGGAGAATTTCCAACTCCAACTTCTTCTCCTCAGAAAAAACTGAAGTACAAAAGAACAAGGAATTTTTAGGGGATTGGGAACATCAAAAATAACAAAGGGGATCCCTCTCTGAACTGGTTTAAGTTCTGGTTACTTTTCTAATTCGCAATATGACAGATAAGTAAATGTTCAATCTCATTTTGTGTACATTGATAATGGTCAACCCAAATTGTAAAAAATGAAAAGAGAACTACTGGGTTGGAAAGTTCATCTGAAAGGACTGCCTTTTATGAAGTTATCACCAAACTATATATTAAAATATCTAAATGAGAGTTTAAAATAAAAATTAACTAATTGAAATTGAGGAAAATTTTTAGCTACAACTTTAATAAAAAATTATATAAAGCTGTATAAAGATTTAAAATTGTTGATTAGCTTTTTAATTTAATTATATGTTAAACTGATTGTCCAATATTAATACTGTATGCTGTTACAGATAAAAATTATATACTACGTTATCAGTGGCGTATCTAGAGTATGGCGAATGTTATAGGTACATTGTTTCAAAAAGGTGCAGAATAAATCAACATAAACAAATTTTTTAAGTTAGGATAAGAACTAAAAAAAAAAAAGAAAGATCAAAATGCAGAGAATCCATGATCCCGGAATAAATCTTTATTTTATTTATCTTTCTACAACTACGAAGAAGTCTTTCTGAAAGGGCATAATCTGGGCAGGAAATGGATGGAACGCCTTCAGGAAGAGATAGATCTTAGGTGATGACCAATGGACAGAGAAATGTGAAAACCATGGGGTGTCCCTGTATAGCCTAGAGTAGTAAAATGCTTGTAAATCTTCAATTTTATCAGGGGTTAATATCCCTTTGAAAAATATTTTCCGAATATTTTGAATAAATTTCAAATAGAACGCCCATTCAAAATTAGTGTCAATTGTAAATCCTTCCTCAGAGATTTTTGCCACCCACCATAGTAGGAATCACCTACATGTAACTGTGAAATACTAAAAATAGGAGGTGCCTCTACCTCGCTTGACAACTTATTTGATCCAATGAAACGATCTAACAATGAATACAATATTTTGAAAAATCATATACAGATCCTTGCAGCTTCTGGGCTTTTACAGTTCATTTAATTATTTAAGAGACAACATGTACAACAAAGATTTTCTTTATTGATTGCAAGTAGTCATTTCCTAAATATTTAAATAAATTCATTATACTTCAATTATAAGTTGGCGTTATATTTTCTCTATGTGTTGGGATGCCAACTGCTAAGACTTCTCTGAAATATTTTATTAAGTGGTAGAGAGTTAAAAACCAAAACTTGCAAGATTTTAGATGATTTTGGCAAAATTTAAAATGCTTACCATGAGATAACTGAAATAAAATTGTGTTTTTTACATGAAATTTTTAATTATATATATGTAGTGGTAGAAAAAATTATTTCATATCTAATTTACATAAGTCAAGAATCAAACATTAAAACATAAATTTAACTACCACTAAAAAAAATTCCCATGAAGCACAGCTAATTGGCATCTCTGTATATGTAGATCGAGAGGGACATTTGCTCTTCCCCCTTATAAGGTTATATATTAGATAGGTAGGTTTTTTCTTTATGCCGCCACTACAGCTGGACAATGGGCTATTGGCAGCGGTTTAGGAAACATCCCTAAGGATGAGCTGAAGACATGCTATTGCAATTTTGATCCTATGCAAAGGGGAAAGCTCCCCTGCTTTGGTAACTGCGCTCAAAGTCAAGCACTTTATTGTAGAACAGTTTAACGAGGACCAATACCGCACACACTCGGTCCTTACGCAGGCTGATTAAAGTGATCACCCACCCGCTAACTGACAGCAACCAGTAATGCCTCACTTTGGTGCTCTACTGGGAACCACATCCTTATGATCAGTCCATTAAGGAATTTGCAATAAGATGTTGAATAAAAATTTAAGGAAAAAAATTGCGCTATCATCAATGGAAACAATTAGTCTTTTCTCTCCAAAATAGGTAACAAATATATTTTTATTAGATATATACAGATACAAATTTATTGCAGAACAGCCACGTCCCCGACATTATCTCCCTTTTATCCTGGTGTTTCATCTTTCAAAGCAATAATATTATAAAACTAATTTTATTCAAGAACATTTTTTTTCTTTTTATGTTTTTGATGCACACTAAATTTTATTTCAGTGAAGGAATTCAAAATCACAGACATCGACGGTACAACAGGTAACAAAATTAAACACTCTTTGAACCAACCTTATGAAGTCCATTTAACTCCCACGACAATAATCACAGCTGCGTTATTTTCATCAAATATATAACGATTTCATGTGGTTACAATTTAGATAACAGAGTATTTAATTTTCCTGTTTCTATCAGAGGTACAACGTATAGTGACACAAGCAATGTATTAACAAATAAAAATCATCAATTAACGAAATGATAATGACAACAAATAAGAAGTAAACAAAAAGGAAAAATAATTGTGATTAAGAACTGCTTTTTGTTAATGAAAGAGTATAATAGACTTTAGATTCATACGGGTATTAATGCTTTAGCATTATTTTAGAAAATATTTAAAAATAATTATTATCAAAAGAACGACACAAAAGGAGTGGTTTAATGCATAAAAAAGCAAGTAGGAATAATATTATACTTACGATACGAATGTATTAAGTAACTTTACAATACGGTTTGTAAAATTAATATACACTGAAGAATTCTCTAATAATTTTGTATTAACATTAGAAATATGACATATGTCACTAGAGCTGATATTTTCAAAACAGAAGACCGTTCGTTGTTGAGACCGTTTTACGGTATACAGTTTCTTTCAGATGCCAGATTATATTCTTAAAATATAAAGGAAAGCCCACGGTGGGCTAGGGAACATTTTAGAGTTTCTGGTGAATCCCTTTTGGTGGCAACATGAAAATAAATACGCCAAATATGGGTTTCGTTTACCGATTTCTCTTATGATGGCAAATTTACGAAATAATGTTATTTCGAATTGAAAGAGAGGAGGATATATATTTTTCACCGACAATAAAAGAATTGCCCTCCTTTAATTTTTTTTAAAAATAAAAAAAAAAGCATTTTTAAAGCAACGCGTAAAAATTTTCAATCTATTACCCATTACAAAATTTCATGTTATATTTTTTTTTTAAAACTAAGAGAGAATTTATTTAATTATTTTGCATTTTTTTCTCAAACAATCGGAATCTCTATCGGTACCTGCTTGGGCTCACTACAATCGTCAAGGCTCCAAAAAGATTTTTAACTAAGAGATTTTTTTGAAGAAAAAAAATTCACTGAAACATATCAGATTTAATTGAAAAATAGTATTTATTATAGATGTTTAAAATTTAAAAACACATCTTTTTATTACCTCAGAATACGCGGAGTGTGATTCTTTGATTACTTTAACGCAAAACACAATGTGCAATTTACTATTAATTTTATATGAAATTCGATGCGTAATCTGGTTGGTAATCATTACAATGGAAAAGGAAATTTGTGATTCAATAAGAAACTTAAATAAGAATCGCTATGTGTGATTCATAAATCACTTTGATGAGAATTTCAAACAGTAATTCTTAAATCCTCTTTGTGCTAGTTGCGATGCGTATTTCTTAAATCCTTCTAACAGGAATCCTATTGCGTGATTCATAAATCACTTTAATAAGAATTGTGATGCATGATTTAAGAAACATTTATATGCATATCACTTTGTACGATTCAGAAAGCATTTTAATGCAAACTGTGATGAGTGATTTAAGAATTACTTTAATGAAACGCGCAATTCATAAATCACATTCATGCGAATCATGACGTTTGATTCATAATTTACAGAATCTGAACCTATTGTTACCTATTAGTGGGAAAAATTAAATGCAAAAATTTGAACATAAAGGATCAAAAAGTTAAATGAAGTTAACGCAACAATTATATTTAAGATTCGAAGAAACACTGCATATCGAGAGGTACCTAAAGCTATGTGAAATTTACTCACTGGCGCTTTTCGAAAATTGCGTTAGTGCAAATTTCGTTACCTTTTAATATTTGATAGCATTATAAATCGCATATATCAGAAATTAATCGATTTTCAGTTTTTGAAAAGAAAATCGGAATTTCGGAAAGCCCCACATATTCTCTATAAATTGGAATAAAACTTGAACTTTCACACGTTATCAGATAAAATAAAAAGTTTTAAAAAACCGCACATTTTAAAATTAGTGCATGCTACACCTGGTTAAAACAAGGGTAATGCCAGACATGATTTCGCTCTATGCACATTTTCTTTTCACTATTGGTTTTCCCACACCCTGCTTGTATTTTGTAATCCAATCACAGGAAAGGGGTAAATAAGGATAAGGGTATTTTTCTAAATTTAGATCAGACTCCGAAATTCTCACTTAGCAGACCTCTAACTATTCTTACACTAAACGAAAACGTCGAAAGGAGGGGTTGATTAAAATTTTTATCATTTTGCTCGAAGTTTCTTTTTTTTCTTCTTTATGCTTTTTTGTAGGAAAGATTATTATTGTTTTAAAAATTACTACGAGACAATAAAATTTTTTCAGGGGCCATATCACAGAAGTCAAAGATTTTTCACGGCCCTGATTTTTTCCAACAAAATTCAAAGACTTTCAAGTATTGTGGGAATCCTGCTGCTTTGCTTATCCATAGGCCGTTTGTTATCCAAGGCAAATTAACCACAAATGTAGTAATGACTTGGAATTTTTAATTAATAATGCATCTACATATTTACAAATAGCTTACACCATAGCAAGCTCCATTAAGAATCTTGAAGCCACGACTGGCTAGCAGGAGAACTGAAGATCAATTGACTATTAAAGCGTTCCTCAGTACAAAGCGCTCTTATGATATTAAAAATATAACGAAAATTTCAAGTAAGACCGAACACCTGCTATAGTATAAAAAATCACTTTTATGCACAAAAATCGAACTTTTTTTAAAAAAATCTCTTAAGCCAATACATAGTTTGCAATTGATTTCCAATTAAGAAAAAAAAAGACACACTTTTTTTTATACCATATTAGATTTTAACAAAATTTTTATTAAATATACATATAAGATCAACAACTAAATGATCAATATGAGGTGCATATGACTTTATTCTAACAACATTTTGAACACTCACATTCCATTTTTCCCCATAGAGTTCATATAAAATAGAATCAATAGTTGACCGCACATTTTCAGACCATACAATCCATTCTCTTTTCAAAGAAGATTCACAATGGTCATTATCAGCGCGTGAACAAGATTCAGTCTTTATGCTTGAAGTCACGTTTCCATGAATATGCAAAATTCCTCTGCTTGGTTTTAAGGCTCTGCAAGCAGTTTTCCACCCATTTTCTGAAGACGGTATAAGTCCTAGATTCACGCGATCTGCAACTTTTTCAGGGCACACCTAGAAAAAATTATTTCATTAAAGAAATAAAAATATATATTGAAGAATTGAATTGATTAAAGTTGATGAAATAAATTGACCTATCAAGGTCACAAAGGTTGACAACCAGAGAGCATTGTAGAGGAAATTAGGGAATTAATTATAATGCAAAGATGATTCCCAATCCCTTACATTGACCATCTTTTTATTTTTGTTCAACAGGTTATTTATTGGGAGTTTAGAAAAAATTGATAAAGATTTCTAGAATTCTAAATTTTTAAAAAATTTCAGAAAAATTGCATTAAAGTCAATTTATTTGTCAAAATTAACTTTGTACAAGTGGGATGATTAAAAAAAAAAAAAAGACTTAACTCTTTGTAAGTGCAATTTTCATGTTTTTAATGTAACGGTTTTTTTCATGTTTTTAATGTAACAAGCAAAACCAGTTTGTTATTATTAATAAAGTGAAAGAACTATCCGTTATATAGATATAACGTATTTAATCTTTGAAAGGTTATGTACAACGTGGTGTATTTAACTACTGTCTAACTGCCATTGCAATCATCCATTTTAGATGTTTGTTTTTAACCTGACTAGAATTTAAGTTCCTTCAGATAATTAAAAAATAAACTAATTTTCAAGAAGGCCTCATTGCTATGTGTTTCTGAATATCATAAGTAAATATTTTATTTATTGCTCAGAGCTGCTTAGTTAAATAAAATAAAAAGTAATAATTTTTTTATATACATGATAATAGGAGAGGGCAAAAAAATTTAAGCAGTGCAAAATACAAGATACAAAATTCAATACTTGCTTAAATGTCTTTATAAATTTTATTTTAATATAAAATTTTATTAAATGTTAGGAAAAATTAATTAACATCAACAGGATAAACATTCAAGAAATAAAAGGTTGGATTAAATCCCTCAAAGACCAGCTTATCTTGTGGGACTGCAATGCATTAATCTTCTGCTTAAAAAAAAAAAAAAAAAAACTGCGTCATTACTTTGAAAAAAAAATTCTTACAAAATATTTGCATTTTAACCCCGAAGATTTATACTGAATATCTCGGAAGAAAGTTGGTTTTCGGTGCGAGAAAGCAAACTCGTACAATCTCAAAATTAGTTCAACTTTGACAGATAGAGGACCAAAGTTCATTTTCAATTTAACTGGTTTTATATGATTTTAATTACTCTTTTACCTGTTTTTCTTTTCTTTTTTAAAATTTTTAGTGAATGACGATGTATGAAAAATTCAAGAAAAGTAGAGTTTTGTTGTAAAGCTCTTCACAAGTCAGAAAATGGAAAAAACAAAATTATGATGGATCAGGCTGTGGAATCAGATTTTAAAGTGACTGAAATGAGGGACTGCCAGACAAGATCATGAAATAGATTGGCTGGAAGGACTCTTCAACAGAAGGCCCAACTCCAAACCGTCATGCCAAATATGCTGTTTAATAGTCAATGGTTTAAAATATTAAGCAATTTTTTTAAAATCTGAAATGCTAATTTGTGGTTTCTGATGAGAATGATTTTGGAATTAATTTTTTACAAGTATAGTAAAGTTGCCAATGCAGATCTTCTAACTTTCAGCAATATTTAAAATTTTAGTAAAAAAACTAGACTTGTATGTGGTTCTGAAATTTTGCAGCATCTGGGCATTGGATCTTTTACTAGGTTACAGGTACCTGGTTAAAATTTATTTTATAACCCAGAAGAGTATAACAATTGTTCAAAACATAAAAATCATCCAATTTTTTTTCTGAGCCAATATTTTACAAGATATAGTTCTCCAGAAATTTATTGCTTAACTTATATAAATAAAAAAGTTTTTATTATTAGATTTTTTTAAACTATTTTTTTAATAATAAAATTTGGGATAATTGTCCAGATATACAAAGGATTAGCATATATCCCCCATACATCCCTGAAATTAACAATTAACTAAGCAAATGCATATTAAAATTTTACCAGTAGTTAAAAATATCACAATGTAAATCTATATTACTATAGGTATCATAACTCACGATGTCAAACTTTTCAATACACATCCATCTAATGCCTTAGAAATAAATATATCTTGAAGGAAATCATGTACATGAAAAGTGGCTATTTAGGCGACAATTACAATAGTTCATTATAGATGAGGGTCACTTTGAAATAGCTCAATTGCCCTTAAAGTATGCACAAATAGGCTTTTTATTGATTGAAACAATATAAGGGGGGAGCCTAACTTATGAAAATTGATAAGTAAGGTACTAATAATACTAATGTACATATTTATATATGTTATATACAATGTATATTTAAGGTGGTTATTAAGGAATAGTTGAACACTCAGTATAACAATTAATAATATTAAAATAGAACTAACATAGTTAATATCCATGTTAATGTTAATATAACCATGTTAATGTATTTAATATTGAAGTTCTCAAATGATAATTTTTTTAAAAATGTATAAATTTCAAATATGTATAGCCTAAAAGTAATGAAGAAAGTAAAGTATTTTATTCATTCATTAATAATTTTGTTTTATGAAAAAGTTTTTAATATTTGATGCATTTAGAAATTGAATATCTTTTGAAGCAATTTTTGAAAGAAAACATTTTAAAAATTATTTATGAAAAATAAGCAATTACTTCTTTTCAAGTTATCTGCTAAATACAGAGTTTTAACATATATAACTTTCTCAAACAATTTTCTCTGATTTACCTGGGCTACTATTTTTTCTGACAGTTTGCATGTTTTTACTGATAAAGGAGAAGAGGAGAAAGGTCCAAAATCAGTAAAAATATGCTTATGCAATTATAAGGAAATAATTATAACTTTTAGAAGCGACACCAAAAATTGCCACATTGTCAACTTTCTGATAGGGCATAGTTCTCTAATCAAGTTATTAAAAAAATTAAATTAGAAAAATAACAATAATTAAACAGATCAAAATGAATTGGGAATTAAATGTAATATATATAAAACATGGTTAAACACTGCCAATCAATCAAAATTGTGCAAAAGAAAAAATATATAAATAAATTGAAATTTAAGTCAACATATATATTTAAAGAAATAGCAAAATAAGATTTAAAAATAGCTCCGGACAATTAATTATTAAAATAGATTGATAATCCAATCAAAGTATAAAAACAGAATTAAACAAAAATTAAGAACAAATTTAATTTAAAAACAATAAGTAAAAATGGAAAAGCACTGAACAGCACGTAAAATCAAAATTGTCTTAATTAAACAATAGAAATAAGAATGTGAGAATGTAAATACAAGAAAAACGAAATCAAAAGATACGTATGTTAGTAAAAACGGCACTTCATCAGGGGAGACATGGCCTTGCCAACATGCTGCAGCCTTTCCGTTGGCGGTGGTAAAACACAAAATCGACAGTGCCCCCAAGACCACAAAATGGAAAATAAAATAAGATATGAAGATTTGAGGTTTATTATGGGGACTAAGTTCAGACCAAGAAGAAGATATAATTTAAAGTTTATTCTTGCTTCCATTAGTAAAGATTTGGATTGTTTTATGCTCTAGAAAATTTAAATGTTCAAGAAAATTCAATTGGCCTGTAGAGGGTTTTAATGAATGTAAATTTTGTGTTTTATATTATTTCAAATAAAAAAAATTTAAACAATAATATTGAATACCTAAGTTTATTCTTGAATTCTAATATTATTAAATCTATTAAGGAATTGAAATATAATTTTATAATTTGTGTAGTTGACAATGCATCTAATAATTTTTGCTTTATTTGCAAAAAGTATTTTAAACATTTAACGAATAAAGAATATGAAAATAATAATACCTTTGTCAAAAGTAACAATTCTAAAAAAGAAATTGCGAATAGAACTTTAGCTTTGTCTAAAAAATTGGTATAAAAATCAACAGCATTAATTATCCTTATTTATTTCCAATAGTTAAATTTCCCAAAATACCATTTAAATTTAAATTTGTTACTTGTAGGTAGTACTGGATGTTATAATTAAGTTTCTGGAAAAAAGTTTTTAAATATTTAAACATCATTTTAAACATTACAATAAATTAATAGTATTCTTACCTGTGATTTTAAAAATTTATTCACGAGTACACCATTCAATAATTTAAAAACTATTTGTCTAGAGATTTTTGATAAATATTTGATTTATGAGGATATAATTAGGAAGGATTGAATTAATTTATGTATGTTATTATGTAATATGTATGTTATTATGTAATATGTATGTATGCTATTGTGTATTATGTAAACATTTTAATTGGATTATACCATGAAAGAGATTTTAAGTTTATTGTTATTAGTTTAACAAATTTTAATTCCAACTTTATTTCTAAAATTTTTAAAAATATTCTGATTAATCGAATTCTTTGGTTTAAATTCATTTGTAATAATAAAACATATTTTTTCTTTCAGCTATTAAGAATTTCAGAATTACTTTGGATAATAATAATTTTCCTTTTAATTATTGTAATTATAATTTTTTAATTTAAAATGTCTAGAAGGAATTAAATTAATTTGGTCGATATTGAAGCCTGCATAAGTAGACCTATACGGTGAAAAATAGGATTTTTTGTTCCTTATATGGCAACACTTTATTTTCATGATTCAGGAATTTTGCCTTGTTGAAGTTTTTCGAAAGAGGTCAGCACTGTTATTATTTAATTTCACTTTAATGTTTTAAGAATTTGACAATTTACATTATTTTGGTTTTTCTAACTGGAATTTCCTCTTTGTATTTTTCATATGTAGAGGTGTCCGTTTCCTTTTTTTTTCTCAGTGTACTTTTGACTTGTGTCATTGTAATTCACTGGATTTAATTTTTATTCCATGCCTTGATTTTTGGAGGTATTGTATTATTGTCTCATTTTATTTTCTATTATGGGGCGTCAGGGCACTGCCGGTTTTTATCTTACCACAGACAACAGAAAGGTTTCAGCTTGTTGACAAGGCGGTGTGCCCTGATGAAGCTCCATTTTTGCTAGCATGCATATCTTCAGATTTAAATTCTCACATTTTTATTTATATAATAGATTGTTATTAATAATCGATAATATGTATTAAAACAAGGATGAGAAAGTGTTAAATTAAGAGCAGCAAAAAATTCATCAAAATATTGCTTATATACCTAAATGAATTTTCTATTCGAACCAGCAATACAAATAAAAAAAATTGAGAAAACAAGGTAATGGTGCAACAAATCCATCAAAATTGCATTAAAAATAAATTGCGAATCATATAAAATAATATTTAAATAAAGAAATTAGCATAATTAACTGGACTTAATAGAATTTAATAATTAATAATGTCAAAATGGATTGCAAACAAATGTAACAGTGCTAAATTAATAGCTCCTAAAAATCTATCAAATTCATGGTATTTTAAGCAAAGTACAAAATAACACAAAGTTCAATAACTAGATTGAAAATAATTGAAAAACAAATGTAATAGTGTTCTCCTGTGAGGAATCAATTAATGTAACAATAATGAATAAATATGCTAGTAAATTGTAACAAATTTCAATATTAATAAAAAAATTATTAAAATATGATTTATTACCATTTGACAATTACTGTTGAAATTAATTGAAAAACAAATGCAACAATGTTACAATGAAGAAGGAAGGTGACAATGCAGTTTTACATTTAAATCAGGAAAAAACAAGGTACAGGTTGAAATGTGCAAAATTTTTGATGAACAGGCAGTACCATGATTTTTCAGGTATAAATCATGTTTTTCTACTATTTTTCAAGTCCACAAATACTTTGTTTATGTGTTTTAATAAACATCTAAAGTGCTAATAGTATAACCATCTGCTAGAAATCAGAATGTTCATGAAAATATTTAATTCAGAAAATCTCTTGAATTCTGGGTTGTGCTCAAAGCCACAAGGAAAAAAAAGGTGATGGAGATTTCTTTCTTTTACAACTCCAATACATTTCATGTAATGACAATTCAGAATCAATGAAAAAGGGAACAATTTGTGAAATTACTTTATCTTAAGGCATTAAAGAGTACTGGATTTAAAAAATAAAACACAATCAACTCATTTAAATTTCTCAATAAAATTATTATATAATAAATTATACAAAAAATTATTTATTCAAATCATATACATATTTTATAAAATAATATTAAAAAATTTATTTTAAAAAATAAATGAAAATATATATTTGAAAATAAAAATATACTTCTCTATTATCTCCATAATGAATAACACATTTATTTTTAACCCCATTCAAAATTAAGTTTTTAGATAGAGCTTCCACAGCATGAGGATTCCACTCACAAGCATGCACTTTAGGTGCTTTGGCATGCACAAGGAAAGGAAGAGTAAAATAACCTATTCCTACAATATACAAATGCAAGTAAGTAATTTTTTGAATAAAATAATTTTTCAGTATGAAACTAAACAACATTCTAATTTCAAATAATAACCAAACAAAAAGAAACAGAAAATTTTATTTGCATTCACACAGATTACCATTAAAATTCATAACTAATGAGGACACCAAAAATTAAGACTCAAACTTAACTGAAATTTCATACTATGATATTAAATTATTTTAAGTTTTGATTCCTTCATAATGGTGTAATTAAGTACAACAATAACAAAACACTAAGGTAACAAATTATTCTAATACGATCAATATAGTAAAGTTGTAAACATGGCTTAAAATTTCGATTTAATCTAAAATAAATTGAAACTAACTATTGACATAATATTATTTAGATCCGAAATCGTATTCTAACCGATAAACAGATTTTTACAACAATAAAAACATATTACTGTATTTACGCATTTCTGAAGACAAACTTAGTAATGAGGGCAATGCACATACATCCTATTTTTTGCATCTTTGATTTTTGTTCATTATGATTTAATTAACTTGGAATAAATATCAATGTAATTCCCTATTTCTTATTCATTGCAATTTCCTCGTCAATGTATTCCATATTTCTTACTGTATTAAGACTAAAAACTGGATAAAAATAAAATTCTTTTTTGCTAGGTCTGGAAAATCTGTCCACGAACTGGGCCATTGCTGGGTACCTAGTACATCTCTAATATAATTTTTTTTAAAATGGTTTGATCACAAATATGGCTTATCAAACTTTTTTAAAACCTTTAGTCTCACATTTTTAAATTAAAGGGTAGTTTGAGCAAAATCTAGGTTTGAAATAAATTATAAAATGCTATATCTCTGTTATAATAAAATCTATCAAGGTGGTTTTCTTTGTATATTTTTGCCATGCATATAAACTCACTATGTTTCCTTCCTTAACCCACTGACGGTTCTGCACGTAAAAAGTCGCATTTTAACATGCAGTCTTCTCTGCATAGCAAAACCGGTTTTCCCATGTTAACTGATAGGGGAACTGTGTGTAGGGGAGAAACATTCTCCCAATTTTGCCCATTTCCTTAACCGCCAATGGGTTAAAGATTGTTTTTCTTTAAATGTTTTGAAGTTGGCATTATTTATTCTACAGTTTCATATAAGAGTGATTGAATAGATTGCATAAATTGCATTAAAATGAAGAATTCAATAAATACAATTTTGATCCAAAAACTTAAAAGACAAATTTGAATTTGTTTGCTATATTTCAATCAATAAAACAATTATACATTATTACCAGCATACATATCAACAATTGTTTCTCCTTCGCAAGAAAGCTGAGCTATTCTTAATTTTTCTGATATATTACCAGCACTAAACATACAATGTTTAACATCATAAGCATACCTGAAAATAGAATTAATCATTTCAATGAGTAAAAGTAAATTAGTATTCAAAATTTTTCATACAATTACAAAAAGCTAAGCAGAAGTATAAAAAAAAATTTAAAAACACTTATTTCTGAAATAGAACAATAATATTCACAAGTACTATTTGCAAAACCTGTTGTTTCTATAACAGATGAAAACTATTCTGATATAACAAGCAATCATGATAAGAACAAACAATCATTAATTATTATTTTAAAGATTAAAAAAAATATTTTTAAAACTTGTAAGGAAATTATTAATAAAAGAAGAAATTTTTTAAATAACAATTCACATTGATAATTTCAATGTGGGCATAACATCTGAATATTAATGAAGTTCAGTGTCTCCTCACAGCCAAAGAACTACTTTACTATATTCAACAAGCATAACACACTACCCAACCTACACAGAATAATCAAAGATGACCAGAGTAAAATATCAAGTTTTGAATTATGTTATAATGTTACTAATCTACATATATAATTCACGCTTATTTAAATTTATCAAAATATTATCATGCTATACAAAGATAAATTATAAATTTTTTATACAAATACAGTAAATACAGTAAAAACGAAAGTTCAATCAAAAATACCTCTGATAGTTTATGTTCACAAATTCAATCAATCATTAATTCCTAGTTAAAAAAAAAAACGTTACTTACTTAATTTTATTATCAGTATGTACAACCCATGAATCAGAACCTAATAAAAACTCAACACGAGGGCTTCTGTAATTATCATTACAAATTGAGTTCTTTCTGGCGACTCTGTTACATTTTAAAGTATCAGCAACTATCATCCACAACTTATTACCTTAAAATAACAATAATTTATTAATAGTTTTATATAATACAGCTTAAATATTTCATTATGACAAAACTTTTGTGCGCCATCACAGAAAAAAAGCATATTATTTTCTAATAGTAGTAAAAAAAACATAATGTGAAAAGGAACAGTAGTAAAACAAAAGGCAAAAGTGTCCATCTATCCCTGAAATATTAATGTTTTGAAATAATTTGTGCTTTCCAAAACTTGAAAATGCCAAACAGGTTGCTACATCAAGATAATTTATTGTAAATTATAAAAATCAGAACACAAAAGAATGGTTTTATTTCTTACAAAGTTATTTCTTTTAAAGGAAATCCTATTTTTTTCCAGGATGGTGGAAGAAACAGTAAAAAAATAGAAGAAATATAAAAATACTAAACAAAATTTGTTTAAAATTTAAAAAAAAAATTAAATTGAACTTTAGAACTGATTAAATATAAAATAAAATTAAATGTGTTTGTTGTGTTATGTCATGTCTTGAACACATTTTTTTTATAGAGATCTGTTGTTTTTCATGTTGCATACATATTTAAATGAAATACTACAGAAAAATAATAACATTGAAAGCAGACTTCTATTTTCAGTTAAACGAAAAATATCTCTGCTACAAAATCTTTCACATAGTTTCTGATGGTGATAACAAAACAACTATGATGATGACTGACTTTTCAAGAATAAGAAATAATTTTATCAGCTAAGATCCAGTATTGGTGCTTTGGCTGAAAAATGAATTTTGCCAATTCAGCCAATCTTGCAAAACCTCACATTAATAATTTGACAAGAGAACAACTCCCAAAATTAAGTGAATTAAGGCAATCCAATAATGTATGATGCTAATGTAAAAGTGGTTGTAGAAAAAAAGATTAACAATTGATTTTTAATTTCCAGTTGTCATGACATTGAATAATAATTGGTTGAAAAAATTGCATTGAAATAAAAATGTTGCTATTATAAAAAGAAAGATTTTTATTTTAAAAAAAGAAAAGAGAATTTGACAACAGCTCATTGTGTGAGGTTGAATTATATTGACATAAAGAATTATTTAATATGAGTATAAATACAAGAAATAAATTAAATTAAAATGCTACGTAACTTTGTTGCTACAGGACAGTGTGAGTTTAGTGAAATATTATAAATTTAATTTAAGTAATAAAATAAATTTGTTTATTAAGATTAATATCTAACTTTAATAGGAACTAATTCATATAAATTTTTCACTGAAACAAAAATTGTCATGATATTAGTTTTAATCTCTGTTTAAAATCAGTAAATATTTTGTTAACAAAAACTTTTTTGCATTGACCAATGAGAGAATTAAATAAGTATTTTCATAACATCCCTCACATGCCTCTTACAGGTCACAGTCATGTGTTTGTGTTGTCAAACTATTGTGAATCATTTTAAATTGATAATTACATTGTACTGTTAACTTTTAGGAAATTGTAACATGATAATGATAGAAAAAGGACAAAATAATCTTAGGATTTCGATACAGATTTCATATAATAATATATAAATTTTATGTTAAATCACTAGCAAATAAAATGAGAATCTTAGACAATTTTGAAACTACAGTCGGACTTCTATTTAACATAGTCGCTAAAGCTCAATAATAAGTTCGTAATATGGAAAATTCGCTGAATGGAAGATAATCTTTTGAAATACTTAAACAACACAAAACAAGTTTTAAATTCATAAACACTAGAGTTAGATAGATAGATATAATTAAAATAGCAATTGATACACCCTTATCTTGTAACCTAGTATATACTATTTATTTTATAAATTTTAACCATAAAGGAAATCTGCATGGAAAGCAAGAATAGAGCAAAACATTGTCCAGTGTTACAATATCATGCAACATATATTTTCAACTAAAAAAAAGCTAAATTTGTGTATAAAATTACAGCTGCATTTATTATGAAAGTAATTTTAAACATACTTTAATGCCACATGCGTTCTTAAATTTAATTGCTACTGATAAAATCCGCTAATTTTGTTGTGAGTTTTTCGTTTGAAATGCAAACAAAAAGGGAAAGGGATTTTACTGCCTTCTCGAAAAGTGGCTTTGAACATAAATTCAAGGTCATTTCCCCCATAAAATGCGTTAACAAGATTGAAATGTTCTAAAATATTTTGGGAAATAGTGAAAGTGGATATCAAAGAAAAGTTCGTTAAATACAAAATTCACCACGCTATTTGTATGTTATTTTACAAAGAAATTTCCAAAATGTTCTTGGTTCCGCGAAAAAAATCACAAAATAGAGAAATTCGCAAAATGGAAGTTCATTAAACAGAAGTTCGAGTGTATATTAAAAGTCATAAATGGTTCTTACCAAAAGAAGACCATAATTCAGATCGAAAACTGTAAGCTGGCAATAACACTAGATCCCCATGCTTTTCCCATTTAGATGGAATATCATTCGGAATTTCGCAACCAATACTTTCAAGCAGTAGCTCACCTAATCTCAGATGTAAAATTTCTTTTGGACTAGAGCAACGCTTACGCTTCGCATATTTCTTTGCCATCTAAAAATAGAAATGTCATTAAAGAAAGAAAAGAAATTTTAAAAATATTGCTCATTCTAAATTTTCTAGATTTTAATTCATTGAGAAACTATTATTGTTAAAAAAAAAATATGTATTATATTTCTATATTATTACTTAAAATTTCAATTTTCATTATTCATAAAATTTTATTAATTCTGATGAACTATGAAAAATAAGATAATAAGAGCTATAACTGTTTTGTTTAACTGTATAAGAAAAGATGGACAAATCTTAAAGAGGGATCACTTTCTCTTTGAACTAAAGTTCAATTTGCTTAATTTCATTTTTACACTTTTGAATGATACGAGAGGATAATTTTTTTAAAGACAACGTTTCAATTTTAGTATGCACATGCGATTTCTTAAAATTGAAAATAACTCGAAAGAATCATTAAGAACCCAGAGCTCATTCTAGGCAGGGTAGACAGGGCGCAGCACCCTGCTTCCCTTTTAGTAAAAAGAATCCACCCTGTTGCCCCTGAAGTAAATTAGTGCTCTGATGTAATAGATTCCATACCCTTTTTGCCCTTTCTTACCTCAACCCTTCTTTATTTTTCACCCAAACTTTACAATGGATTTATAAAACTTTTGTTATTTTCAACTCGTTTTATTTAGTTTGTCATTGCTGTCAATGCATAGATTTATATGGGAAAGGAGAATAGCCATCACACCCCATTGCTGCACTTGTCTTTGAAAGTTTGCAGTTACTTCCACTATCATTAAATCATAACTACAGACACTTAAAAACATACATTTATTGTTTTATTAATATATGCATGCATTTTAAATAAATTACTAAGCTAATTAGCTCATTAACTCGATATATATGTTAATTTATTAATAAAAATTAGTAATTAATATGATTGCTTTGCTACTTTTAGTAAAGTTTAAAAAAAATTTATTTTACTAATTGACAATGTTTTTTAAAAGAATGTGTAAAGCCCATAGAAAGAAATTATTGTCTTTTTAGAATAATAATGCCCTTTTTTTAAACTTTTGCACCCTGCCCTTTTTTTTGTGTGCCTAGAATGAGTTCTAAAGAACCCACTTAATTGTGTGTTAGAAAAGTTTAGATTTGTGCATGAATTACTGTGATAATCCAATTTCAATAGCTATATATTTGAAATATTTTGATGAGAAAGAGAGGTAGAAGAAATACCCAACTTTTCAGTTCAAGTTGCAAGTGAAAAATTATCTTATTCTTTGAAATACAGGAAGATATCCATTATCGGTGATTTATCTAAAATTAGCTTTGCTAAAAGACAAACTAGCCCAACCTACTATTAGTTTTAAAACAAATGAGTGAAAGACGTTAGAGAAAGTTATATTAAATATGAGGATATTCCCGTATCGTGATCTGTTACGCCAACTACAATCGCCAAGATGCCAAATAGATTTTATTTTAATAGATATGCTCCAATGAAAAAAAAGGTAGTAGTATTTTTTAGAGAAAGGAATTAATCCAATATTAATCTAAATTTAAAAAATGAATTCAATATAAAAGCTAGAAATTGTCATACCTATAATGGCTAGAAAAGAATAAACCTTTAAAATACTAATAAAATCTTAAAACCCACTATATTTTTCACTATATATGATTTACTATATAAGATTAAACAAATAGCAATGAAATGTAGTAGTTATTAAAAAGATATGGATTAGAAGGAGGTGATTTTAAATAATCAAACACATTATCTGGAGTATAATCAAATTAAAAAACTACAATCAGTTACATAAAAGGAAATTTTCGTTAAATGAAAAAATGTAAACAAACTCGGGCATGGAGCAGACAGTTTTCATCTTTTCATTTCATTTCAAATTTATCATAAATTTTTTTTTTTTAACTACAATAAGAAAACATTGATTTAACTGTAAAGCAATTCAACTGTAACCACCGACTATTTTATTTTCCGCGGAGTGTCTATTGCACCGATTATCGGCGCAGTAAAATTCATTTTGCTATCATACCGATCAAAATTTCAACCAATCATAGAGCGTATCNTTAAAAAATATTTTTCAACCAGACAATTAAGTTTACTATAATTTATTTAAATAACCGTAATAGCTATCGCCCCTAAAACTGTCTCGAAAAATTTATAAATTAAAAGAAAAATAATAATTTCGAAAATTTTAGTACCCTTTGAAATAAATGATAAATAAAAAATAGATATATTTCACCAGAAAAAAAAGTAGGAAAAGACACCTTTTTTTGTACTTTATTAAAAACTTTATTTAAATTATTAATTAAAATATAAACGAGTCGACAGAAACAATTAATATATTTAAATAAATCCAATATAATGTTAATAAATAATTTAGTTTTTAAAAATTCTATGAAAAATTTTATACGCTTTTAGGAAAAAAGAAATGATGTTCTTTTATTTTTAAATTTTTAAATTTTTTGTTGTTGGTGAAACAATGACAACCCATTACCAATTTCACATACACAGGTTGAAAAGCATAACTTATAGCTATTGTACCGATGAATTAGTTTCTGTAAAGTGGCGCTGTTGTCAACGTCGGCGCGATAGCTCTGAGGCTATCTTACCGATAGTCGGTGTAATAGACACTGCCTATTTTCCGTAATTCGGTGTTTTGTTTATGACTTTCGATTCGTTAGTTTAGAAAATTTAAGTAATATTCTAGCTGTGCATTTACTTTGATATATTCTAAACATGTCTCAACTTCAAAATCTTCGAAAACAAGTGCTGCAACTAAGACAAGAAGCAAATATAAGTCGAATGCCTGTATCACAAGCTTGTGATGAGTGAGTATATAATGATGACCACCTGAAAGGTGTGGTCCATTGGAAGCTTTTTTTCATATACATTTACTAGTTTTGTCATTCCAATGTTTCAAGCGTGTGTATGCATTATTCTTTTCAAAGTTGTTTTTATTTTTCACTAATTTCTTCGAAATTTAAACTTGTTAATAGTTGATAAACATTAAGCGGCAAGCAGACAACAAATCTTTTCATGTATACATATGTTCCTGGCAAACGTAATCTTTAAGCGTTATTTATAGCGGCGGTTCCTAATTTTTTTCGTATATGAAGCACTAAATGATCGAACTTTTTTGCAGCCGAACCCTGAGACATAATGAATAAAATTTGTTAGCAATTATGAACATGTTAATCGTCTCTTGAATAATGAACATGTTAATCGGTACCCAGTGGATTTTCCAAAGTCGTCCCTCTACAGAAGATCAAAATAATGCTGTCGTCTTCGGATCATCCTCAAGGATGTTTTCCAGACTGTCATCAATAGCTCATTGTGCTACATACCAACATATTTATCGAAAAGATGCGATTGTTTTTCAAATAATTCTGTATTCTGAACTGTCATGCAAACTACAACTGCTAATGCGTCAAGTGTATTTTAAACTTTGCCCTGCACTTCAAATGTTTGTGGATGCTGAGTATTTTAAGTGTGTAGGGAGAGATGCCAAGATGTTTTTACAGCAATCCAAACATTTTATTTAAAACAAAATGATTGTATATATGTACATATGATAATAAATTAACAAAAACATGCAGTAGCACTTAGATATCCCAGTAAATAAGACCCCTGTAGCAGAATTTTTTTAAGCTATCTGCGTCAAAACTCTCTAGCACTAATATCTTTCTGCATGATGCTTTTAATAATAATAAACATGTATGTTACTAATTTAAAATAACAAAAGTGCTGTGTTTACAAAAAAAAATATTTTAAACTGAACTTGTAATAATTTTTTATGATAAAGAAAATAATTAAAAAATACAATTTTTAAAAAAAACACAAAAAATCGGGAAAATAATTAAAAATCATGAAATCCGTAGTAATTCCTGAAAAAAAAGATCGCTGGCGAAATCACTCGAATCGGACTCTTCAAATTCGTGTTTCGTTTCGAAATTAGTTGTTGTAATAAATAATATCATATAAAAAATATCGGGTTTAAAAACTATGGAGAAATCATTAGCAATAAGTGCCAAACATTCGACAGAATTATAGCCTTAAAAGGTAAATATTCAAATGCATGATTCGAATTTTCTGTATTTTTCCGATACTATAGCTTAAATTGAGAGTGTCAAAAAGTGATTATCTAAATGCATGATTCAAATATTACATATAAATTTCTGAGAAAAGAAAAGTAATTTTTTTTTTTTCTTTTCAAAAGAAAATTTTTTTTGCAAGAACTCGTAACGTTCTGCTACAATGTCACTGTGATTCTTCCACGGAGACTATGACATGATCATTTGATCAAGCGAACTGCAAGCTTGAAGTTAAACAGAAACAAGAGGTAGTGATATGAAAAGATCTCAAGCTATTTATGCAAGAATTTTGGTTTTGTCATAAATAAAAGCAATTGAAAATACATTGGATGTAAAGTCTATCATTGTTAAAAGTGAGGAAATAGTAACAAGTTTAATACAATGTTGAAATCATAAATCATGTTACTATTAAAGGTAAAAGTAAAGGTCATAACTTTTAAAGTTTTTTGTATCTTGATGAGGTAGGAAATGCGTTCGTAATACAAATGAAGGTCCGACTGTTTAACCAAAATATTTCAGGCAAAAGAGACAGTTGCAGAAGAACCACCAAGTTTTGGCTACTTCTGGGCAGTAACTGAAATAAAAAAGGGGAAAGGAGAAAAAGCGAGAAACTGAAAAACAGCCACAGAAAGGGGCCAACTCAAAAAGTATAACTCATATCCATCTTAGGCATATCTGTGGGGAAGCTTGAGAATTTTTCCCAAACTTAGCTTAGTACTTTTAGCTATGAAAACTTAATGTACATTTATGGCAAAAATAAAAATTGTGCCATGAAACATGAAAAGTAGGAATAAAGTATTATTTGGGTATAACTGTTAAGTGGACTTGATCCCTTGATGTTTAGTAATCAACCTAATATTTGTTGCATCTTTAGTTATAATTTAAAAATAAAATAGATATTATGAAAGGTGGTTTTTAACAATTATCTTGTGTTATGGAAGATATCATAACAAAAATTTAAACTTCATCACTAGATATATTTCTTTATAAACCTTCACTGTAGATAATTTTCTAGAAATTACTTTAAAGTTCAATTAATCAGGTATCCTGATTTTTTTTAAATTGTATTTCAAATACACTGTAAGAACTTTGATTTATGATTAAAAAAACTTTATAAATGTTTAATCAACATTAAATTAATATTAAAACTATATTTTAGAATCTCTAACTACCTAAAACAATTTTGTATTTACATAGCTTTAAATGCATAGCAACCACTTTGAAACAAATGCATGATTGAAAGGTAAAGACTAGATGAAGTAGAGAATTTAAATCTTATTTTTGGCACATTAGGGTGATTTCTTTTTAATATAACCTCTAAATATGCATTTTCTACCTATAAAATATAATATAGATTTTAATTCCGTGCTTTTTCAATCAAAAGGTAGAATTTTAATTAACATTATTTATATTTTTTGTGAAGAAAATTCATTAATTTTTTGTTTAAATTAAATTAATCATTTCTACTCGACTTTAAACTTAAATATTTTAGCCTGTGTAGGTAATTTATTTTATTAATTCATGCATTATCTTTTGTTTTAGTTTGATGAAATACTGCTCTGAGCACCAGAAATCTGATGTTCTTGTCTTTGGAATTTCTCAATCAGAAAATCCTTTCAAAGAAAATAAAGGATGTATACTTATTTGAAAAAGGTGGAAAAAAACAACCTTTTCTTCATGGACTTTTTTTTCTTTCAATTTTTTGCTAGAGAGAATGTGTGTCAATGTTCTATTTTTTGCTTATTGCATTTATAACTTTTTTCACAATTATTCCATTAAGTGCCTCTGTCAAGCAAAGATCTACATTCCTTAAATTATGTTTTGAACTACATATCTATGCTTTGTAATATATTTTTTCAAATGACAAAATAAATTTTTAAATTGACATCTTTGTATTTTTATCATTATATCTAGTGTGCTAGGCCTATGCTTTGCTGCTGCTCACCAACCCTTAAGATTGCTTTGCAGTAATTGTTTTTTGGCATAAAACTTTTCTACAAAAGTTGAAATCATAATCTGATATTTTCGTTTTCCAAACAAGCTGATATATAAAATATAATTGTGCATGAAGCTGATTGAAACTTTTAACAAATCTCTTTACCTGTTATTTATAATGCTATATGCACTAAAAAATAGTAGATGTAAAAAAGTAAATAAGTTTAGACACTAATTTAAATATGTTTAGTAAAATATATAAAGTATTATCGAAGTATTAATTTGACTCAAAGAAATGTGTTATTATTTCCAGAATCTTGGTTGTCGTAGATAAAATAATTGATCTCAGTTACCATGGTAGACAAATCTTGTTTTAGCATTAGTTAGGTAGCAATAATACTATGGCAAAATAACTTTTTTTTTGGTGGAATCTGACTGAATAAGTGAGATAGCTTAGTTTGTGCATTGTTCAGTGTGAAGATAACATGGATTCATTTGTGTAAAATACTGTAAACAAGACAGAAAAATTAACACTTAGTAATATTTTTGTAAAAAGAAAAAAAAATTAATTTTAGCATCGAAAGTTTTTGATTCTTAAAAGAAAAAATATTGAAAAAACCCCGAAATTGCTTTGCCTGAATATAATTTTTAAAAAAAATTCACAAGTACAAAACTCATGATTGAGTAAAAAGTAACCTAGTTTCAATTCTCCAAGCATTGCTTTTCAGTTTGTCTTCCAGAACTTAAATTTGCAAGTTCTAGAATTTACCAAATATATGTAAAAAACTGCCTAGTAAAAAAAACACTATTTTAGATTCTTTATTAAATATTTTCAAATTCTCAAAAAATAACTGTTGAAATACTTTGCAGAATATTTTTCCAAACATTTGGTCAACCATATATTCGGCAAAAAAGGCCAAATACCAAACAGTGGCCGAATATTCCTTAGCAAGAATCATGCTCTTTTGCTTACAACTCTGGGCAAAAAAAAAACTCAGTTCTATTATTTTTGTTTAATTACCCCCTCCTTGAGGATTTCCTCGAAAATATGTATACTCAATATGTTATTCAGCATAAATGCAGGTATATGCTTGTCTTAATATTAGATTCAGTCATTCATTAGTTGAACGTATTCCGTAGTTCAACTTCCTATTTTTAATGTAATGTAATCTGATTGAAGAACAAAAATAAGTCTGTATCAAAATAATTTTATTTGAAAACTTTTATATCTTCCCAATTTTTTTGTAAAATAAAAATAACACTGAAAGCTTTTAATTTTAAAAGTTTTTCTTTCAGAGCAAAAATATAATTGGAATCAAAATCATTTGTTCAGTTAATAAAAAATATTATATTCACACTTCAATTATCTATTATATGGTAAGTACACTTAAAGATTATTTGCAATCTGTTGAGAATAATAAAAGAACTGTAATTCATATACAATTATGGTTCAGGTTCTTTTTTTTATCCACAAGAAAGATGTTTAAAATTTTCTTTTAATTTCAGACTCAAGAGAATGTTCTTGTTCCTCTAAAATATTCTTTGGGAAATATTTTCTCCTCACATCTCTAATCATGTGTCGACCTTGTGTATGTAAATGAATGTTTGTTTTCATTCATTAAGGAATCAGAAAATTTACTTAAAAACAAAGATCTTAAAATTATTACAACAGTGTTCAGTGGGCATGAATTTTTTTGAATGCTAAAAAAGCTACTAAGCAATTCACAAGAAATTTATTAATCAAAAATATTTGGCAACATTCATAATGTACTAATATTATTTTTACACATAGAAGTAAGTCAGTACGAAGGTTGATAAGAAAAATTTACTCTTTTTCACCAATTCAAAATTTTATTTCAAGATTTCTTTTTTTTTTTTAGTTAACACTAAAAAAATTAAAGCTATCGATATACTAATAAGCTCGAAAAACATTTTTGATTCTCAATTGCTTTATATATAAATGCTATAATATCACAATCTTGAAAATATCTTTTAATTATTAAAAAAAGCAGATCACATAAAATGGCAACATCACAAAATTTATACAAATTGTGTATCAAAATAAAAAATATATCCACGTTTCTGACATGTTTAAAATGTGCGAGAATAAAACTTGAGACATATTTAAAAATCAGTCGAAAGGCACAATTAAGCTTTTAGAGCTTACAGGAACTATACATCAAATTCAATCACATAGTAAATTCATTCAAAATGAATTCTTGCATGCCACATGTCATGGAATTAAAATATATGAGTAATAACTTCAAGTAGCAACAAAATACATAAAAAAGCGAGTGAATATTCTCAAAATGACACAGTGAACAGAACAAAAATGTAAATGGGGACTATAGAATAATGCAATGCGATGTTAATTTACAAAATGCTCTTAAAAGTTTCTTCCACTCATTTACCATCAGGTAAAATCTGCCTTGGAGCACCATATGGAGTCATGCCTCTCTGTGAAGCTCCTTGATTGGTACCAGATTGCAATCCTATTATTGTCTTCCCTAATTCTAATTTCTCTTTTGAAAATGCTCTTTTGTTTTCATCAGCAACTTTAACTCCTATTGTTGGTCCATCATACTGTTTTTTCTTAGCCTGCAAGAAAATTGAGAATAAAATTCACTGGTATATTAATTTAAAAAATCAAATGAAAATTCCATCAAATTATATTATTTATAAAAGTATAATCAACAAAAACATGAACAAGATTATTATTGATCACACTGAATTTATAAAGGTATGTAAAGAATTAACAAACTAAGAAAACATTAATAAATTAGAGAATGGACCCTATTCAATTATTAAAATTTGTAACTTGATTTGGTGTTTCTTAAAAAAGTCAAAAATAAATTATTATATGGTCCCTACATTCATATTTAACAAATCTGATATTATTAAATTTTAGTTCAATTGTTTTACTTGTTGAATTAAACTTATTTTGCAATGATATTTTTTACAGCATTTGTTAAATGTTAAAATAGGGAAAGGTCCCTCACTTCATAATCTTTTTTAAATCTTTCCTTCAAATATTATTGTTTTTTTTTTTTTTTTTTTTTTATTTTTTTTTTTTTTTTTTTTTTTTCTTCATTAAATAATTCAAGAGCATTGAAAATTTTAAACGCAATAATACAACAGTAAAAGTAGTCAAAAGTAATAAGTAAAAAAATAATCTACAATAGAAAGATCAATAAATTTTAACCTACGATTTAAAATCTCAATTCTTATATTTATTAAATTAAATGAATAAAAGAGAGAAAGAAGTTTTGAGATGATGAAGTTCGGTGATTGTAGATTGCTTTGGATCCACATGAAAATACATAATTAGTGAATAATCCCCAAGTTATGTTCAAGGATTATGGTACAGATATATAAATTGAACTGAACGAGAGCATCAGTGTTTTGTCAGTGAGGAAGATAATGGCGCTTCACCAGTAGTGAAATTAACAAGAGAAATAAAATATTCTTTCCTATCAGAGAAAAAATTTTGGCAATGCCAAACCTGACCAAATACCAAACCTGAAATTGCGAATCTCTCACAAAATGCAGCAGAGCTGCACATAAGAGTGCAAGATTCCTGCCAAACAAAATCAGCGCAGTGTATGAACATGCGAACCCGCAACATAAAAAATGATTTCATCAAACATGTAAAATGACTGCCGCTTTCATAGCCTACGGACAGACAGCACACTGAGAGATTATGGCGAATGAATTGTAAAAACATTGAATGGAACAATGTGAAAACCATGCTATGTGACAAAAATAGACATAGTAAAAAAAAAAAATCTTATTATGGAAGATGGAAAATTTAAGAACTTTTTAAAAACATCCAACAAAAAAAGCACCTTTAAGGAATTTTGAAAAATGGAAATAAAAAATAAGCACTTTTTTAAAAACAATACACAGCACAACCTGATTACATATAAATAAAAAATTTAAAAGAAAACAGTTTAAATTTAGACATAATGTGTATACAAGTTAAAATAAAAATGAAGAAAAAAATGTTTCTTTAACACATAATTAGACAAATTTTTAGATTGTTCATATACAGTAGAACTTTAATTTAAAGCCATCTATCTGTGTACAACGACTTCCCACTTTGAGCATTTTTTCCCCTTGGTCCCCATAAATTTTCAACAACAACAATGTATAAAAATCATAATATTTAGAGCATCCTCTAATATGAATTCCCTGAAATAACGACATTCTGAGTCATCTTAAATTGGACTTTTAGTTGATAATTTTTATGCAATGTCAAACAGGCACGGAAGATTCCTTAATGATTTCAGGACAGGTCAAATCTGATCCAGGAAAATTCTAAAATTATTCAGAACAGAATGCTGAGCCTAACATCGACTTTAAAAAACATTTGCTGTGTCATAACAACCTTACGACTTGTGAATCAGAGGCATTTTCAATAGCTGAAATTATGGGGTCTAGTAGTGAAGAAGACAATCTTCACATCCGCCACCAATATTTAATGAAGCAGCAGTTATGGTGGAGGAATTGAAAAATAAAAAGAAATAGATACTGCAGAATTATTGAAAATTCAATTTGTACTTTAAGACAAAAAAAGGGTAACCAAGTAAAAATGTCAGGTTCTTTTTCGATTAAAATGAAAAAATTTTCTTCTTCATTAAGAAAAAAGAAGAGAATGTTTCCTGGCTCCTACCCCCCAAACATCACCGGTACCAGAGCAACCGTCCAGGAGGTGCACTCAACATTCAGTGCAACCGCAAGGATCAGGCGGCGCTTACCAGCGGCCACCTTAAGTCTCTCTCTTTCGAGGGTAGTGTTAAAATTTTCCCAAACTGGCCCAGGCTCCACAACATGCAGGCTTCTCCCCAACATATCCTGGACTGGACAAGAGGGACATTCTAGAAAACCCATTTTTGGTGGCCAACTTCCTCCGCGTCACGAATTTCATGGACATTGTTTAGCCCTGCTAATTTTGGGGATTAGGAAGAAGAAGACATTTTAGTTTCAGATTATATTTATGTACCAAGGGTCTGTCTAGGTTTTTCAGAGAGGTACCTATTTTGTGAAAATTTAGACATAATTTGAGAAAAATTAAAAATTATATTGAAAAATCAATACAAAAATATGGATTTATCGTTTCTTAAGGGATACAAAAATAAAATTTTAAGAAAAAGTAATTTGTGAAACTACCGTTTTTCCTAAAATTGAATTTGTGAAGGTACCGCTAAATGGTAGTAAATTCGGCCTGGACAGACCCCTGTGTACTGAACAAAATATAATTACATTTGTATGCATTTAAATTTTACTTTTTAGGGGAATTTTCACCTTCCCAATATAGAGATGCTGTTATTTATGATGTTTTTCTCTAGTCTCACCAGCATTGTTAAATTGAGGTTCTACTGTATATATAAATATATATATAGATAGATATATAAACTTAATAAAAAAGCTCAACATACTAATCCTCCTAAAGCAAAAAGGCAATTCACAACCTGTAATGAAAACACATAATGCAATGAGTAAAATTAATATCTTTCATTCAGTTTAACTTAAATTACAAAATTAAAGATACTCACAGTATATAAATTTTTTTTCTCATATAAATCATTTACTTGAAATAAATCGTGTCTTTTTAAACCATATGACTCACAACCTTTTAGGAACATTTCCAAATTTTCTCTCTGAAAATAAATGAGAATTATTTATTTTCAATTCAACAGTCTACCTATATATTAGATTCACAGTTTTGAAAACAAGTGGTAGTTCTTTTTCTTTAGTTATTTAATAAACACATAAAATAGGCAAAAATAAATCTGTCCACCTCTTTGTTAGAGTAAATATTGTAAAGTGGTTTATTTTTATACATATTTATTTTTATACTATTTTTATACACTGATTATAATACACACTGAGCTTAAGATAAAAAATTTAGATATCTTTTCCTGGACAACTCTATTAACAACAACCGACTGAAATAAAAAAAGATTTACCGGTGAAAAAACTTCCTTCACAACTAAAAATAGAGAAATCTTTAATTTGCTTTATAACAGAAGTTTTTAAGAGTTGACACACAGGAAGTTTTATAACATAGTATAGTAGGTTGTTGACTAAGCTTTGTGAATTCTGTAAGCAGTTTCGCTGATGCGGCTATGAAAGTGAATTGTACTTTCATAGTTATTAAAGAGACAAACTTAAAAACTAAAAGGTAGCACATTAAAATATTTTCCTGATAATAATGGTTAACTAGAACTAATTTAAAAAGTCAAATAAACAATGCAAATACTCATTTCTACCAATATCACATGTTCAGCAAACATTGCTTGTTAACCTTTGTTGCTTCAAAGTACTTAATTAACAAACAGCAAAACCTGAAGAACCGAGCGAGGACACACCATTAGCAGGTCCTCAATTAATCTTCATAGGAAAATCAGGAGAAATTAAGAAAAGTGATTGCTAGCATCTTAAAGCTGACAAGTGACAACTTGCAAAAGAAATTTATAACAGAAAAGTGACAAATCTTAAAAAAGGTGATTAAATGTGGCAACTGCGTAAAAAAGGTAAGAAATTTGACTCATTCCTCTCCCTGAACTATATATATATATAGATAAAACAATCATAGATAAGGATAAAAAAAAAAAAGAACATGACACTTACTTCCTTAAAGGGAGTTTTCATTGTGTTTATTTTGCTAACTGCTCCAGGGCAAAGCTTATTGATCAATCTGAAAAGTTAAATATAATTATTAATATTATTGGTAGTAGAACATCTGCTCCTGCACCACACAGCGCAAGGTCAGGAAAACTGAGATGGGCACAGTTGGCCCTCTATGGGCTGTCGAGCCTCCGAGTTTAGTTTAATAGTTGAGTATAAATTTTATTATTTTAATAAAAATTAAAAATAATAAAAAGTAAAATTATTAAGCATATCAAACCAGATTTTGAGACATTGGAAACAAAATGATATTTTTGCACAGAAAAGAATATAACTACAACATAATATCTAAAAAATATTTTATTAGCATCTCATATTCGACATCTCAGATATATATAGTGAAACCCCCAGGAAAGACCACCTCTATTTACGACCACAAAAAGGCACAAAATTTTTCCAATGATTTTGCGTTAAAAAGAACTTTTAGGAAAGACCATGAAACCTCTCCCAATGACCAGGCAAACATCTGCACCAAATGCGGAAAAGGTCAAATAATGAATGTTACGTAGTATAAAGAAATTTTTGGTGACCAAAACCATAAATGGATGCAGAAAAATTTAAACATATTTATGGCAAAAAAAAAAATTATAAAAATATATTTTAAAAATAGGGTTGTCTCATAAGGTTTAAATTATTCTTATATCATCCACATAGCATTAAAAATCATTAAATTAAGAAAAATATCAAGAATATTCTCATACTATCAACACTTCAAATTTGTATACAGTTAAATTAGTATATTTATATACAAATTTGCAGACTAAAATACAGTATTAATATATGTAAGAATAAGTTCAGTCATTGAAATTCTGAGAATATCATTCCACAGAATTTGTTCCATTGTCTGGAAGGTATGCCAAAATTGTGTCCAGGTACTTTTCTAGATTTTACATATAAAAGCTAACTTGAGGAAAAATAAGAATGATAGTTAGATTATGAAATTTTTGCTTTTAGGATACAAATAGAACTTTCTTACGTGCACAATGCTGTACCGTCTTTTAATACATTGGCAAAATCTAATTGATTTTTTACAAATCCTTCATCATTTGGTGGATCCAAATTTAATTTGGTTACATCCTTTATCCAATCTAATGCAATGAGAGCTTGATTTAAGTCAAATTTTGCTTGAGCCTAAAATAAGTAACTACAGTCAATTAACGAACATATAAAATAAATAATAATCAGTTAACAATGCTGCAAAAAGAATTTTGCAGTAATGCTAATGTTGAAAATGAAAAAATATTTACTTATGTTAACAAAGATAAAGATGCTTAATTTGAATCAAATTCACTTTCTGTATAGGTATAGATTTATGATATTCCACCAAATAGACAAAAACTAGGTTTGACTGGTTTACACTAAACATTTTTTTTTTTTTTTTTAAATGCAGCCCCTTTTTCTTTTCTTTAAATAATCTTTTTAAAAATTACATTCAGTATTTTTTATTTACATAAATAGCTTTATTTGGAACAGAATTAAATGAAAAATATATTAAATTTTCTCAAAAAAAAGTTTCTAAGTTTATGTTTAAATACTAATTAGAATCTGTATTTCTTTAAATAAACATAATATATAATTTTTAAATATATAGATATAACTTTCCAACAAAAATATCCATAAAAAATAAATTAATGTGAGCAAAATATTCTAAAAATACTTAAAATAAAATACAACATAACCAAATTCATTTTCGGATTATTTTTTAAAATTATTTAATGTAAATGGTTATATCCTTTATTTGAAATGAAATTATTGAATAAATGAAATAAAAAGCTAGAGAAACCTTTTTTAATTAATCTTTTAGGATACATTATTCTTGTTACAATAAAAAACAAAAATGGAAACAATGTTCTTGTCTAAGTTCTATAAGTTTCTTTTTGATTTATAATTAGAACTTTTTCTGTTATCAGTGTAAACTAATTTGTATGTTATGTATTGTGATTTTACTTGCATTTTTGTAATATTTTCAAATTACATATTTTGTATTATTAAAAGAAGAAATTCTGACAAAGAATATGCAGAATTTATTTACAATGTTTTCATTGCATATTTTGTTTTATTTAATGCTGCATTATGCTAATAAGAAAATTATTTAATGTAATTATTGATTAAATGAAATAAAAAGTTAGAGAAACCTTTTTTAATTAATCTTTTAAGATACTTAATGCTTGCTACAATGAAAAACAAAAATGGAAACAAAGTTCTTGTCTAAATTCTATACTTTACTTTTTGATTTATAATTATAATTTTTTCTGTTATCAGTGTAAACTAATTTGTATGTTACGCATTATGATTTTACTTGCATTTTTGGAATATGCATTTTTGCATTTTCCAAATGCATTTTGGAAATGCATTTTTGAATTGCTTCTTTTAATAATATAAAAAATTACATTTTATTAAAAGAAGCAATTCTAACAAAGAATATGCAGAATTTATTTACACTGTTTTCATTGCATGTTTCATTTTATTTTATGCTGCATTATGTTAATAATGCAGCAAATTAAAAACCTTTTAGTGGGCTTATTAAAAAAAAAAAAAACAGGACATTTTTTTTTATGCAGTGTACTTGTACCAGATTATTTTTTATAAAGGACAAACAACAAACTAAACAACTACCTACAAGTAAAATTTGTTCTACTTAAGTAAATAAAAGCGAAATTAAACACAGAGCTATAAGCGATAAGCAGAGAGCTCGCCGCACTAACTATACTCAATACTAAAAGCGAAATTTGCTATAAAAAAAATAATAAAATATACTAATTTTAATTCTTGAGTTAGGGTGACCCGGGGTAATTCACGATCACTCTGTTTCTGGGGTAAATAATGATCACCTAAGTTTTATTTGAAAAAAATTATTTTTTTTAAAATTTGAGACTTGGACAAGAATGCTTGTACACTTTACTAAAGTATAACTACATTTACTTAATAATAGTTTTTTTGTTTAATATAACAAAATAAGTATATTTTAAACTGCTTTCTGTATTTTCCTTTTCAAAGATAGGTTTCAAAATCTGCACATTTCTGCAAAGATCCCCTTCCTTCTCTTAATAATAAATATTTTGAGTTACTTTCTTTTTCTTTGATATGAAAATTGTGTAATCTTTTGTTTAATTGTTTCACATTTACTGTAAACATTATAATTGATTATGGGAAACTATATCAAATGTTGCCCCCTACAGATGGGGTAATTATTGATCACTGGGGTAATTCCTGATCATTGTCATTTCTTTTTATAAATAGTATTAAAAATAGCTAATAAATAGCTGGTTGTCTTTTCTTAAATAGCAGTTCATATTTATTAAGTGGAACAACTATAAAATATATTTTAATTGTAATCACAAAATTTGTTTTTAACTGAATACAAGACAAATGTGTTCTGATTTGCACCATTTCTGGTTTGTCTTACCTTGCTTCTATCTTAATTTTATGTGTGTACATTGTTAGAATAATTTTTAAGTTTATAAATTAGCTGAATATAAATATGGTGAGAAATTATAAGCCCAAAAAGGAAACTAAGCCTCTAGAAAGCAAGATTAGTGAATTTTTTTTAATGATTGAAAATGAAAATTTCAGTGTGAGAGCTGTTGCGTACCTTACTTAACTTTACACTCTCACTTAATGAAGTTACAAAATCCAGCAAAAGAAACCCATGTGTGAACTCTTTCTTATGTTTCAGCAGAACATGAGAATGAGTTGGCTGCTTGCCTAAAATGTATGACACGATGCAAAGATTTTTGGAAAATTTAAAGTGTTAATCTTTATTCTTGCTTTTTAAATAAATCATTTTATTAGCTCCTTAAACATATCTTTTTGATTTATTTGATTGATCTTGATGCCTTATTTGTTAATTACCATTGTATAATTATTTTTAAACAGCTCCTTTACTATAAAAACTGGTGATCAGTAATTACCCCAGAAGTGATCAAGAGAAGGGGTAATTCCTGATCACTAAAAATTTAAAATCTTTTAAATTCTAATTAGATTTTCAAACAAAAGAAGATAGCATAGGACTCATCTCATATAGCCTCAAACTTCCAGTAAATATTAAAATTCTATCTTGAATAGTTTTTTCACAAAATAGATGTTTGCATTTTTTGATCAGGAATTACCCCAGGTCACCCTACTTTATACATTTAAAAAAAAGTTTTAACAATTTTTCTAGTAGAATTCTATTAATAAAGCACTGAGCAACTCATAACAGTTTAAAATTAACGCTTGGGAAATTTTAATTGTAGGTGCTGTTCATTAAAAAAATAATTATCAATTAATTAATATTCCCTCATACCAATATTTATCTGAAATAGAATTCATGACTTCTTTATCAAATAATTTAAAGTGTTGTTTCAAGAATAATAATTTTGAAATGAAAACACACTGAACGTCTTAGCTTTTGTGTTCAAAAGTAATTTTCTAGATGAACTACGAATAAGAATTAAAAAGATATTAGATCAAAAATCCAAATATTTGTTTACTCAAACTCATTATTTTAAGAACTGCATTACTGAAATAGGATACAATTAATCTATAAAATAAGTCATTAAAGAATATTAAATTTACACAAATAATGATTATAATAAATAATTAAATAAATGGTAAATAATACCATTAATTATTATAATCATTTAATAATAAATAATGGTATTTATTTAATTAAGCAATATAAGAAAAAGTTTTCAGAAACTTTTTGTAGTAATATTGATTACTTCAAAAAGGGAAAACTGCAATCTAGTAATAATAAAAGAAATAATGCCATTTAAAACATAGCAACAAGGAACTACTTGTATTGGTAAACAAGAAGCAGATTAATATTAATTGCAACTACATTATCAAATTCTAAAAAATCAGCATAGTTTTAAGACTGATTGGAATAATTACTATTAGTCTATTCTAAAACAGGGACCTCACATTTTATAACATATTTCAATTTGTAAACATACATTGAAACAACAGATAATTAAAACATTCAATTTAATTTAAACCTGATTAACTGCTAAAAACTTATTCAAAAGAATAATAAAATGCACGTTTAATTTGATTCAAAAATATAGAAACTGATTAATATTTTTACAACTTATTTTCACAACTATTTAATAAATACTAAATATTTTAAAAAAAACAAAAGATCAAAAAATTTTAAAAAAACTACTTGAAATACTACTTTTATTCGTAATCGTATTATCTTATACGCTAAACTTATACCATAATCTTACACTTCTTATTAATACTTAAAATTTTTATTTTAAATGTTAACTAATTAATTTTAAGTTTAAAACACTAATCACAAGTTAGAAAGACCTAAAACAAAAATAAGTAAACATAAAATACTGGATTGGTAAAATAACAAATATTAAAAAAATGTTAACTATCGTATATTAAGGTTTATTTCGCAATCAAAACATTTTAAAAACTAAAGATAAAAGAGTAAAAGTTTTTTACAAAACAAACTGTCTTGTGAATAAATATATATTTCAACATTAAAAACCTAATGCAATGAGTTGCATTTAAAATTGCTAAATACTAGGTAAAACGTGATGAGATCTCAAATAAGTGTAAATGTTATAAAATAAGCTAGCCGACAACCACCTGTTAATACATGCTGCGAAGCACAATTTTTTTACTTTAAAATATACCTTAAGCATGCAGTCTCTACTTAATCCATATGCCGGTCCTTGATACGCCATAATTCATCAGAATTTCTACGATTTTATATTAATTACTAAAACTGGAAAAATAAATAAATAATCTAATTAAATCTACGGATTAAAACACACACAACGAGACAAACACACTCGCACTTCGCAGTCAGCGCCGAAATATTCCCAGCATTCCCTCTTCCAACTGCGGGAGTGGCATGAATTCGAAAATAAAAGCAGAGGGCGATACTGTGCTAATGAAATGAAAAAGAAGAAAAAAAATGAGAAATATTCTTCCGCGTTTGAATGTTTTTTGCTCATTTGATTTAAGAAATAATTTTAATATTTTTTAGATAAAAAAATTTTCGCAATTTCTTTTACTTATTTCTTTAAGAAGAAAACTTTACTTGTAGTTATTTTTCGATCATACTTTTTAAATTTCAAGGAATATTTTTTATCGTTTGCTTTTTTTAATTTTTTATACATTTATCCATTGAATATTAAACATTTTTGCAAAATTTTCTGCAATTAAATTAATTTAAAAAACAGTCAATTTGATTCGAAAGTTGTGCTTGTGAACATTCGAAACAATAGTTTCAATAAAAAAAAAAAAATGGAACATAATGTTGTTTTTAAAATCTAAGACCCGTAAAGAGATTATTACTATATACACCACGCATGTCTCCACAATTAAATTAAAATTAAAGCAAAATGTAAACGATACAAAAAAATAAAATTCAAAAGTCGCAATATATGATATGATGATTTGCATTTTTTTGATAATATAATTTTAGTTAAGATAAATTTTCAATTCATAAATTTTGAGACTCAGGAAGGTAAATTGATTATAATTAAACTAAAAATGATTTATTCTCTTGAACTCGTTTTTTTTTTTCTTTTCCAAATATCAATTTGAGAGCCTTAATAAGCATACTTTACTTACTTTTTTGACAATTATAGATGTACCAATCTCCATAATTGTTTTTCATTCATCTTCTTTATTTATTTTTTTTATTCAATGTTTTCTGAAAATAACAAAGAACAAAATATATAATTATTTTAGTTTTATGTAAGAGCATTTGTCAATACGTGAATCGCAATATACCTGATTACTTGAATTTGAAAAATAATCACCGATACTTAAAAAAAAATTAATCTAAGAAGTACAGATTGTGCAATTTAATAAAGAAAAATAAATGAGTAGTAATTTTGCTTGTTCAAGAGAATTTTAGCAATTCAAGTAGGAAAGCGTCTTTATTGATCTTATATCGAGTTTTTTTTTTTTTTTTTCACTAATTTCACTACTAATGTTAAGATGTCTCGCAACATAGAAATAAGACATAAATAAAACCTTAATAATTAAAATAAAAATGAGAATATAAATGTGTTCAAACACACATTTATATTTTCATTTTTATTTTAATTATTAAGGTTTTATTTATGTCTTATTTCTATTTCATATAAAACAAATTTGGTTTCAGCTGCCTTGTGCGCTTTTCCAATTTGACTTAATGATTTAATGTTTCAATGTGTTTATTTACCTCTTATGTATCAATATTGACTAAGTAAATTGAATTGATTTTATGATTAGATGTCTCGCAACATGTAATCTCTCGTTTTTACCTTTTTTATTGTCATCAATTCAAGCGTGTGCTTATATAATGAAGATCCAGGGAGAGAAAAATAAATTTCTCTACATCAATGGATAAATAGTCAGTTTTTAAAACGAGGTAACAAAAAATTTTCTGAAAAAAACACCTACAATTGTAAAAACTTTCGAAAAAAATTTGAATTTTAAAGAAAAAAATTCAGACAAATTCATTAAAAAATGGCTCATTCAGCATGTCAAATTTCAACTCCGTAGTTGCATTTCAGCGGGTAGACTTAATCTTTTCAATTTACATAAACGCCACGATTTACAAACGCGTGATATCGTTTTAAGTTGGCTCATATCTTTAATTGAAAAGTGACCTAGGTAACCAAGAATGACGATATAAACTTAAAAAAATATCTATTAATATTTTTTTTAAAAAATAATATTAAAAAAAAAAAAATGCGAGACCACATGCATGGCAGCAAAAAATAAAATTTTTGCTAATAAAAAATATTTTAAAAACAATATACACAATAAACATATTGTTTACAATAATTATGTATAGTACGAGCTTTACAATGTTAAATGAATATTACAATGTTATCACTGTTGCAATATTGCTTTTTTGGTGCAATTAATATTGTTTTTGGTGCTTTTGTAGAGTACAATTGTAACACATTAAACTTTAAAAAAAAAAAAAATATTCACTATTTGCGAGGAGAATGTTTTCCTTTTATCTTAGAATTTCATAAATACGAAATAAAGCAAGTTTGAGAACCATTTTTTATTGAAGCAGTTACCCTTTATCCTTCTAATTTTTTTAAAAAAGTTAACGCCATATTTAAGAAGGTTGAAATAGTGATATAGTGAGAAATAAATTGGGAGCACAAATCTTTTAATTTGGATTTTTTTATTGAAATAGCAGAGAGGTTAAAAACAAATCTGTTTGGGAAAGTAATTTTATTTTATAACCGTCGTTGAACAGCCGACTCATTTTTGGGTTCACGACAACTAATGTTCAACTCCGTAGCCTTGTAATTTTGAACCCAATCCAAAAGATAAGGGAGCTCCTGGATCAAGTATTGAGAGAAATTTTGCCTTCATGAGGGACTTTTTGATGGAACTAACCAGCATTTGCGTTACATGCAGCGGAAAACCATGAAAACCTTCCACGGTTAGCCCGATGGCAAGGGGTCTCTAACTCATGATCCGTTTACCACTGAGGATATTTTATGTCAGCACTGCGGTTATGTGAGCCGGGTGCGGAATTCGTATCGTCCATCCATCCCTGGGATTCGAACCCGGTTCGCGTATTTGGAAGGCGAACGCTCTATCCTATGAGCAACTACGGCTCTGGAAGAGTGATAGTTAGTTTTATTTGACTTAAAATCATCAAAACATTTTTCAAAAAAAGGTCCAAAATTAAATTTAAGAATAAAAGTCGCTGACTTGCAGTTTAGGTTATTTCCTTCTCACTTTTACTTTGCTCTATAAAACAAAACAAAGCAAAAAATAAAAAACGATCACATTAATCAATCAAAATCGGAATTAAGGAAATTTATTTTCCCTCGGGATATTTGCTAGACTTTTTATAACTTCATATTTTTACTATAGCACCTATATTGACAGTTATGATTTCTAAGACGCTTTTATTTCCTTTTTTGACAAAAGAATAATAAATTTCTATTTCGTTGTTTTTAATTTCTTTAGTTTTGTCTTCATGTTATTTATGTAAAAAAGTAAAGTTTCTTCGTGACAATTATTAACTTTTCGTACTTTAAAGTCCTGCACAATGGGGGTACGGGGACATTACGCATAATAAAACATTTATTGAGGATAAAAAAAAAAGCAAAAAGTCTAGTCAAAACATTTTATAAATTTTTATAAAAGCAACTCGTTGCGATTTATTGGGATCATCTACGTTAATCCCAATAAATCGCTAAATGATGCTTTTGGGACAAGGCAGAACCTAGCGGTCAAGGTAGAGTCACTTAGCCCACAAAGCTGATCGAGGCTTGGAAGCAGGACAATTATAAATATTTATTCTTTATCCATTTCCCTGGCGCAGACGATAAAATCGCAAATGAAAAAACAGTAGTTTCAACTTTTTTCAAAAAAGATTTTATCCTAAATTTTATTTGATTAAATAAAAAATGAAAACATAAATAAATAAATAAAATAGCTGTATCTATTTGTATTGGTGAAATGAATAAATATCAAACATTTTTATTTCCTTAACTTCATCATAATTCTAGAACTAACTGCGCGAATCAATTTAAAAAAAAGCAAAGTCGCTTTTTTACAACGTTTTAAGTTACAACGTTTCAACGTTTTTTTCGCGTTCGAGGGGGGTTATCGGGTATCTCCTTCTAATATTGTATATACATATATACACACACAGTTTACTCGTATATTACACACGTATATTATTAAATATGTATGCAATGATAGTTGACTATAAGTCTAAATGTAACAATGATAATTTTGTTTTTATAAGTAAGACAAGAACAATTAGGCATCAAATAGTAAAGAATTGGTTTACAATAAATTATATTATTACGTAAAAAATCTATTTTAAAGCACGAAAATGGTTTCTGCTTTTAAATCTCTGTATATTATCCTTGTATCCCCAGTTCATACAATAATGTTTTTGAATTATAAACTGAACAACATTATTAATAACTGATTTAAAAATCAGAGAATGTTTCAAATATATAATTTTTTGTTTATGTTAATTGAATATAATTTAATTAAATGAATTATTTTTCGAAATTTATCAGATAGTAATTGAAATTACACTTATGATAATCGTATACACATTATGATAGTTTTTACGAAAAAAATAAAATACTGAAATTAGCACTTTTTCAGGCTTCGAGATAAAGAAAATATTTCGTACGCAAATATCATAATTCGAACCAATCTTATGAAATAGGATAGCTCAGATAAGTTCCAAGAGAATGAATGAATAAAAAAATATAATAATAAATGAAAAAAATAATAAATAAATAAATGTTTCGAAAAACGTGACTAACTTCTACCCTTAACCCTGCTCTAGAATAAATAATTGTACTCCACCATGTCAACTGCGAACGCAAACAATTTTTTTCTTTTTTCTTCTTGATTGACGTGAGCTTTCTTTCCTGTCATAAGTGTGTCAGAAATTATCGTTTGATTTATTTAATGTTGGAATCCAATTAACTAAAATGGAAATGCTTAGTCGTTTATTTCTCAAACTTCTACATTTAATCTTTTAACGTTTAATATTCTGAATTTGTCTCATTATTGAATTTAATGATGTCTATACCTCTTAGCATTTTTTAAGCTATTCAATGTAAACTTTTTTTTTTAATTCCTAGAATAATCACAGGCATACTTGAGTTTCAGTTTAAGCACGTTTGAGTATTTATTATATTATTGCTATTTAAGAAGAAACACTTTTATAGGAATTATCATGGACATGCGTAAGGAAATATTTTTCTCTGAATCATAGGCATCGCAGGGGCCCAATTTTTGAAGGGGGGGGGTCTAATTAAATTAAACAAACTCATAGTTTTCTAAGTTTCAAATTTAAAGAAAATAAATTATAATAATAAACATGCTTAATACCTGTAGAAGATTAATAAATTTTATATCTTTC